TCTTAAATAACTAGACAATATTGTAATATCATTAGAGTACCGATGGGTAGTTTCTCCATTCTTGTTTTTAATTTACTCTATAAAAGCGATACATATTTACATTATGCAGGGATAGATTTACCGGTCCACTCTATAGACCATTACAGGGGTTAAATAATGAACAATGGGATACACAGTTTTAAAAGTGTAATCTTTACAGACGGGGTAGTTCATTAATTAATCTTGAGAGACCATATGTCGAGCGATGAAAGCAGAAAGCGTTATGTGAATTCGAACTTCACTGATATGAACGCTTTGAATTGTCTCAAGCCAGTAACCGTCTCACGATTTAGAAACAGATGGGTTTTGAAAGATGGATTATTTAGGTAAGCCGGAAAAGGCGATTGTCGTTTGTCGCTCTGTTACACTGGATGTGGCATAGACAATGGCCCGGTGGCTGCAATAGGAAATGCTGGATGACTGCAAAACTCACAACGATTCCTTATTTTAAGCAAATGACGCGACATGACATAATTGTGAGGATGAGGAGCTGCGGAACGATGAGCCTCTTGGTGAGTTTCACCATTGTCACGGGTAAAGGGAGGTGATCGACACCAGGCTCAATTCAATTCAGTATTCATATCTCCAGTTTCCCTTGGCACTATTCTCTACAAGACTGACGTTTACACTAAAAAAATAGAACGGTAAGAAAAAGAAAAATAATTTTGTCAGCTGTCCGTCATCCTATCTAAAGGACCCTCCCTCAATCTGGTGACATAAATAGAAAATTCAGTCTTTTTTATGGTCCTATGATTCGTATGAGGTGGCTACATATCCTTATGCACTAAGTCCATTCAAATGGTACTATTACGCTCCTCCAAGTACCGCTCACTATCCTGTTTTTGACTTTTTATTAGCCTCCTTAACCTTGATAGTGGCTCCTCAGTTTTACTTATTACTCAGTTTTACTCATATTTACTTGATTTACTTTTTCCTCGCTCATGAAGCTTGTTCTTTTTAAGCAATCACAGTAACATAATATGTAAAAATCTTCCCTCTTATTGTTTGATTATAATCATATTCCAATTTGGGCTGAATTGTTTGACAAATTGAAAGAACTGCAAAAGCTGTGGCTATATATATCGGAAGTGTTTAAGGACCGGTGTAAACAAATGGGTGGCCAATACTTTATTTATATACAGATTTTGCCATGGAACTGCTGCTACACCATTAAAACCCCTGTAGACCTGGAATGTTGTTTAGACTATGGAATGACTTTTAAACGTGATCAATTCGGTGATGGCTCACTTAAGTCAGTTCGTAATTTTACAGAATGGAGCTTGTTTTACTAGTGCGTTTTTTCTTTACGTCCGTTCTGCCCTGGTACCCTGATAAGAGATGGTTTGTCCTCTGATCCTATTTTTCCCAAGGCACTCACACAGCTTCATACTGCCCATTATTTTGTTTCATGTAATGCTTTGCTTTACTTTGCTTTTACTTCCTCAATGCTTTGAAAGCAGATTGGCTGTCAGTATGGATACCAATAATTCCCAGCCTTTTTATCACTTTTTGGCATTGCTTTCCCGTATACTCGGTCGTCCTTAAAAGGACTTTAACATTCGCACCTAGCCTTCCGGCCTTATCGGACGTTTTGATTGTCAAGATGAGAGCTGACGCACCCCCGCATACGACAGAAGTGTGTTACTGCCGCAGCATTGGTGTAGAGGCAGCTCAGCCCCGAAGGGCCAAGACAAACTCGCTCACCGCTTTCCCATTCCGAGTGGTCAGGTCCGCATTAAGCATCGAACCGAATGCCGCGCGCAAAGGGCAACCCAAGCCGCAATACATCAGCCTGGTCTCCCGCGCACTCCCTAGATGGAGAAGGCCACTCTATCTGCCAGAGTATTGGGGCTTTCCAAGCGTAGAAACTACCGGATCCGCTCCGGCCGCGGTTTTGTTTAAAGTAGAATTGCTAACCACCCCCTAGAGGAGACTGCCTACGGTAAAAGCCTCCAGTCGAGCTCAGCCTACACTTGCGTGAAAAGCATACTCGAATAGGAGCAACCGATTCACTACCCATTTCCATCAGCCACTACTCACGTATTCGCATTCGAGGGACCCTGTCAGCGTAATCATAGCGTCCTCAACGCTTATACGCTTCGGTCCGATCCGCCGTATCCCATGAGCCGGGTGTATACCGATGGTCATACGCAAATTTCGTGCGAAGGTCACAGATAGAAGACAGCCTCTTCTCTAAGTTCCCGCCAGGGACGTCACCACGAACCACTACGAGTCCATTCTCAGTGTAGCAGGGGCTGAACCTTGGAACATTTCTGTTACCCCGTAGTACAGATGGTTATGCACCTTCCCCCGTCTATGCAGACAGGATCTGGTACCCTAACCCATGTGTGCTTTTGATAAGGCACTCGCCGCGCCATACCGACCCGAGGCCGACACGAGTTCAGGTTGTGCTTTAGAGAGGTTGCCACGCCCTCAGGGCTGCACCATTATTATGCGCCCGGACACCCCCCTTGTAACCAAGGGAGGTGGTCGCTTTTGGGTAGAGCAAAGTTTTGAATCGACATGTATACCAAAGTAAAAAGCCGCTTCCCTTACTTCTTTTAAACATATCTAAATTCATCTCCTTTCACACCAAGCATTTAAATCTGTTTAACCACTGTCTAAATTTATTCAGTATTTATTAATTTATATGTTAATTTTTAGAGTAACTCATTTTAGTTTTAACCCTTTGAGTTTTTTTAATGTTCAAAATGTTAACAACTCTTACTTCAACTTATATATTATGCTAAAGGGACACTCTTGCCCCAGAATAAATTATTTCTTCTTCTGTTTTCTTCTTATTTGGTGCCTAATGTAGGTTTGGAATTTCGGTGATGTTAAGTTTTAGTGATATGTACTATGTAGATACTCTCTTAAGTACTTACGTCGATGTCTATTTGTGCCATTGTAAATATTTTAGATTCAAAAGAAGCCTCGGGACTCAATTTTGAGGTACTCCTGAAAGCACTCCTATGCAAGGTTCAAAAACTGTAATTCATTGCCATCCATTTTTATTTATTCGTGAGATCAATTTGTATTGTCGGTGGTGGAAAGTATCTGAATATTTTTTCGGTAAATTGGTGTTACTAAAGAACATTAACTTACCATGTCCAACAATTATCACCAAAATAAAAAGGAATGTCTTTCTCCAAGAAATCATTACATTTCATTTGAGCTGTACCAAAAACACCAGTTAAGGGCTTAAACTTAACTCTTCAACATAAATAGTGAAGTTTGTTTTAAGGTCGCAATGCAACACTCCGTGTAGTCATAGCTCATTTAGAGACATCGAAAATAATTTTAAAACGAGAACCCACTTAGTCCCGGCTAACGGTACGAGGTTTTCTCTCTGGCAATCATTATAATGTTTTTTCGCATGTGTTTTTAGAATTTTTTCAAATATACGGAACGGTATGAGAAGCCATATAGGCGTAATGCTCTCAGCTGTTTAAAAGCAGTGTACGAAGAATAAATTCTTAGCGAATGTCATAGTCTATAATACCGTGCGACTGGGTCAAAACAGGTTGTTCCTTTTTGTAGATTTAATGGTTCGGTCATAATGTCAACTAGTTATACAGTACAAATTTATCATTTCGTAACAGAAGAAATTCCGCGGTTCCTCGAGGCCTAGGAACCATTTGATATAATAACTTTCTTTCTTTTCACTTTACTATTAAATTATTTTAACTCTTACAATTGCTCTCGCCCTCTCACTCACTCTCTGTCTCCCTCTCTCTCGCTCTCTCTCTCTGTCCATCTCTCTCCCCCCTCTCTCTCCTCTCTCTCTCTCTCTATTCTTTATACTATTGCTAGCCTCATAATAGTTTGTATTTCGGTTAGCAACACTACCCCAGGGTACTACATATCTCTCAGAATAATTGGAGATATGCCGCTCCGTTCACGCTAGTAAATTACATTCTCACTACCCCAGAGCACTCGATATTCCTTAGGGTAAGTGGTCCCTTCCATTCACGCAAATAAATACATTCATTCCAATAAATAACACATATCACATATATGAAGGTACAAATATATATAATTGTATATACAATTAAAAATATTTTTGACCCTGAGATAAAGGATCAGCGTTCTGTGCCTGCAGCCATTTATTTTCATGAAAATCGTGATTTTTTAGGAAAAAAATAATTTCAATGTTTTGTACTAGTGTCTTCAACTCTCTGCCTTGAATAAATCGATAAATCTGGGGCTGAAACGTTGTTAATATTATATTACATGGTTATTATATTTTAGGGATGGTTAATTAGTTTTGATGTTTCAATTATTGAAAATCGTAATTTTTTAATTCAACTAAATTCTAACCGATAATATTTTTAAATATTTCCTTTAGACAAACATTTCATAGGATATGAGATACAAAGAACTATACATTTCCATTTATTAAATAAAAAATGTTGAATTAAGCTCTCATTGAAACGATGTTTCGTGGTTTCATTATTACATTATAATTTTTCCCATTTATATTGGATTTCAACAGAATATATGTAACTCTGCTGAAAGATTAGCATGATAAATGTGTAAAAATTATGAAATAGTTCAATTTGTACATTATGCACATGGGAAATTGTAAATACAATGGTATATTAAAAAGCCCTAGGCCTTGAAGCACTTGAAATCAGCTTAGATCATGTTACTTTGTTAGAGCCCAATGAATTGCTGAGGTCAATTGCTTTACTGTCCAGTCTTGGTTTCAATAGTCAAACCATGAAATCAACCCCCCTGAACTTACATCCTGGTAAATCCCGCAGGGTGGTGCAACGGACCGACGACCCGGACCTATTCGGAAAAAAACACACGTAAGAGTTACGAAACAAAAAGATTTGACGCAGGTTGATGATGATGAAGGAAAGTGTACAGGATGGGCGTTGGGGGGGGGACACTTTCGCCTCAGTCTATATAAAGACGGTCACCCCTTCCAGATCGCATATACTCGAATCCGTGGCAGTCCGTAAACATCGCGAACTTACAGTATTCTGTATAAAAGTGTCTATCGATATATAAACAAATCTTAGACCGACGGCGCTTTCTCTGGAAAAAAAGGATTAGGATTACCAGTTCACCTGCAACGTACTTGTGAGTAAAACTTGTCAAATTCCTAAACCTCCCTCGTCCGTAAGGATTAGATTTTTTTATACTTTAATTTCAATCCTATTATTCCCGTTGGATAATAACGAATTTGAAAATGGCTGAAAAATCCAAATATGTAAATTCAATCCTTTTTCATTTCGTATTTTTTTGGGTGTAATGAACATAAACAACAGTCTCTTAAAAGTTTTAACCCGCTTCATTTGGCCAACCGTTTTTGATTTCTTGCGTTCCCCGGGCGCGCTACACTTTTTCTTTCTCTTTTCGAGTAGGGCCTAGGGTTCCCACGGGGGCCGGAACCCACCCGGATCTCTGCACCCCTTTCCCCAGCGGCCTTGGCGGTCTCTGGGACCCCAAGTGGGTCAGTGGGACCTCGGTGGGGAGAGGCCCCACCTCACCTCATGACCCACTCCAGGCTCTCTTCATCACACACTGTCTATCCAGTGCACGTCGGGCATCTTGCAAGGATATACACTTTAGGTACGCTATTTATCTTCCCTTCTATACATTTTAATTTAGCGATTTGGGCAGTTTTTTAAACTTTAATCCTTGGATTTTTATGACTGCTTTTAATTTTTTAAATCGGATTCCAAAAATTTCATTTCTTTTACATACCTAAAAAAATTGAACTGTTAAAAAAGCAATATACAATTACATCTATTAACAAAAATAACCCATCGGGAATTAATATTAAGATATTTATCATGTACTTCAGCTAGAACAAAATTGTCTGCACATCCAGAATTGTCCTTTTACTTTAAAATCGGCAAATGTAAGATTTATGATCTTCATTCATGTAAATTTTATTATTATTTTTTAATGAATTATTATACCCCTCAAATTTTTGATGCCAAACTTTTCATAAACCTTGGTGAAAATCACATTTTTACTCATTCACATTTACTCGACATTATATTCTTATTCAAATTATAAAAAATTCAATTTTTTAAAATATTAAAAAAGTAAAGAGCAAGATGACATATTGGTAAAATATTTTTTTTAATTAAACATCAATAGCAAATTAAAAGGCACCACTCAGTATTAGTTATATAAATCAGTGTATTGAACAATGAAACTATTCAAACACTAGGACCGTGTTATATGGAGTTAAACATAACTAAATTTTCACTACATATAATAGGATACATAAAAACACTCGTAAATATAACATTTTTTCTACAAATCCATTTTTAGGTACCTAAGTGATATAATTATTTTTATACATCTTATAGTTATATAGCATTTATTATTATGTTTCAATTTTCAATTTTTTATAGCTACCAAGAAACATAATCAACATTTTAATCATGATGGTAATTTTATCTTCTCATCACTTTTTATTGACTGTAGATGCTGCAATATTTAAGAGCATCCAATTTTTTTCGGTTCGAAGTAGATACGTTTATTAATAAATTAAACTTATAAATTAAATGTAAACTTCTGACCATTCTGAAAAGGCGTCAAACCATTCTCAGCGAGGATAGGCAGGCCAAAGTGCAATTAAAATTGTATATTCGTTTTTAATAGGATATGGGTTTTGAACTATTCAATTTTGTTTTAGGTAAATTCTGTATAATAATAACGTGATTTTATCAAATTCCCTATTTTTTTGAGGGGGAAGAAGATGATATGTGGGTACAATATAAAAGAGACGTGACAAATTGGGCACTCTCGGGGCAAAAACGGGATTAAAAAACACTTTTCATAATTTCGATTATAAAGATGTGGACATTTGGTACAGGTTTAAACGGTATAAGTTTCGTTGTATGTAAAAAGGCACATTAGGTTTAAAAGGAAGTGGTTTTTCTTCTATTAAGCCAATTGACTGATTGGAAAATGATTTATTTCATTTGGCAAAAAAATTACTGTTTCCCCCTAGGTACTGTATTGAAAGGGGATCCGATTAGGCAAAGCCATCAATACGCGAGATTATTGCTTGGTGCGTCTCGCGTTGTGGGTCTTATCCGTTATTTTCCTTCTCTTTCCTTCTTTTCGTTATAGTTACAATTTCGGGCCGGAACTGGACGGCACACGTGTGTGTTTGTGTGCGTGTGGCCCCCGGGGAGGGGGTAGGAAAGCAGCAGAAGTCGAGAGAGCGGAAGGAGTGTGTCGGGACGTGTTTCAGGTGAAAGCTCTCACGGCAGGATTCCAAAGGGGCAATTTGTGTGCCTGCGTTCCACATCCAAAATCGCTCTGGGACGCGATTTCAGTTTTAGCCCTGATCGGCCGGTCGCCTCTGATCACATTCTTGTGTAGGATCCTATGAATTTTGCAAATGGGCCTGATGATGCAAATAGAGATCAAAACTCAACATTATAAATAGAAATTATGATAAAGCAACTATGTTTGGTTGAGTAGAATCTCTCTCTCTCTCTCTATATATATATATATATATATATATATATATCTTTATTGCCAGCCTTCCTATTTGTTATATTTATATAACAGTGTTTTTTTTCGTAAAACCGGCTTATTACTTGAATAAATGAGCAATAAAAATTAAGATAGATAAGTCAATTTGATGATTATTTTGTTTAATTTACTTTTTGGCAAAGAACACACTGCATTTCAGAACTGGAAAAATTTACTTAACTGTATAAGCCCAACGGTTATTTTCGCTTCTTAAATATCCTTCTTGTTCAGGACGCAGGAGTTAAAATATTAAAATGTAAATACATATTGGTCAGATACATAAGTAGTGTACGTGTAGTACGGAAGACAGCTTGAACGTAATGAAATCTATTTTGAAACATTATAGAAAAAATATTTGTTATCACCACTTTGTGCTAAACTAGAAAGGAGGACGGCACACACTACAATATTTGCTTCTTATTTAATTTTAATTTCGTGAAACTATCGTTTCTCATTGAAACACTTCATGGATTCATATTTATTATATATCTATTACCAAATTGATTTAACAAGAACACATTAAATATAAAACAGTAAAATAAACCGTTTTTAATTGGGTATATAATTTAGTCGTTTCCGTTCATTTTGGCCTACTTGCTGAATTTTTTTCTGTCAAGCGGATCTCTCGTCATCTTCAGTTCTGAATCTGTATACTATACAAAATAAATACTAAACTAGTAGAAAAACGTTTACAAGAGTAAGAAAAAGTTTAAAAAAACGACTTCTGGAAAGTAGGATGAGGCGAAGGGACAAGGGAAATAAACATTAATTAGAGATAGAACAGTGGTGTTGGAAGGAGACGTCTGTCAACCTAACCTTGGGCCGGTTTCTGTCTCATAACTCAGACTTCACTCAAGCAAAAGGTCAGTTCTCTGCCAGGGTCAAGGGAGTGCATTAAACTGAAGAAGACCCTTTCACTATCCCGTATTGATGTGATGCTTAATTTATTGAATACCTGCAACAGTTCCTCAACTTCTTCACATAATACGTGCCTGCGTACAAAAAATAAATAAAATACAGTCAACTAAATTAATAACTTTAAAACGTCTTAAGTTCAAAAGTTCTATTTTAAATAAGTTTGAAAATTTATTAAATATCTTTATTAAAAAAAAGACATATATTATGTCAAATATTTAAAAAAAATTGAAAATGAACAGATCCAAATATCATACGGTAGACTTATAGTTATATATATAGATCGATAGATAAGTAGAGAGATGGATAAATAGAAAGATGAAAAGAGAAGGGTGAATGATAGAAAGAAAAAGAGAGAGAGAGAGAGTGAGAGAGAAAGGTCACATCTGAAGTGAAAAGAAAGAACGAGGAATAGAGAGAGAAGGGGAGAGATGGAAAGGGAGAGAGAGAAAGAGAGAGAGACTATGAAGGAATGTCTTAGAGGCCAGAAATTTACCGTAAAGTAAATATGTTTAAAATAAAATTTAATTAACATCTATATTTTATAAATTATCTGGATTCTACTTCGGAAGGTTATATGATAGATAACGCCCTCAATCATTTTGTAGAATTGCTATTCAGTACCTTTTTAAGATCAAAAGATTAGATGGTAATCTCTTCCATTCACTTCTTCTAAGCGAACGAGTAGTAAAAGTCAATGTAGTAAGCAGGTTTCGATAAAGCAATTAAGGTAATAAAGTCTTTATGAGTGAGGCGAGCCAGTAAAGACGTACACACATTGACACCGTAGCCGGCCGCTAGAAACCCATTTACCTTTAGAGAGCCGACCCAGTGAGGGTTCTATTTACGCACTTGTGCGATCCGGTTCCCCGGACTGGGCAGGTATTTCACAGTTTCCTTATTTGCCGAGTGAGTCTGAGTGGATCTCTGGAGGGGGATGACCTGCTCCCGAAACATGCATTACCCCTGATACCAGCCGGATCTCTTCACCTGCGCTCGTCCAACGCCTATCTCCGAACCCTCAAGGTCGGTAATTAGAATGTAATTAAATTTCGAGTGTTTCGGGCTAATAATGCACGTATGGCCCGATTGCCCCAGGAACCGTGGAAAATCCCCGAGACGGCTGTTTTCATTTTCCCCGGTCTCGGTGGTAAGTGTGCCGCCCGCTTCCAAGACCGTTTTAATTGCCCTCCAGGGACTAATGATAATCAATTAGTTATTACATGTACATGTCTGGATTAACGCTTTCTCCCAATGGCCTTACTGGTTTAGTTTAATATTTTAGACTACAACGTAAAAACCATGAAAAATGGCGTGATCCATATCTTCAAAAAAAATATTAATTTCAAACTTCTTATATTTGAAAATATTTTAACTTTCAATCAAGCCAATTAATGCCAAATTTGGTACCAAGAGTGTTACCCATAAATATATAATCAAACACAAACAATACAAATTGTCAATGAGAACGATAAAACTTATATTCCTTAATAAAGAAATTTGAACGAAGATGTGACGAATTGGCAACTATTTCTTTAGTTTCCCGTAATTAATTAGTTCAGGCCATTTCAGAACAAATTAAGAATGTTCTGCTTTGGTTAATGAGCCAACAACAACCTGTTGACATGAAATGTCGTCAAACCCCATGAGTAAACTAGTCTAAAATGTCTTTCTACTTGTTTCTCAAATATTATTAAAAATTCTCTTTGCGATTTTTTATTGGGTCTACTCGTAAAACGAAAATATTGGCACAAAATGTTACGTATTATTTATCGTCATAAAACAGAGGAAAAAGTTTCCCTTCGTTGTTTTAAACCAAGTCGAAAAAATAATCCGAGAAAAAATCCATTAGGCTATGATTTATTTTTTCACCCCGTTATTATGACACGTTAGTGAAAGCAATGTCAGATTTGAATGTCTGGTCACCGCGACTAATGATCACGAAAATGCCCCTGAGAAAAAAACGCAGGTGCGCCAGCAATGTGGAATTATCATTTTTTTCTCATCGTCTGGCGGCCGGAGAACCATCCCCCAAGGGGTTAACCCTTGGACGGTGAACCGGCACTATCCACCCGTTGCTTCCACCCCTATTCTATAAGTCTCGATAACTATCCTGGCCCTTTATTGTTGAAACATCAGTCATGCAACTTTGATTTATCACCAAGTATTGTTCGTCTACGAGTTATTTGGTGTCGTTCGGTAATGCAAATATTCCGTTATAATTTGTCATTACAAAAATTTCCTATTGATTTTGATTAAAAAGAGAGTATAAAACTGAGATATTTAAAATTTTTATTTAGTTTGACACGATTCAGGAAACGCCATTGATGGTCATGGTATAATAACGATGGTCATAATTGACTGAAGAAAATATGAAAAGAGACAGATTTTCATCACAAGCACATGAATCGCAAGTTTCTTTTGTAATGCATGTAACTAGGAAAGAATGTTGCAACGTGACAAGAGACTATAACGCTACCGCATCCCGGATCGACGATGTTACGCTTTTTGCCGTCCGTCCACGGGGGGATGCGCCTTGACAATGGAGAGAGCGGGTGAAGATGGAACTCAGTGAAAGTCAACTGTGTTACGGATTCCTGATATCATAAATTATACAAAAAAGTCTTTAGTAAAGCACTAACATAATACTTAGTGTGGAGAGGAAAGAACAAACTTAAAATTTTCAGGGGAAAGATGAACAGCTTTTTTCGACAACTTTCGAAAAGCCATTAGCCTAAGAATTTCTTAATGGATCTGACACATTTTCACGGTCGCTATTCTAAATTTACGTATATTTAATTAATGTTAAGTAAGTTCTCTACGTAAACACCAACAATGAACCGTTAATCCATTCTATTTTGATTTGTGTACATTCTTTTTTTCTTGTTAACATAAACGAAAATTATTAATGACATGGTAGATATAATGTGTTTATTAAATAGCTTTCATTTAGTAGTAGATAAACTAAAACTTACGCCCTCATTTTTTTAATAACATCAATTCAGACCCCCATACGGATTTTCCTCGAGCTATTTCCCCGTTGATGCCCACTTAACAGCAGTAATGGGCCTCATGAGAGAATTTCCACTAATCCCTTTTCTCCAGGAATCGTTTTTTTTCTCTCTCTAGTTTCACCAGGCCTGATCTATTTTCGTCTCATAAACCGTAGGGCCGCGATAAAGGATGTAATGGGCAATCAGGGTCATGCCGTGCATACGCCGGTTCATTAATGATGTGAATCCACGACGATCTATTCCCTGAATCCACGGCTTTGGAAAGATCTCACGAGAGGTGTACTCCTCTTGAAGTAATGAAAACCGGAATCGTTTCCCTAATTGACTCCCTGAAAAACATCGGGTTCAAACATTCTATGCCAATAGGTATGTATAACCTGTCAATTCTTTGTTTACTGTTAATGATTTCAAAATTATATCACGAATAGGTTGTAGGCAAATTGTGAATACCGTTTTGAAAAAAAAAATCATTCAATTTCAACACTGAAATTACTTCAAGAACTAGTTTAACATGACAACGATATTTTCTTTTGTTTTGATCTTTACAAATTTAAAATTAAAATAATGAATATTCTAAAAACGTTTGTTCTACAAACTAGGTAAAGCTTTTCTCACCTTGAAGAAGAGTTAATTCCAAAGCTCAATTTTAAAAAAAAATATATAAATGCGATTTTAAGATTGTTTTTATTACTTTTATCCCATTGTCGCGTTTTCATTCCTAATCACTTCATAATGTCAGACCTAACGGTACAAACAATTGTATTTATTTGGCAATCTCTTCTACAGAAGAAATACATCTCCACGTATCCATATTCACTAATTCGATAAAACTCGAAACTGACGGGGAAACCGTGAAAATCACTCTGGCCATCAGATCGAGACATGTGAGCGCGTGTGTTCCTCCGGGACTGGAGAAAGCCGTTCTCACTAGGTCACTAGGGATACGCTCACCGGGGTGCCCAAGCAGGTGTAATATCCATTCACCAACGGCCTGCCTTTCTTTTCACAACTTTGAGACACGTGCAACCATATTGTCGCGGTTATTTTCCAACATTTTAAAACAATTGACGTCAAAAGATCAAAAACGGCCTAAGAACGTACGTATCGGTGACATCAAGCAAGGTTTATTAGCAATAGTTACAGAAATCAAACGCATAAATAATTCTAAATAAAAACTATATTATCTTATATGGATTATATTGTCGTTGTTATTTTATTCTGCAGGTTGTAATTAAAATTTATTTTTTCTCTTAATCCATTCTACGCCGCATTGGTTGTTTACGTCTGTGAAATAGAGAGGATCAAGATAAAACATAAATTCACCAACATTTTGGTATGAAAATCAACAGGACTGGTTCAATTAACTTTGCTGTTTCATAAATAAAAACTGGATCAAATTTAGAATACATTCCTATCTATTTATAATTATTTATTAAAAAGTGTATATTTTTAATTATGTAAAGGCAATATAGAACAATAGAAAATACTTGTACGTGTACGGGCATTCTTTTTCTAAAAACATCAAACGCAAAGAACTAGAACAGTAACTGGTGCGTAGAGCGGCGTCGGCTCGCCTTTAGTATTTCGTCCAAGTTCTAATATTTGAAAGGGGAACATTAAAAAGTCGTGGTATTTTAATTAAGCCCAAGTAAAAGATGGGCGTTTTGGGGAGTGAGCGGAATTATGGTCAAGTGATTTCGAACCGGGGAGCCCCTCTCTTTCTGGGGGAGTGAAAGTCCCACCATCGCCGGAAGTGGGTTACGCCGGCACCCGGCCAGTCTCTCGACTACTTTTACCAGGAGTTTAATGGATTAACGGACTTCAATAGGTTACAATAGCAGAATCTGATAGCAGGTGGTTCGTCAAAATGTGTTAACGAGTACCCGTCTTACTGTGTTGCAGATTAGGGGAAAGAGGTACCAGTCACCGCCACTATGCGGATACATTCAACCCTCGTCGTGCCTATATTGGCCCTCACGATCGCTTCACTCAAGGTAAGATAATAATAATGATAGCCCTCGCAATTAGACAGTAAAAAACAGACACTTTCTATAATTTCCCTACATACCTTAAACTGGGTTATCTCATGTACCGATTTTCTTTTTTTAGCCTCATTTATATATTTTGTTTATTATCTATTTATTCTTAACATGTAACAGCAATCATAAAAAGTGCATTTTAAGGATTCTTCATATTTACTTAAATAAACCAGATTGAAATATATGTATTTTCTAATCTTGATATATCCGGCAGACGGTTTTAATCCATGCTTGTATATGCATATAAATTTATTTCTTTGTTGTAGTCCTTTTCTTTTGTGAATAAAAGTATTTATCTATCTATCTTCTTGATACATATATTTATTTATTTAATTAAAAAAACTTCCACACTTCTAATCGCGATTGGGCATTACACAGAATGACAGTAATACATTAATTATCGTTATTAATAATAATAATGATTATTTTGGAAAAATTATTTACAGAATTACATAACATATAACAAAACGATAAAAAGTTTATTTGCTTTGGCCACCATTTTATAAATACAAAGTAAAATTATCTTATTAAAGAATTTCCCCATTAATTTTCTAAAATAAAGTTCGTTTTTTAGGCATTTATACAAACAAACCCAGCCTACTCCGTTTAGATACAAAGTTCACTCTAAGTTAACCCATTTTTATTACAAATATTTCGTTCAGTAAAATTTCAAATTGGGATAATCTGCAACTAAGAGATAATCATTTTCTACTTTCTTTAAATTGTACTTTAAATTGCATAGTGTAAACATTGACACAACTCTACATTAATGGTCTGTAATTTATATTTAACAATTCGCACCTTGCTTTTTTTTAAACTAACTTTGCTTCGTTAAATGGATTGGATTCGGATTTGTATAGGCCCAAATCCGCACAAGTACGTAAATATGTACAAACGTGTATGTGCCGAGTTGAACCTATTCGTTTCTCGTAGTCCATCGGCAAATCCATCTATTGCTAATTACAGTAAAGTTTATTCTTGCGGAAGCGCTTTTGAAGAACTGACCATCGTCGTCTTCAGCAACTTGTGGGAGATTTGTTCAAAAGCGCTTCAACAAAAATAAATTTTCCAAGGCGTACTAGTAAAATAAAATCAACTCCCACAGTAAAGAAAAATGAAATAAGAAAATTAGAAATTTTGAAGGAGCGGAAGTTCATAAATATTTTGGTTTTTGTGAATATTACTGTTTCTATTACAACAAAAAGCTGCAATATTTCGCTTGTAAATTAATTTTAATTAATTTTCAATTAAAAATAAAATTAGATCGGTTTTTGCTTTAAAAGGCATTATTGTTTATTTTTTGTGCTGATGTTGAGAATAAATAGGTTATACATTTTGCAAAAATGGTTACAAAAAATCTCTTTAAACAATGCTTACGGGTTTGAATAAAACATTTAGGTTTATTTTGTTTAATTGTCAAAAAAAATTTAATTAATTGTTCAAAGGGTAAACGGGTTTTGATCATGTTATACACCGGTGGTCATTATAATCGGGTTTGTAAATCTCTGTCCGGAGAGACATGTAATATAGTGCCATTAGATTTTTTGTGTTCAATACCCCATCGACCGCAAGGGTTGAAGGATGGCGAGGGGAAAAAAGGCCGAAAAACCCGACCACGAAAACCAATTAGGGGTTGTCCAAGGGGGGTGTTTACCGGTGAAATTTATAAACAAAGAATCCCCCCCGCCGATGGTTTGGGCGTTGATCTTTTTGTGAAAGGGGCGACAGAGGATCGGCCCTGACCGTGAGAGATGATGGACTTTCACGTGGGGAACCTCGAAGTGGGCCAATGGTACAGCAATTTGCCCCAACGCGCCGCCTGCTCGGATTTTAACCTTCTTACCCTAGAAATCATAGGATTTCATCTTGTTCTGATCATGATCGTTACAAACATCCATCATTTATACAGATGTTATAACCACTATGATGGTATAACAATGATAGACGTTGTTCAGCTTGCCTTTACTTTTTTTATTTTTTGTAACAACACTCATAATTGTATTGTTGACCATAAATCTCAAAAGTACTTGGTTTAGCCTAAACAATACACCTTTATTAAAATTAAGAATAGGAAATTTTATTCATTGATAAAATTGAATTAAAAGCCTTACTTTTAACAGGTTACGACAGGACAAACCAAACTTTATCGTATGACATATACTTTAAGAAACAAACATATATTTGTTTTTAAAAAGAACATAACAGCACGTAATAATATAATGAAATGTGCTGATGCAGAATTGAACTTTTTGTGCATCTTGTCGTGATGAAACAGCACGATTTTTACTGTACTTTCACTACAGAGACGCTTTTTGTCTTATCTTTTCTTCGTTCCCACTGGATTTATTTTTAAATATATACGAAGCCAAAGTAGGCCATTTTGTAACCGAGTGAAGATTTTCTCCTGAAAAACTGTATGTGTGAATTTTTCCATGTAATATAATAAAAAAGGAATTAAATCGTAGTTGTCGTTACCCTAGTGTTATGCACAGGATTTTCAAATCTCATGAAGATTTTCACCGCTTTGATGTTATCAGATTATATCATTTTTGTTAACTTTTTAACTAACAAATCTATGCTAATATGCTTGTCCAGAGGAATTATTGTTGGAACGAATGCAGAAAAAACTTTAGGGCTGACAGGCATGTGAGTGATGACCCAATAAGATCGTATCTACCGACAAGGAAAGGGGTTGGGATTCTCTTTGACCATCTATTATTTGTAATTATATACATCAGTGGCTGCTTGTTAGCCGGCTAAATAACGGAGCATGTCTAATCTTTTCACTCGTGGTTTATTCAAAACAAAAAAACACGAAGTGCTTAGAAAAAACACACTTGTGCTTTTGAGTTTTCTTCAATGTTTTTTGTGGATTGAATTAAAAGAGTGTTTTTAATAAGAATGAAAGTGAGTTTTCACTGTTATAAAGATGAGTACGTTTTCAAATTTTTTACTAGATTTTTCCGTTTTGTTCGGAGAGGAACTATTGTTGTCGCGAAATGTTGGAGAAAGTGACACGGGTCCTTTTATTGAGTTACACCGCCTACTGAACCATGGTACGATTTCTGTTTCGAAACCAGCCGACTGTCTGAAGGACGTTTGGAAATTACAAGTCCAAAATAATTTCCACCGGCCGGCCCAACCGATTCGCGATGCTCTCCGAGATGTGCACTTAGCCATACTTTTCCCACTTCCGATTCGCTACACTTACCCTGGAAGACGGGGAGATTTTTTTTCTCCTTTCCCCATATTTCACTTTCTTCGCCTAGATTTAATAGTCCTGGGCGAACGACGGTCGACAAACTTTCTATAGGATTTCTTCCTTTGTCAGGATTATTACCGATTGTTAATAGGTCGTTATTCCTTTATATACCACCCATTATAGAAAAAGCATTCTAGTTTTGATGTCGCAATATAAAAAAGTTAACTTTTTTTCAAAACATTCGCTTACTTTCCAACAAAATAATTCTTTACCTTTGTACATTCGATAATACATCAAAAACACATTCCTTATTTCAATTCGTGATTTAAATCACTTTGTCCAAGTGTTATTGCAGAAATCAAATGATGAAAGCAACAAACGAAAACGCCTTTGACCACAAACCGCGTGATTGGGAGAATGCAAAAATGATGAAGTGTGAAACCTATGGTCGTATGATGAATAAACCGTTTCTCGAGATGTGGTGAGCAGAGAAAATCTTCAACCTTCGAACGGTCTCAGGCTTCCAGGGAAATTAACATTATCAAAATAGCATCACAAATATAGAAAAATAGACACCGAAAATTTCCTTTCAAACAAGTAATTTATAAACTTATTATGAAAAAACTTTTTTTTTTAAATAGTAACCGCTTTGATCTTTTTATTTACACTGAGTAAAATGGAATTTTTTAATAGCTTACATGGGTATTATGGAATATGAAATTTCAATACATAAACCAGCTTCGAAATATCAACTCATCAAAGAGAAATCAGGATACTTACAAAAATATCTTTTTTGCAATTGACTTTTGTTTGATTCATCTGCTAAGACATCCAAGTAGAATGTCTGTCCTGCTAAAATCGTCCGATAAAATGTTTATCCTGACGTCTTCTGGTCTTAGAAACGTAAGAAACAAACTCCTTTTAATACAGTATATCTTCATTGGTTTTCTTGTGTTGTTTGTTTATTGAGTCAATTTAAATATGAAATGCCTAAACTCGTCTGACAAAAACCCAGCTAAATCATCATTCCGAAGATATCAATGTAATGTTCTACAATATGAATTTTTAGTAAAAACCTAATTTACGAAAGATTAAGTAAAGATTATGTACATGCATGTAATCATATTCTTACCTAATAATCTACACAACACCTGATTTTATACAAAGCATAGGAGATATCTCTACCCTTTAAAATTAATGAAAATTCTACTCTAAATCAAACAAATTTGAAATAATTATGTTATACAAGTTGTCATCATCAACACTTCAAGAGGTTAGACTAAAATTGAACAACTAACCTTTTTAAGTAGGTTATCCTACAAAACTGAACTAAAATGTATTTATTGTTATATTCTCAATTATATTATTATTTTCTTATTTTCAATCCCATTCAATGTTTCAACTCAAGACCAACAATCTGGTTAATTTGTATTACTATCACGATGTTTTAATAAGTATTTCAAAATATTAATGACTATTTTTTAAAACCGATTGTAACTAAAAAATCAAATCTTTAACAATTAAACGCTAAATTTACATTGGTGATAATTGTCCTTTAAAAATGAATTGTACATGGATTTACTGGACATTAGTAGGAGGAATTTTTCTGTAAGCGCCATATCTGTCTAAATTTAGAGAATCGAGAAAATTGTACATAAACTTTAAGCAAAAATTTTTGAAACTAGTAAAAGTTTATATCCTAAGTGATTTGGTTTTTTTTTAAGGAAACGATAAAAACAAATGGATCTTATAGGATTTTTCAATGCTCTTTCAATTGGTACAAATGTGCAGCAGGGTTAACATTTACGATACGAGGAACTTTATGGAATAAAGATGTAAAAGATTGAAGTAAGTTGAAAATTGAATATGTCGAATATAATTGAGAATCAATCTTAGAACAATAGGAAATTTTTAATCGAATTTGACATGAAGGGTAACCTGAAGTATTGACGTCTCTTCACTGGAGACCCAGTATAATGACCATAGTTCATGAAACACAAAAAAATATACTTATGGTGTCCTTTTGTTTAATAAATATTTTGTAATTTATTTTTTAATATTTTTTTAACTGATCCACGAGTTTTTATTTTGTTTCGAATGCTTTCGGACCAACCATCAGCTCCTCTTTAGGCTCCTTTACATTAACATGACCATATTGATTTATGCATTGTCTACTTCTTCCAGTCTACATGCATACAGTATACATACATTATTTTCCTTGAATAATATTTTAACATGATCATAATTTACTTTATGTTTTGTTTGTATTAAATGTTGAGCTAAACAGGTTACTGTTTGTTTTTTATTATATTATTTTGTTGTAGACGTTACTTTGGTTTGTGATGTTTTCATAATGATTTAAAATTAACTTTCAAGTTATAAACTGTAATTGTTATATTATTTATTTTAGCCTTCAAACTTAACTGTACCGCTCTTAGATTTTTTAAAGTTTCGGAAATAAAGGAGTTAATGTTTTCAATGCCTAAATCAATAAAAGAAAATCTTAAAGAAAAGAAAATACATAAAAAAGGAAATAAAATCTTCCGATGTAACAAGTTTTTGTACTGTTTTTCCTGTACAAAACAAACTTTGTAGGACAGTTGTCAACAGAAATAATTCTTTATATGTAACATAGTTGTTTGGGAAAGTTAGCAGGAGCTGATGTACAGAAAAGAATCGTATGGTTTTGAAGAACTTCAATGTCAAGGGTGACTTTCTGTTTATATGGGCCGGAATGATTCTCCACACTCATTTCCAGTCGGAGGAGAAATTCGATGTACTCTCCACGGCGATTCGCACGTTCGCGTTATCCGATTCGCGACGAATTCCGACGTTTTGGTTCATTTTCACTTTCTGTTTCAGGGGGTGACAAGCGATGCGCCTCTGCTGGACTCGGCCTCCTTGCCTCTGGAGCACAGGGCTGTCTACGGGCCGCCACTTCCGGGACCGCCGCCCCCACAGAGCTACGGACCTCCACCCTCGTCCGGAGGGGGAGTCGCTCCAGGACCCGACGACCCTTGGCCCCTCGCCACACCGGATATGCCTCAGATTAAGCATCTGCAAGTCCAATGCGAAAAGACTCACATGCGGGTCAATATCGAATTCGACCGACCTTTCTACGGCATGATATTCTCAAAAGGTGACATCTACATAAACGAAACAAATATATTATAATGATGATTATCAAGTGCTATTTACAAAAATCCAAGTTTTATGGTCTCATAGTGGCAGTAAAAAATACCATTCCCACTTTTAAACCTTAAAAATTGGAACAACAAATATGAAGCGGTATCTTTTTCTGTTTTTAAAAACACATGAAAAATATTATTCAAAAACAAGATGTTCTAGTGGAATTTGGTAGTGTATATTTTAATAATCAGTCAAAATATTTATCAAAACAAGTTTTTTTCTTCAAAAACTATATTCAAGCCGATTCGATCAATTACTTACAAAAAGAATTGTCACTTAATTTCACTTATAAGGAACTATTTTTCCTTTATTAATATAAATTTATATTAACATTATAAATTATGCTAGAGATTATATAACATTTCATTTAGTTATGTTTTCATTTCAATGAGAAAAATACCATAAAATTTGGATTAATTAGTTTTTATATAATCGTTTGTTTAACCATACTTAATTAAAACACATAAAGTGCTTCTTGTTCTTCTAAATTTGCAATGTTTTGAATTCGCCTTAGAAACAAATCGGCAGTGTACACTGTTTATTAATGACAAGCGTTCAAATTGGGTTTCTTACGCATATAACCTTATTAAACAAAAGGGTTACTATCGTTTTCAGTTTTCTAACTCGACGGGGAATTAATCTCATTGAAAAAAAATTAATATTAAAAAAAATTGCCATCCCACGGAGATTTGTCGTAAGTTGATGTTTGATTATTTCTTCTTCACCTTTCGGGGCCTGGTGTGGTTTCGCCATTTAATTATCTCGTCAACCTCTCTTGTACCTTCTTGTCTCGTTGGGTAGCAAAAAATCCACATCATTCTTGAAACTAGAAGGTATGGCTGCAATTCTCTCTTCAGCTTTCCACTGCATAAGTTGGTTACGAGGTATCCGAACTTTCACCCTGACCATTTGCAACGTGACTGTTTGTCTTCATTTACTCTCAATACGATGCTTTTAACAACAAAGTAATATTATAAGATGTATTAAGATGTATTAATAACATTTGAAAAGCGATTTTTCTTTATTCTGATTACTACTAATATTATTAATTTAAACTCTCAATTACTTAGCGGAAAACTGAGCGCAAGAGATTTTAAGGAATGATAGATAAGGGAAGATGTACTATACTAAAATTATGTACATTAATATAGAAATTTGCTTGATTGGACCTTGTTTTCATATTCAATAAGCTTCGCTTGCATGCTCCTTATAACAATTCCATCTGTTTCCTTGTTATATCGTATTTTTTTCTTTTGTAGGTTTCTACAGTGATCCTCATTGCGTACATTTGAAACCTGGCACAGGCCATTTGAGTGCAACATTCGAGATTTTCCTTAACTCCTGTGGAATGTCCTCTTCTGCGAACCACAACACCGGTAACGGCTACTCCACCCCCAGCGGCAGCTATGTGGAAAACACAATCATCATACAATACGACCCCTACGTACAGGAAGTGTGGGATCAAGCAAGGAAACTCAGGTGCACTTGGTACGACTACTACGAGAAGGCTGTCACCTTCAGGCCATTCCAAGTCGACATGCTCCATGCCGTTACTGCTAACTTCCTCGGAGATAATCTCCAATGCTGGATGCAGATCCAAGTAGGAAAAGGACCTTGGGCTTCCGAGGTGTCAGGTATCGTAAAGATCGGACAGACCATGACAATGGTTCTCGCTATCAAAGACGACGAAAACAAATTCGACATGTTGGTAAGAAATTGTGTCGCCCACGACGGAAAGAGAGCACCGATACAACTCGTTGACCAACACGGATGTGTAGTGAGGCCGAAGATTATGTCTAAATTTCAGAAAATCAAGAACTTCGGCCCGAGTGCTTCCGTCGTGTCTTTCGCTTACTTCCAGGCCTTCAAGTTCCCAGATTCGATGAACGTCCACTTCCAATGCGTCATCCAAGTGTGCAGGTACAATTGCCCAGAGCCTAGATGTGGAGGAGACTTCGGACATTTGGGAGGATTAGGTGGATTAGGAGGAGATTATGGCCTCCCGCACAATTCTATTTCAAGTGAATATGGACCACCACCACTGCCAGAATACGGAGCCCCTGCCGCTTACCCGGACCCGAGGCACCCATCAGGTCCCACCGGGGCTTATTCTGAAAATAAACCGGTCGAAGTGGCCGCCCCTTCATCTACATCCAACCCGCCCAACCCATCGTCTCCTGCTCCTCAAAAATCATCCCAGAACAACGACATCCATCTTCCCCCTCCGCCATTACCCGGTCACGCCGCCGCATACACTACAGTCAAAAGGAAAGGAGGCGTCAGCGACGAACTTGAAGGAAACCTGGCTACCCTCGGAGGAAGGCCAAGATCAGTGGAAGGACTTCCAGAAGAACTGAGAGGTGCTCGGAGGAGGAGGGCTCCCGAAGTTTATAACATTGTAGTCAGCCACGTTTACAAGAGAGAAGCTCAAGAAATGACTGATGTAAATACTTCTCGAATAATTCAAGTCGTCGCTCCTGGCGATGTGAACTTTGCCCTGAATGCGGGTAGCGGGAGTAACGAGACTGTAGTTATTTCGGCTGCGACGGGTGCGCCCGACACCGAAGCCATATGTATGAGTGTGCCCAGCTTCGTAGCAGGTCTGATCATGTTGCTGGTCGTCCTAGTAGTCGCCTGCCTAGTTGCAGCTTTTCTTTTTGTGAGAGTACGACAAATCGACAGGAAAGGAATGACGACTACTTACATGCACGGAGGATACGACAACGCTGAATTCGTCAAAGTCGCCAGTTAGTGAAAATCGAATCGTGAATGGATTAAGTGTCGTAGGGGAGCGTGAAACCCTAGTGTGCAAAATATGTGACGTCTTGGAAACCTAGCCGACTTAACGCTAATTCTCCAAACCCGTCACGTAAATATTGTATGGTCCGTGACCACATTTTACCCAAATCCTTGCTCTGTTCCCGACCAGAATTCCCTGTCCCGTCCTATTAAATTATTTATGCCTGTAACTTCCACTCCCTCGCTAACCTTTCCCAAAGATCGTTTAAGTTATTGTTAGTGTGTCATTGTACTAATTGGTGTTGTACATTAAACTATTGAAGCAAAGCATCCGAGTCGCCGTCCTACTTTCCACATTTCAACGCAAAGCTCCCAACAGTCCAATTTCCCACATATCGTAGCCATCTCCTACTTTTTCTATTTCCTTTTGTCTACCTTTTGCAATCGTTTTAGAAACATAGCATTTTTTTGCTTTATACTTTACATTTTAAGCCAATTTTTCCTATTTCCACTACCATATCGTAACGTATCAACACGGCTCAGCCATCTGGCACACCAATACATAACTAGTCATAATTTTTTTGTTTTGTTTTTATTTTTAATAATTTTTTTTGTAAACATTTTTAGTTTTTGTGCGTGTGTGTATGTAAAACATGTATAATATTCTCAATTAAAGGACTTATGTATCATATTAATCAAATATTCCAAATAAAAAGTTCATCATTTTTTTTATTTTTTAAAATTATAAAGAAATTTTTCGTCGCCTATAACCGCTGAAGTGGGGAGGTCCAGCCACCTATTGACCCCAATCCGTTACTCCTAAACTTTTTTCACCTTTGCCACAAATCAAACATAATTGGGAAAAATGTAATTAAAAATATTATCAATAATTTACTTCAATAATAACCTAAATCTAACTAACAGAACTTTAAAATAAACCGTTAAATATTCGTACAATTTCTGTATTATAGCAATTGAATAAATAATGTTATACTTAGCTATCTCCGTAACAAAACAATTGGTTATGGAAATAAATAAATAATTTTTAATATTTACTGTACTATTAAAAAATTGTATCTTTATTTATATCATATTTGATTTTAAATTAGTTTGTTTGAACGAATGATCGAACTCAATGAGGAAGAACGATTTTTGCTGAAAGATATTAAAATTTATTTATTTTGTACAGGCCATAAAGTATTTATAAAAAATAAATTGATATTAAGTAATACATTCTTTTATTTATATTAAAATCAAATTTATCCTTCAGAAAATATTAAGATTTTTCTCGTATTGAATTAATAATGAAGGTTCGACTTCTTAAATTAATAAATATAATCAATTGCTATATGTATACGATACGAAACATGGGAACCGCTATGACTGAGTGGTTAGGCGTACAACTCGATTTTGCCACCCTAGCGGTTCTGGGTTCGAATCCTAGTGCAGCCTGTCGATTTTTAATAAAGAATAGTATGAAAAAATCTTTTTAAAATGTTTGACCAGTCTTCCGAGATAGCCAATGAGTAGCTGGATGATAAACCGTCTTGTATGGAAGTAATTATTTATACGAAATTGAAAGAAGTCATATTTCAGTAATTTTGTATTATTAAATAGATATAATAGATTTTCTACATTTATATTTATAATATATCTTTTTTAATGTATCTCACAATTTTTAATTAAGCAAAATAATCAACCATTAAGGTTAACAATTATTAATCCTACACACATAACATAGCCTTTCAGGTCTTCAGTTCTGTTTTTCTAAATATTCGATTTCAGAGTATTAACGTATATTTCTCATTTCGAAATTAGATTTTTTTTATATGCAACAAATTTAGTGACGACATTACGGTACTTTCACACACATTTACAAGTGGTCAGTTAATGGACAATTAGAGGTTCTCAATTAGTGCTACAAGGTTCCAGCCTGGTTGGTCTAAGCCCGTAGTTAGTCGTCCAGAGTCCATTTTCTTTTTAGGTAGCGGCATCCAAGGGAAAGTTAATTTTAGCGGTGTGAAAAGCGGCGAGGAAACGGACTGTGAATTACTCCAACGTTTGAATTTAAAAAAAGAAGAGAAAAGGAAAATAAGAAATTAGAAAGGTTTTCGTTGACTTCATGTGGTGTCACATGCTCGTTAACTCAATTTCTTTTGTCTATGAACAAAAGCCGTCAAAAAGAAAATGTGTTCTTTGCAGAAATGCTATCGTTAATGGTTAGCATCAAAAGAATATTCAAATCACAAACGCAGAATTTTACAAGATTTTTTACAAGACTTAAAACTAACATTAAATTCGCCTAATGAGTGGACCCTTATCGTAATTTTGCATGAAGCGAGAGTTATAGCATACAAAGAAAACACATTTTTTAAATAATATAAAAATAATGCAAATAAAGAATAATATAATACTTTAAACTAAAAATTAAATTCTGCTATAAGAAAGTGCCCTAAATGCCATGCCTACAATGCAAATGTTGTATATAAATTATCACAACCATTGTAACCATTCAACCAGTCAATTACCTCAGCAAGAGGAAAGCCTAGTTGTGTTGTCACGGCGTGTGGCTTGAAGAACGTTTGATCTGTCGTGGTCTGTGTATTCCGACCACTAGTCGTTCTCATGGCTTGGCAAATCTCGAGCTGCCACTAGTCACCTACTGCGTAAATGTTGTTTTAAATAAGTCAGTTTTGATTTAATGATCAACGCTAGTACAGTGTTCTATTATGATTTATAGATGTTGAAAAATGAATTTCAGGAAAAATCAATAGTTCAGGATAAGTCGGTACCGCTGCAACAAACCGTAACAGATCGTGGAAACGGATGCTCGAGCCGTAGTGAAGTTTGTCATCCGTCCAGCCCCAGGCCTTAAGTTTAAGTATTTACCTACAAAACACTGGAAAAGCCGAGACACCTTGAGCTATCTGGAGCAATGAGTCTTTACGTTCCCACGGCGTGTGGTATGGCCAACTTCTGACCAAGTTCGCCCTGCCACACATCGTGGAAACAAGGATTATAATGTCCTGCCCACCTTTAATTCTGATCTTGTAATATCGGATATAAACCTAAAAAAGGATTATTTTTTCAGTAGCTCCTGTATCACAGAGGACGCATTTAAAACTTCTTTTGACCTGGTGACATTATAATTGAGATGAATGAATGAATTCTTGTCATTTATGTAATGTCTGCTAAATCAAAATTTAAATCTTCTTATAAACTATGAAACATAGACTTATTGATATTAATCCATAAATTATTAGTTATTCAGATATCGTGAGATGCGGTCGAGTGTGATGTAGAGGGGGCACTCTCAACACGACACGCAAGGATGGCACAATTACACAGAAGACAAACACTTTGAGCCCTGAAGATGATCTCAATAAAAGATTGAAACGTTGGCACGATAAAGAAAATGTTTTTCTGAAACCTACATCACACCCGACCGCATCTCACGATATCTGAATAACTATCGATTAACGGTCACTAATCTCTACCCATAAATTATTTTTAAATTCTAAAAGAACTTGTGTTATTAATCCCTCTGTTATGTCCCTATTAAAACATTCCCTTCCAAATTTTGGTATAGTTATTTTATATTTATCACATAAGCCGAGAAATTGCTTGATCCAATACAGTTTTTTGTTAATTACAACATCGGCTAAAATTTTTAGTAGGCGAGTTTATGGCATGGTGGGATTTTTGAATATATTTACAGGGAAAATTAAAAGTGAATTTACATCTAATTCCTGATACACTATATAATTTGGCGAAGTGGAGAGAAATAAAAATAATTTTTTAATGAATAACTTCAGAATTTCTTTACGGTTTCAAACCAATGAAACTCCCACATTTGAGCCTCGCTTAAGCTTTATTAAGCTTTTAAAATACTAAATTTAGAATGAAGGGTAACTTTTTATTTTTAATTAAATTATAGGTTGACAAAACTGCACTCTTGCTCTTTTCAACAAAATGCTGGGCTAATGACAGTTTAAGGATTAAAAAAAAACCTAATATTTATAGATATTAACTACCTCTATTCTTTTATTCTTAAAACTTCAGTTTTGTTTTTCGATGGTTTTCCACCATTTTGGAATATCGTGATTTTGCTAGATTAATAGATAGATTTCACATCTCTGAGTAAACGGCAACACGATCTATCATTCTTTGAATTGAAACAAATTTATAATTTTGTCCCATCAATATTTACAATAAATAGAATAACAAATGTATTTTATTGAGGGAATGTGGCAGGGCGCTAACATTCTTTGAAAAACGTAAGGGTCTATGGACACATTGAAACATCGTCTGCGGATAGGAAACATTATATATTCACCCACTAATCTTTAGACCTCACCCAACGTAAGACATTGAGAAAAATAGAGAACAGTAGGGATGATAGCAAGCATCCTCGTTTTAAACCCATCGTAATTTCAAAACCCTATTTGTTCTATGAACTGATTCTTTATGAACTTGGATTAAGAGTTCTTCATTCTTCATCTAACAACCATGGGCTAGTAAGGGAAGATGATGGAGTGCTCAAAGTAACAAAATAATCGATGGATCACTGAAGTTTGTATGAAACTGAACCTTCAAGAAGGTTTCGCCACTCTTGCTTTTTGGTTTTTTTTTATTGTATTATGGAACCTCCTTTTGTTGCCCTGTAGGATGCTCGGAACGTTCTCTGATGATGACATTTCTTTCCCCGAGCATTTTTCTTCTAGCTGCTGCCGTTTCCTTCTTCAGTTTTGACAACTCTTGATTACTCCAGGGTGTGCTTCTCGTCCTCTGTATACACTTTTGTCAACGTCATTTCGCAGGCTTTTTTTTAATACAAAAAGGCGATCAACCGCTTTGGGTCATTTTCCGCCTTAAAAGCTTTCAAGCTGGGTGGCGAGTGGATCACACCATCGCCCTTGCATAACCACCACCCGACGGGCACTCAAACCTCACCCCCAGACCCCAGTAAAATACAGATTATTGCATAAAATGAATATTCTTTTGTATTAAATTATTTTATCATTTTATCTTCACATTTCAAAAATTAATTTAGTTTTTTTAAGGAAAGTTAGTAGTTTGTCTATTTGATCGGAGTCATCACCAAGCGAGTCTTTCATGTTGGTTGAAATTTGCGGCCGATGTCTTTCTCCTTCATATTTTATGCAATTTGTCAAAATGTGTTTAACTGTTATTCTTTCTGTACAAACATCACAAAGCGGAGTATCTTTTTTTGCCATGAGATAAGAATGAGTAAGCCTACAATGACCAATTCTGAGCCTAGGAAGGACAACTTCTTCGTGCCTGGAACCCCTATGAGATGAAGCCCAAGGTTTTACACAGTTTTTTTGCCCCTAAGTTTGACATCAGTAGTTGTTTCCCATTCTCTTTGCCATAACTGCCAAGACTTTTTTATGTCAAGCTGTCACATCGGATTTTGGTGTTTTTGTAATTTTAATTCCATTAAGGACATCCTTTGCCAAATGGTCCACCTTCTCATTGCCAAATATTCCGCAGTGTCCAGGAATCCACATGAATACTACTTAATTTCCCTGATTTTGCAAAGATTCCACGGCAAATAGGATGTCTTGTATCAATGGATGTACAGAAAAGTTGTTTTTGAGCACCAATAGCGCCGACAAAGAGACAGTACAGATGGCAATCGTTTCCCTGGATGGGGCTAATATAGTTAAGCACTTTGCTACTGCTATAAGCTCAGCAATGTAGCTGATACATATAGGTGGTACGGTAAACATATACTGTGCATTATTATTGTAAGTGAAGAAAGCAGCACCTGTCCCTACATCATTTTTTGAACCATCTGTAAAACATAGTGTTGGATTCGAAAAGATATCTGTTGTTTTATAAAACTCTTGGCTGTACATGTAGGGGGGAGTATTCTGCTTTAAAAATTTAGTAAGGTCTAAGCATAGATTAGGCTTTGAAAGCAGCCAGGGTGGTTTAGGTGAAACTCCAATTTTATAGAGAGGGGGGATCGCAGCATTTATTAATTGTAAATGAGCAGCACTCAAGATGGAAAATGTAGGGTATTTTCAAACGGAATAGAGTTTCCTCTTAGAAAAAGGGACACTAGAGGATAGGAAGGGTAAATGTTTTAGAGAATTTTCACTGCAAAGTTCAAATCAAGTCTTCATCTCCGATGTTTGAGGGGCAATTCTCGGGCTCCTGCATGCACACTAATAGATGGACTAGATCTAAATGCACCTATGGCTAGACGCAAACCTGTGTTTTGCAACGGTTCAATCATGGACAATGTTCTGTCACTAGCAGAGCCGTATGCAGAACTCCCATAGTCCAGTTTAGAGCGAATGAGACATCGGTTGATTTTAGATGCTCTTATCAGTACCCATGTCGTTCCTCTAATCATTCGGAGAAAATTGATAGAATTCGAGCATTGTGCTTTCAGTGTTTTCAAATGTTTAGACCAATTAAGATTACGATCGAAGATTACCCTTAAATATCGAACAGAATCAGCAAAGTCTACAGGTGTGCCATGAATTTTAAGTGACATATTAGTACGAGGCCATCTCTTTGCATAAAGGACCGCCTTAGTTTTTGATAATGAAATCTTGAAACCATTTTTGGTTAGCCAATCAGAAGCAACATTCAGAGCCTCCCGAATACTTTTTTCCATTACACTTAAATTTTTTCCCTTTAGATAGATAACAATGTCATCTTGGATAAATTCTTTAGATTCAGCCGTCCCGCATCTCACTCTAAAACTTCTATCAGATATAAAATTTACAATAAATTTTAGCACATTACCAGTAATACCCATTTTAATAAGTGAGTTTATTATTAATCGTTTCCTTGTTCGATCGAATTTCTAGATCTAGGAAAACAGCTAGGACTCTATCGCCATTATTACATGCATTCAGAATGTCATACTCTATACCAACTATGTTGTCAAGATCTTCCCTTTCTGAAACCATTTCGCAGGCTCTATCCAAGGCGGTTGTTAAGGCCGAGATTTTTGGCTGGCCAGAAGAAATTTACGGGGTTGCTGCGTAATTGATTGGCTATAACTTCACACGTTTCCTCTAGATTTGCCCTCTTCGTTACGAACCGCTTCAGCTTATTAACGTTAGCCGCTATTGACTTTAGATTTGATCCCTTTGTTTGAAGCGGGGCTAGGTCTGTGCGTATTAGGGCATGGTCACTATTAGTACCAAGGTGAAGGGTTTAATCAATTATTCATACTATCCAGGGCCTGGATAACATTACAAGATGTTCTCAAAATAAAACAAAAAATACAATCACGCAGTTTGATTTGAAACGTTTTTTCTGTAAATTTGACTTCATATCAATCCATCCGAACATTCCAAACCATATCAGCAATGTCTAAGTACCAAAAGATCTCAATATTAACTGTTAAGAAAATACCCAATCAGATAGTCAAGCAGTTATACGAGCTACTCGTTTGCTGATATCGTTATACGAGAAGATTGTACAAACAACCTCCATTATTGATCATAAAACAATAATGCCCGTTTGACTTAAATACCAGAACAAAAATAAAAAGTAAATTCTTAGACTTAGTTACTAAACTTCTAATCCAAAACCTGTAGTAGGCATTAAATCAGCACTTTTAAAACACATAAAGTGGGTAAGAAAAAGTATAAAACACGGAGATAAATGAGGCCAAAGGGATTCTAAATAAATAATCGACAGTACATCGTCTGAACTTTCTCTCAGTAGAAATAATCTTAGATAACTGACAGGCCTATTGACAGGACACCGTCATTTAAAGAAACGTGCATACAATAGGGAACAAGAGAAACGGGCCTTTTGCAGACTATATGAGTGTGAAAAAATAGTAATCTGTTTCACATTTTATCTTCAAGTGTGAAGTATCAAGATTGAGACAAGAAATGGTTTGGAAACAAAACTCAAGTATTTTGGTCTTTCTAACATTGTATAAATTAGTGTAAATCAAAAGATATAAGACATTCAATCCAACTGCCTAAATACCCTAACACACTGGGCTTTCCAAATTACTAGGCACCTATTACGCTAAGATGGTCCTACGTCCTGAAGGAATTTCTAGCAACGATGCTGTAAATATATGTGCTAGCTAAAACATCAGCTTTGGAACAGCACTAAAAAAGAAATGGAATAAAGCTATTAAAGAATACAACAAATATTGAGAATGAATGCCAGCAATGAGGCAATTTTTACCTGACTACTCGAAAAAACAGCCCAAAGGAAGAAAGTGTAACTATTAGAAAACAAATAAGTTAAAAACTCTAACATGAATATTTACAGGACATGCTCTAGTAAAATACCGTATAAAAATTAGTCTAATATCAGATGGATATGCCAAGTTTAGGGGAGACAGAAACAACAAAGTAACTGCCCTGTAATAGTTAGGAAAACGCTACGGTACCAAGGAAAGCCATTATATCTAGATAACATATTCCTATAAAAATTCTTTAGCTTATTAAAAAAAAGTAAAATCCTCCAGGAAAACCATAAGCAGACATCGGACACAATAGACGAAAGTGCTAAACTGAAATCCCTACACTCCAAATTGGGAGAAAATAGCTCTGATTTGTTGAACTCTTTTGTAACAGTTCTTATGGATACTTCAGACTAAATTTTATTACTGATCAAAATCTTAAAAATAGACATGATAGGTTTTAAACATTTCCGAATATCGTCCAGAGTCCCGGGTTAGCAGTTTTTAAACGCGATCTAGTTTCTTTAGCAATGTCGTCCTCAGTTATATTTTCATTATATATTTTAAAGTCCACTGGTAGAAATGTTTTGGATTCGGCGGACCAGTCCGACCAGTATTTGACAGCGGTTATGATTGAAGATTTTAACACATACTCGGGCAATTATGATTTTTACAATGTTTTCACCGTTATACAATATTTTGTTCTTGATGAATGTATTAATTCTATTTTATCATTAATAACTTATTATAATCTTTGAAAGTTTTTTAAAAAGTTTTTTCATAGTCTTCAAAGACAATGTAACTCGGAAAATGGAGCACCTTCAAAAGCAGAAATGTATTTATCGCGTTGCCTCATGCATGACTAACTAGTTGACATGTTCCAATTCTTTATCGAGCTTTGGTACACGAGCTTTCTACGTCTGCTCATCTTTAAAGTCGTTAATTGGGGTTCATGCGTGTACGGGAATGTTTTCGTGTTTTCGCGTTCTTGTAATGATTGAGGCGTTTAAAAAAGTGTAAAATTAAACTATACACGATTGACAACTCAAGATTCCGTCGGATTTATGGATTATTTCGATGTGTATGTTGTTGCAATTTAAAATGGTAACTTCTTTTTTTATAGGATTTTATATTTTGGATTTATATTCCAGCCTTTTGTATTTACAGTAAAGTGCCGGCAAAAAATTTATGTAGTATCTCAATTTTATAACAGGGAGGTGGACTTACAATTTGTAACTGCCCTCTGAAAAAAAATAATAATAATAAATGTGTTGGTGTCTCCTCTGCCTCTTTGCAGAATCTGCTTGTGCTGTCTTGGATTATTCCAAATCTTCTTTAAGTGTCCATTTAGCTTGCAGGGTCCTGTTAAGAATCCTATTAGGTTTTGCAGTTTATTCCTGCTTCCTTTGACACATGCTGTAGTTTCTTTTCTTCCAAAATTTGTGAAGAGATTCTTGGATTGCCTATGTCCAATGAGTGAATTCCATTGTTCCTTCATTTTCTTTTTGTCCTTCTGTCTGAGTACTCATTACTAGTGTGAGTTCCTTTACCCCAGAAGGGTTCGGGTCCTATCAGCAGTATAGCAGCTTTCTTGCAGGGGTGTCCACTTTCTCGTTGAATTCTACTCCCTTGTGTCCGAGGACCCAGCAGAGGCTGACCTGTTCTGTACCTAATATATTTAATTTGGTTTTGCAGTTCAGCACCATCTTTAAACTAATGATATTTGAGCTTAGTGCTTTGATGGCTGCTTGGTTATCAAGTAATAGGTACAGTAAGTACCTATAAAATACTAATAAAGCCTAGAAACCAAAGAAGTGATTTACTGATAAGTTTAGCCCTCTGTCTATAAAAGTGGAATTTTAATTATACATTGTAGGTTAATACATCAATGCCAAATTTTCTCCCGTCTATCAAAAACTATGGAAATGGCAGACACAATTAATTAAAACAACCATTTGCTTAAGACTAGATTTTTATTTACAAATTTCGATATAAACAAACTCCACGTACAAATACAAACCAAGAAAGGGGGGGGCTTATTTATCTGTGATAGGAAAACTAATTTTGTCCATCAGTTCATCGATCCTCGAGTTGAGCGTTTCCAACACATCGGCAGATATGAACAAATGGGTTTCATCAAGATCTTGGATTATGTATTTCTTCCCAATGGCCAGCGTCTCGTCCAGGTAGACCAGGAATTCTTTCATTGCAGGGTCACTGAAACACAATTTTGCCAACACATTTTACAAATGAAATTCTTTCATTATCCTATAAAATTTGGTATTTAATTTTTGTTATCAATAATTAATTTCTTCAGTAAAATTTGAACTATACATTGTTTGGTGAAAATTAAAAATCATAAATAAGTTCAACGAAAGCAATATTTTTATTTTTTTTTAATAACACTTCATGCTGTTACAAAAGTTCTTGTAAAAATTAGAAAAATTTATAATACAGATTTTTTTCTAAATATTTCCCATTCTTGTTGTTTCCTAAGTGTGTTATTAGAAATATATTTATTGACAATTATAATGTTATGGGGGCGTCGGTGATCGCAAGGTTTAATCTTTGACACGGCGCTCATCACTGTAAGGTAAAGGTCCCGGGTTCGAATCCAGTGGCCCTGCATTCGAACCCGACATACTTACAAATGGGATTTTTTTCAAAAACACCGGCACCCTGAGGGTTTATATGACCTCTGCTGTTGCAAAACCTCATTAAAAAAATAAAATAAGATATNTATATATATAATGTAGATGTCAGGGAATAAGTAGGGTGAGGCAAAACCATGATTTCTTTCATTTCAGCTCATTTTGCCTGTTTGCGCAAGTCTGATGTGCATGACTTATTCAGAATGCTTCAAAGCATAATAATGCTTTTAAAATTCACCACATTCTACTAAAAATAAAGTCTTCTAATGTATATACAGATAATTTAAATGTCTGCCTAATCCGAACATGTTTTGATCCAATTGTTTATTTAATAAGCTATACATTTTTAGTATTCTCCAGTTAAATTTGAACGGTATTACTTTTTCAGTTGTGCCCTTGTCTAAAAATCTACTTCCCAGTTTGTTGCACATTTACCCTTTGATTGGGTAAAGATTTTCTCTTCAGGTCTGTGGAGTAATTGTATCAGGTGGTAAATAAGTCACTAGTGGTTTTTTTTTCTTCTTTTTTTAAATGAAGTTTTTACTATTAATAGTTTTATAAGAATAAATAAAAATCTGAAGGGGCAATGTCAGGCAAATATCATGAATGGGGTAGCACGTCCCGGCCAAGCTCCAACAATTTCTGGTGCATCAAAGACAAGTGGGGGCAAGTGCTTTTTATTTTGGTATAAAACAATCCCATTGCAATTAGTTAAAGCCAGTTGTTGTTGACTTTAATTGACAAAAGAAGCTCACAATAAAGCACCCCCTTCTATTCCTACCAAAGGCAAAACATTAACTTCTTGGGATGTAATCCAGTTTGTGGAGTTGTTAATGACAGGTTGCTATGTTTTCACCAGGATTTTCGTCTCTTAAAATTGTTATAAAGGACCCAATTTTCAACTTTAGTTACAAATCTTTTTAAAAATGGGTGGTTAGGGCTACTGCTCTCAGGTGCATTTATTTTGATAATTTGGTACATTTTGTATTTGGCATGTCTATTATAGTGGGAATAGGCCTGAAGAATACCAACAGAAAATCATCATCACTTCATTCTGCATCGCCCATGGACACTCCGGCTGGTGATTCTATGCTTGCCTGATGGACTACTCTTCTTCATGCTTCATCTTTTTTTTTGTCGATGGATGCATCATCTCCAATCATCTCTTCCTGACGGACTTATCATCCTGCGATTTCCTGCATCTTATTCTTTTTCTTTTTTTTTTAACTATAAGTTGAAATGCTTGTATGAGATATGTTACATGTCTCAATGACGTCATCATGTCACTGAGTGTGGGTATTTGTGAAAAAAGCTTAAAGTTAATCATCATCAACAGTTTATGGATGACCACAGAGCATTTTGAGTCATCCAAAACAAAATTTCTGCTTCTGAACTAAATAAACCAATTAAGGTACATCACAAATTTTCCTAGCAGTCTGAGCTGTAGTTTTTCCCTTTGAAGTCATAAAAAAGCCATTAAATGATATTATGCACTATTTTTCCTACAGGCTGATTTAGTCTTGAAATTATGAGACCCGAACCGCAAAACCTCCGCTTGTTCTCCTGTCTGATTTTTAGTTATGTAACCCATTCTTACCGCCTCCCTGGCCATTTAAACTATAAAATAACAATGTTATGAGACATTGATCTGCTGATGGAAAACACTTGGACTCATCTTTACCAGTCATGAAACTTCACAAATACGAATAGAAAAATGCAGGTAGCTGTTACAACTCAATTAAACTATTTTAATTATCTGTTGAAGGTTGGAAAGATCCAAGAATGTAGCATTGGCTGATCAAATATTTGATTTGATTTGGTAAATGATCAATTTTGCAACCCGGGAATGCTAACGGCTATTTTAGCTCTACTTTCCATCCAAAGGCATTTTTGCTACATACTTCACATCCAACATACAACCTTCAACCAGTACTTCCCCAAACTCAAGGAGGAGTTAGGATCATAGCTTAGAGCGAACTTCCCAAACTGTGGTCTGTGGAACCCTTGGGGGTCCACCAATCCTAACTAGGGGTCTGTGGCGAATTTCGAGAAAAATTAAAATTTACAAAAATAAACAGAATGAATGAATAAAATTAAAACGCTAATAACAATGAAAAAAGTTTTTTATTTTGTAGCAGAAGTGATTGTGTTCTCCTCATATTTTAGCTATAAAACAAATGCCGGCTTCTTTTATGAAATTTTTGGATGAGTCTGTTCAAATTATTAATTATATCAAGTCACAGCCATTGAAGTTAAGAATTTTCAAAATACTATGTGATGATGTGGGAAGCCTTTATCATTCCCTGCTTCTCCATACAAAAATGAGGTGGCTGTCTCCCTATTACAGGAATCTTAATCTCATCTTGTTGATGGACCACAATGTCAAATTGGCCAATGTATTCCATGATAAAAAAGGCAATGTATACTGTCGTATTTATCGGAGTTTTTCATTTAAATGAATGAGATTAGTCTTTCTTTTCAAGGGAAGAGTATCACAACTTTCGATGCTAATGACAAAGGTAACACCTCAAAAAAAAAATCTAGTTTTAGGTTTAACTGTTGAGAGGTGCAGTGTTTTCCTGTGTTAAATGATTTTTTGGAGAAAAACTGGAGCTTGCGAACAGCACGTTGATTGATGAAATATATGAACACCTTCGAAGTTTGGAGATGTCGTTTGTGCACTACTTCCCAACAGCTTGGGATACAATGCTGCAAGACCACGAATGGGTGATCAAACTGTTTTTTGTTTTGACAATGCCAACCAGTCTGTCTTCAAGTGACTACAAATTTTAATAGACATTACTTCAGATTCCACCTTGCAATCAACTTTCGAGTCCGATGCTTACCCACAATTTTGACTCTGACTGGAAAACGCAAAATTTCCACTGCTCATTGAAAAAGCAAAACTTATTTTTCTTCCATTTGCCACAACTTATGCGAATCCAGTTTTTCTATCTACACAGCCATCAAAAATAAATATCGAAGCTGTCCAGATGCTGTACCTGACTTACATCTCCAGCTATCCAAAATTAAAACCAACATATCCCAATTGTGCAGGCTAAAACAACTACTTCACTCTTCCCGTTAATTCATTAATAATTTCTTTTGAATTGATTACTTTTGAAATTGGCTGAAATTCTGTTCTGTCAAATTTGATTTTTGTGTTCTGGATTTTGTAAATAAATTAAGTATGTCAATCTAATGTTTGTTTTAATAATCATACACTGACAGGCAAAAAATTCTGCCCACTTGCAATATAACTTGATTTGTATATATTTTTATATATTAATCAAAGTTTCATGTTTTTTACTGTTTAATAATTAAGTCTTTGTCTAAAAAAGTAAAAACAAAAATGTAAATTCTAAGGAAAATTAAAAACAAACAAAAAATAAAGAAAAGACAAAATTTGGTTTAATTTTGTTTTAGATTTTTAATTAACATTTCAATATCACGTATTTCCTCCTCGCCCTAATTACATCTCAAAGATGCCTCGGCATACATTCTACCAGCTGGAAATGTCTCTTTGCTGGAGGTTAGCCCATTCTTCACAAAGAGTCCTTTCAAGATCATGGAGTGTATCAGGAAGTGATGGACGTGCTCTTATTCATCTTTTGAGGTTATCCAATAATATTCGATGGGGTTCGAGTCTGGAGAACGGGCTGGCCAGGCTAAGACCTTGATATTATGCTGTTGAAGGCACGTTTGTACTATGCGAGCGACATGTGGATGGGCATTATCGTGCATTAGAATAGGATTGTCACTGATTTCATCGAGAATAGGCAATGCATGTTACAAAATTTCATCCATATAGTGAGTGGCTGTCAAAGACCCTCCACAAATAACAACCAACACTGTGCAACTTTCCATTGAAATTCCCGTCCTCACCATCACTAAGCTACATTGAAAAGGTTGGCTCTGGGAAAAATTACAGGCTTCATACCTTCATTTTGCCTTCTCCACACTCTTTCACACTCATTTGGAGATCATAGAGCAATTCTACACTCATCTGTAAAAAGTACAGCAAACCAATCGTCCAAAGACCAATAGCTGGCTGGTTCTCGAGCAAATATGCGCAGTACAACTCAGTGTGTTCTCATCAATTCTGGTCCTCTTACAGTGCGTTCAAAAATTTTAACATCTTGAACTTCCTGTAGCTGATGATCGCTTGAACAACAGTAAGGTGCCGGTTTTGCAAAATTCTCAGTGTCAAAAAACGGTCATCTTGTGCTTCTGTTACCCTAGGGCGTCCAGAACCGGGCCTTCTATGGTAGGACCCAGTTCCCCGAAAACGTCTAACTGCATCAAACAGTGTTTCCTAGGGAACTCTGATGGCAATCGCCGCATACCTGATGGAACGTCCATCATCAATAAGTGCCACACCACGCGCAACATCCTAAGTACTAAGTGGCATTTTTAAGTTTAAAAATTGAAATTAAGAAAACAAATATGAAACCTAAACAGTTTATTGGTTTAGAATTCAAATGAGACTGAATAAACATTTTAAATTTTGTAAAAATTAAACATTGAAGATTGAAAAATCCTTTATCCTTTTTTGGATTAAGGATGAAGTGTGTTTACGTATAACTGATATTCCCAATTTAAAACATAGCATAAACAAATATTTACTGATAAATGAGTGAGACAAATTAAGGGCAGAATTTTCTTTTATCAAGAAAATTTTAAAAAATCAGTTGGGTGGAATTTTTTGCCTGTCAGTGTTTCCATCACCTCATTAGGAGTGGGTTGGCTAATTTATAAAGCTTTAATTTTCTACATATACTACAAGTAAGTAATTAATAACATACTTGAATGAGAGGGGGTCCACCCTGGATTTTGTTCTGTGAAAGGGGTCTGTTAGCTAAACAGTTTGCGAAGCCCTGGTTTAGAGTCAATAACAGTTTAAAAGTCTTCATTATCCATTATTATTAAAACATGTTAACATTATTAAAATATGTTATACAGTTGAAACACCAAAGTGGATGTTATCTGGCTAAGCCGATAAAACATAAATCTAGCATAGAAACTCTATTATAAATCTAAACATTCAGCATGTAATGTCATAGACACCTTTTATACCTAAGAGGAACTCACCATTTGACCAGAATCCCTTTTGTTACATTCACCATTTTTGGTCAAACCACTGTAAATATTTCAGGACAAATGTGTTAAATTAAACGAAAAATTCCACAATAGTAAACTTTTGTACAGGGTACAGCTTGTCTGCACACACTTAGGTACTTGTGTGACTAAAGGAAGGTTTTGAAACGCAGGTTATTTCAATCATCAGCCTATCTGTTATTTGCGTTTTTATAAAAGCATTACACCACATTTACCGAAAATAACAAATTTATATTTACAATTTGAACAAATTTACAAAATAAATATTTATAAACTGGATTACAAACGGCCCCGAAAGTGGGATTCGACGAATTAAATTCCCCCCTAGTTCAACAGACATGGTTCGGCAACCTGCTCATCAGTATTCGTAGTTCCTACCTCTGGGCTCTGACCGTTTTATGTTTGTTATTTGAAAAGTATTTGTTGCTTACTAACATTGTTCTTTATTTTAATGTACTTTTAATACTTTCTAATATACTTGTTTGAGCCTAACAATAAAATATGGCACCTTCCAAATTGGTAATTATTTAAATATTTTAATTATGAATAATCTTAGTAGAAGTAGTTTCATATTGTTATCAAAGAAATATTGAGTATTTTTAATTTGTTAGCTTTTTAATTTATATAGAAGAACAATAAGCTTGATCAATTCAGTCCTGACAGGTTGTAATGATATAAAATAATAAATATAAAATAATTTCAAAAGCTGGTTAGGCATTTGATAAATAGTGTTATCTTTTAGCTTTGTAATTGGCTAAGAATGCTATAAAACAAGGTGAATGGAACAATATTCCAGTCCCATGGCAGGACGTTAAAAGTTTTTTTCATGCCAAACTTTCCAATCGTACGATCCAAAGAAGTAACACGGGCTCTTTCTATTTTAAAATTAATCCAAACGTAAATAAAAAACTTTGGTTCTACCTGAGCACGACCAATAAAGGAAATTGTACGATAATAACCAGAATGAGACTTAATCATGGAATATGTGGCACTTATTTACAGAAGATTGGTCAGAGGAACAGTAAAGAGTGTCAGAGCTGTGGGATAACAGAAGACCTAGAGCAAATATTTATGGTTTGTTCACAGTATGAAAAAGAAAGGAAAGAAATGTTTGATGAACTGTATAAACTAAAAACGTTGGACAAACCATTTGATTATAGATGTCTACTGTTTCCTAAAGATCTTTGTATTTATACAAATATCGTTAAATTTGTCCATGAGTGTCACATAACTATTTGAGACGATAACTGTCTCTGGCCTGCTGCTTGGGGGCGGGGGGGGGGGTCCTTGTCTGGTTGCTGGGGGTGTGTGGCGCTGAGGTGGCTCTGGTACATGGACATCGATAGCCGTCCCCAATCAGTTTGGAATGTGGGTGGCCAGGCACACACGCACATCCCACCAGGAGATCGGACGTACTTGAGTCAAATTGGAATTTGAGGTGGAGTCCCCTGGTGCCGCATTTTTCCCCGGTGGGTGGGCTGGGGCTCTCTTCTTCCCGGGTGGAGGTGTGGACTTTGCGCTAATGGTGAAAACCAAGGCAAAAAAAAAAATTGGTAATTTTCCTGGCACGGTTATGATCAGAAACGACCAAATTATTTGTTAAATAGATCTGTCAAATTCATCTTCATTTTGTGAGAATTCATCTTGTTGCCTGCAGGATTTTTCAACCTGCAACTTGGTTGTTTACGATCATTTTATCTGTACGATTTGTTTCAGCTTTTCGCCATCTTCGGTCATGAATTTATGCATCAATTGGTCAGTGATACTTGTATGTTTGTAAGATGTCTTAACATGTTCAATGCAGCTGACTTCAAGGGAGCCAAAGGGTTCCAAGCGGCTGAATGGCTGACTTGCAGGCATAACGATTAAGAAAATTAATTTTAATAATATACTAGCCAGCCTTACTTCTCATTTGTATAAGCTCAAATCTGCACAAGCATGTACATACATCCACACTGTATAGAGTTGAGCATATCCCTTCTCACGGACCACCGGCAACTCAAGCTTTTACAATTTACAATGCATTACCAACAGGCCTCAAGAATCCACTCAACAGCCAGATCATTTCAGCCCACAAAGCAATCAGTTCACCGTAAATTCAAACCAATTCACACTCTCACCCACTCTTAAGTAAATTCTTTCTTATTTATATACCATTTGCTCAGTTAGAGTAAATGTACTTTGCGCTCCATCACACTTTATACATACATAACTAATCTAATCAAGAGTTGATGGGTTATTCAATATTCTGCCATTGGCCATCTCACTACACATTCATGCCAATAAATACATTCACTCTCAGCATGTGCTGGGGCCACAAAACTATCGGTACTGTATACAATAAAAAATACTTGTTCCTCCAAGAATCAAAACCGGGGACCCAGATACTCGTTGTCATGCTCAAGCACAATTATCATATCATATATGGCATGCCAGACACATATCGGACTTTGGTCCAAAAGTCAGTTTGCATGACAATCTAGCATAGCCTATTCTTAATCGGGCGAGGATGATGCTTCTATCAGTCAGGCTACTTATCGACACTGTTCTTGATATGCGAGAGCCATCCGAAAATCGAAAATGTTAATAGTTGATTTATTGTGGAGTAAAACCTTGGGTTTTTCATTGTTGGTTGTGGCCAATTATTGAGTTCATTTTCTGTGTATGGTATGAAGTAATGGGAAAAGTAAGTTATGTGGCCAAAACATGAAGTAGATAGACCAAAATGATAGAAAACAACCAAATTAAATATTTAGGAAATAGATTCACCAGTACATGTAAATCTTGTGAGATTTCATCATGGCATCGGTGGGTTTTTGAACTTCCACCTTTCTGGACTGTCGTCAGTTGTGTAATTTTTTTAACTGTCATATCAATGACAAAATAACAGACAAACCTGAAGATGGCTGAAACACAAAACCCATCTTATGGATCAAAACGGAGAGATAACTGAACAAAATGATTTGAACAACTAAGCTTCTTCATTATCTGCTGTGCTATATGGTCAGGAATAGTCAAAAAGGGCTGAAATGTTTGTTTTTCTTATTTTGTTAAAGCTAAATTTAATGATATAAGTCAAATAATGTAATTTTTTATTCAGACAAGAATGAAACAGAGATGCAACAAAGATAAACGGTTAAAGATGCTGTTACGACGGATGGCCTCTTTGACCCAAGGTATACCTATAAAAAACATAAATTTACAAGTTATAATTTTTTTTTTTTTTTTCAGCAAACGAAAACATGAAAATCACCAATGAACAACTTGTAAATAAAGTTGTCGAGACAGATTTGCTTTTGTCTAATCTGAAGAATGAAAACCATACAGTTATGAAACAAAATTTCAACTTGTTAACTGAAAATAATAAGCTGAAGAACGTTTTACAAAAGTTGAACCACAATTTAACGAAGCTGATCACTTGGCACGGAGATGCTTCTCATATTTTGCTCAACAGCAAAACAATGTTGACTAACCAGAATTTAAATTTGTGTGAGTATTCAACTATCAGTCTAGTTCGTCAAAAATGCAACGTTCACTCTACAATTACAATTTTTTTACAGCTATTTTTGAAGACTATTCTAGTGCAGGTAGTACTTGTAACTTTTTAAACACAGCAGAATGCGATAAAAGTAGGTAGTTTCGACATTTGTCGATATCACAATATAATATTCAACTTTTTCCTTTTTTTTAAAGCAGCTAAATCCAAGGCGCAGGCAATGGTTAATCCGATGATAGAAGGTCAAATCATCAAAAGTCCAATGGTATCATTAAAACGATTAAAGTTCAACAGCCAAGAACTTCACGAAGAGAAGAAAGGTAAATTATTATTCAGACATTTATCTATAGTTCATATGCATAACTTTTATCAGAAGACGGAATTATCAGTGATTTAATTATTCAATTGGGTAGCTATAGCTTAATGACTATTGCAAAAAAAAAAAATATATATATATATATATACATTTCTAAGATGCTGTTTTTGTTCGATTGGAGAAGGGTTAACATACAGGCTTATTTACCTTTTGTATGGAGGCAAGTCAGCCACACTCTAACTCAAGGGAAGAGCTCATTCACAAGAGAACTTATCCCAATCGACGCTCGCCAACACATCCATATCCTTCTGGGTCTTCCAGGATCTTTCCACAGCTTCCTGAATTCTCAACAGTCAACTCTTGTTGCAATATATACATCTCTTTGCTCTAGCTGGCAGCCCACCTGCTAATGGGACTCCAAATTTACGGTTTCCGTCAGTTTAATGAACTGTATTTGCAATATACAACACTTTAATAATTTAAAATTCACGTTGGATATGTATTTTATATTTTTAACAACTTATTTTAAAACTTAATAATTCCCTTTGTACTCTATGAGTAATTGCCAAATACAATAGTACTAGTTGAATTTTGATTTATGAAAATCCAGTTTTGATTCCTTCCAACATATAAAACATTTTTCTGAGGTAGTAGTCTGAAGGAACGTTGTGTGGAAGGTGTGGTTAGAACTTATTGCATTTTGGAAAAGCTTTCACTGTTTTGTTGAGAAGCATACGGTCTTTGTTGAAACAAAATTTCCTTCCTAATGCCATAAATTATTTGTCCATAAACACATACAAATGTTGCAGTTGTTCCAAATTGATCTCAGAATTGACAGAATGCCATTTTTACAGCCCCTAGCTTTTGTAATTGACAATTGACACATTATTGCTATAATTGTGTGACTCGCGATTCCATTCATAATTTGTGCTAATTATGAATACATTTTACTTGAAATTTTAGCCTGTATCAAATATTCGGTTTTATATTTTAGGACTTCGAGAATTGACCAGACACTTTGATACAGAAAAACTAAGCCCTATCTCTGAAGCAGTTCCTTCTACTTCTGTAAGTAATTTTTAACAACAATAAAATGCTCTTTGTTATATTTTTTAATTCTTATTTGTTTTTTTCAATAGCGTCGATTAGGTTGGAGACATGGTCCGAGATTTAATGGTAAATTTTGTAGTTTCCTTTTCAGTTTTTATTATTTTAATAATATTGTCTTTCTTTAGATGTTGCGCAACAAAGAGAAAGAGAAATTCAAATGGCTGTCGAATATGGTCTTCAAGGAATTCCGATGGTTCGATTGCATGATGTATCAACGCTGTTGAACAATTCGTCATTGCTTATTCTCGTAATACAAAGAAAATGTGTTATGAATTTTGCGTTATTTTACATAGATATTAATTTTTTCTAGAACCAAAACGAAAACGACAATGATGTTAATAACAGTGAATCATTAAATAGACAGAAAAGTGTTGAAGTGGAAAATCGTTCGATTGAAACGCCCGTCGATGGTGACAATGATTGTTTCGTCGTGGTGCCAACCCGCCAAGAAGAAGATCGAAGCCGTTCTTTGGATTCCAATAAAAGTTCGTCTAGTAGTTCATTTACTTTAGATTATTCCTCATCCAGAATTACCAAATTTAGGCGTAGAATAACTCCAGTCTTTGACGAACTCAATACTTCTGGCAAAAGGTACTAATTTTTTTAAAATAATGTGGTTAATATTAATTTTGCCAATATGTGAGTGTAGACTTGGATTTACAATAATTAATTTTACTTATATTTATAGAAACAGAAAAAAGAAAACAAGTCGAAGGGAATGTTGCACTCGCAACCCGTAAGTATAACTCTTTGACATTAAAGTAAAGTTTAACTTTTTTAAATTTTAATTGCAATATTACAGGTCTCAAATGAGTCTGACTGATCAAGGTATTGTATCAATTAAAAGTACAAATATTATTTTTACACTTTACTTTCGTTTAATTATCATATTATAATTAAAATGCACAGACAATGAATCCAGCTTATCTACAAGAAGTTCATCAAGGCAAAAGAAAGCAATTAATTATAAAGAAGAAAAACTAAATTCAAAGTGAGTTTCAGTACGTTTTTATTTAATCAACTTTCAAATTTAATTAACATCAGTTACCTTTTATCCAATAATTTTTATTTTATTTCAGGAAGAGAAGAGAATAATAAAACTGTAAATACCTATTGAATTTTATTATTACTGAAATGCTGGTCGAAGTGAAAAATTGTTATTATAACAGTAGATTATTATTACTATTTATTAACGTTTAGCAGATCATCCAAATTTAAATTATTCAACATAAAACTAGAACATGTATGTTTTTAAATTTTGAAAGTTATAATGTGAATAGTCTTCAGTCATGATAAAATTACATGCAAAAGTTTTATTTTATTTTTTATTCATTTATTTTTTAATATTTTTTTTTTTTAAGTTGGCAGGTAAATAAGTTCCTTTGTACTAAGAGAAATCTTAATGCCCTGTAAGGCAAAAAGTGATGTGGTGGTCTACAATATGGAGTCATCAAGTTGATCACAATATCTTTGTGTGAGGGATCCAGTCTAATCACTTTCTTCTTGAGAGCGTATAGTTGAGCATGAGTTCATAAGAAAATAAATATGAAGATCTAAGACTTATGAATACTACTAGTTAATTGTTTAATTGTTACGTTTGATAACTAATTTTACCACGAACAAACTTGCTCTGAGCCTCAAAAAACACAGGCAATAGGACGGTTGAACAGGCAATCGCAATTTTTATCGCTGGATCGCTTGTCGCACAAAATCAGTCTTGGAAGAGAGAGATCGTATTCAGTATGATGCTGATTATGTAGTATACAATTAGACCACCTCAGTCATTTGTCACATTCCATCATGACAGATCACTTTTTACCTTGTCAGAGCCTTAAATATTTATGCAAATTTGATCGTTTTCATTGCCTTTTAACTCACAAATCTTTCTTTGTTCTTAATGTGTTTTTACCTACAAGAAAAAAACAGCATTAATAATCGAAAATAGCTCCCAATGTTAGAGACCAATTGAAATTAAAATTGCCAAATTTATGATAAAATGTAGCAACACATAAAGGAAAAGTATCTTTAAAAATTAGGTGTATACAGATCAGTGTTCTAGTCAATTATTTTTTAAGTTTAAAACACTATTTAATGTTCAATGTCATTCAATTTTCTTAACTTAATTTTGATATACCTGATATATTGATACCTCATCGGTAGTAAAGAACTAAAGCCAGAACTTTCAGAATAGCATCAAGGCCCTGCCAGACATTGGGGAAAACAACAAAATTACCATTGTTTTGCAGAGAGGTAACAAGGAGGCCGATAAATTGTCCAAAGAAAGTTCAATCAGGACATGTATCAACTGAACCATTTTGCGGCTTACAAAATTGCCGAAGACATAGATCCATCAGATAACAGGTTAAGAATAAATCCTTGGTTCAATGGGATTGTATTCCAGGACAGAGGTCTGTGGAAAAGTTCATTTAAGGACCAATCGCAGAACTACTAAACCTAGGATGTGTTAGGGCTAGAATGATTGTAGGACTGCAAACTGGAGGCATGTATAAACTCAGACAAGCAGAAACAAGTCTGAGCATATATTGCCAGGAAGAAAAAACTACAGAACATTTCCTCCATTGGTTTTGGATCTGATAAAAAGCCGTAATGAAGAGCTCTAAATAATAATGGAGACTGCACAATACTGCAATATTGGTTGTGGTGCTTACGGCCATAAGTGGGTCGAATCCTTTTAATGTTAACCATATTTTTTCCAGTAGACCAACATATTTCATCAATAAGTATTCTAGACAAAATACTTTTACTGCAAAATGAGTAAGATTTCTCTGCATGCCCATTTGGATTTTTGAAACATGCAACAGAATGGGTAGTCATGGGGGCCCATGACTGAACGTATAAAGTAACGTGTGGTGTTTAGTGACCGTTAGTTTATTTGGAGATCGTGAAATGCGGTCTGGTGTGATGTAGGTTTAGAAAAACATTTTCTTTATCGTGCGTTTCGATCTTTATTGAGATCATCTTCAGGGCCTGGGATTTATAAACATTTAACAGCTTTCACCCACGCCTACAATTTACACATGACATCGAAAACAAAACAATACCATTTTTAGATACTCTCGTAATAACAACGTAAAGCAACCAGATGGCACATTAATCACAGATTAGTATCAAAAACCAAGAAACAGGTCGCTATCTCAACTTGAACATCACACCAACCTCTTCATACAATGATAAACACGGCCAAAGGCCTACTTCACATAATTATTACCCTAAGCCATGAATCTTTTCACCCCAAGAACATAAAGATATACAAACATATCCTTCATAACAATCACTACCCTAAACACATAATCAATAGTATAATCAACTACAACTCAACACTAACACTATCCACTACATCAAATCTATCAAATACAGACAAACCAATATACATATCCATGTCATTCATTCATGGCCTATCACATCAATTAAGCACATTTCTCTCTTCTGATAACTAAAATAGCTTTTAAAAACTATAAAACAATTCACACACTTTTTTCCTAAATTAAAGATCCCACACCGGTGACGTAATTTACAAAATGAATTGTTTAAACTGTCCGGCAACTTACAACAGAATTACATCCCAATATCTGGATAAGAGAGTAAAGCAATTATGACTGCAAAAAACCTAAACAAAATCTTACAGCACTCGCTACCCACCATTTTAAACACCAACACAGTTTCAACTTCAAAATTCAAAAATATTACACACAGAACAAAACAAACATAACTTTTTAGAAATGGTTTAAATCAATATAGATAAACACGGCATCAATTACAGAACGGACACATGTAAACTCAGTTGCAGTTATGCTAATATCATTAATCATATTCATTATCGATAACACACATATATCATCACATCATACAAAACATATAAAACAATCATTACATTCCTCACATCAAACATTTCTACATGTTCTTCAACGTTCTAATTTTTCAACAATTTGGCTTTCCTTTCCCTAATTATCCCCTTCTATTCAATCCTTCAAGGATAATTGGGCCGAACTATTACCTATTATTTCTCATTGTCAGTTCCTTTCACCTCAAAGAAGCTGACTCCTCAAATAAAAATGTTTTCTATCCCCACACAATCCAATGCATATAAACATAAAATATCAATATCTCACTGGCACTCTCAACACAACTCAAAATAATGACACATCTACACAGAAAGAAAAAAAAACATCAATGAGTACAAATACTTTGATTGAGTCTAAAATTGTGTATAAATTAAACAATGTTTATAAATCCCAGGTCCTAAAGATGATCTCAATAAAGATCAAAACGTTGGCACGATAAAAAAATGTTTTTCTAAACCTACTTCACACCAGACTGCATCTCACGATCTTCAAAAAGTATAAAGTAACTATACACACTTGATCTTGTTTGATGGTTGGCGAGTGATTTTTGCATGACTGGGCTGAGCAAACATATAAAGCCCAGCTTTGAATTTAACTGTCTTAGCAGACTCATAACGCCTTGTAGTTGATAAAAATTAAATTAATATCAAAAACAGCGAAAGGTATATTTTTAAAAAATCTTATAAACAATAGTTGACATTACAATTCCTTTAATATACATATAATTTAATTACAGCTAATGTAAGTAACAATGATTTAACAATAATCATTCATTGGTAATACGCATTTTAACAAAGCAAAAGCCAAAATAATTTAGTGTAAAAGCAATTGCACATATTATTTTTAACTTCAGAAAATATTTTGTATATTTACAAGGAATGGGGGTTGGTTTTGAACTATATGAATCTGAAAAGTCTAGAATTTAAAAACTGTGGGAAATGAAACGATGCAGTGCAAGTTATCAAACAGTATAATTTATCATACATGCAAAGAAAATAAACGGGAAAAATAAAAGTTTAAGGTTTAGCACAATTCAAAATATTTCACAAGCAACAGATTCAGATTTGTTTGGGTAAACTTACCAGCACTATACTTATTTGAAGAAACTTTTTGTTTGTATTTGTGTCATTTCATGATCAAAAGCTTTTAAAAAGCTTTATCAAGTCACATAAATCCATCAATTTTTATTTGTTTATTTTTTTTTTTTAAATAGTAATTGGCCAACATGATGTAGTTATGTTAAAATAAGTAACGTGAACGCTAAACAATTATATTTTAAACATCTCAAAGTACTTATATTTTTTCATACATTTATATATATATATATTTAAAANATATATATATTATTTTTTAAGTCAGATTTTTATAAATTATGTACACATTTATTATTTTAAATTATTTTACAAAAACAAATTGAGACCTTCATTAAATCAAACTTTAATTAGTAAAGTAACTGCAAATTTTCATAATAAATTCAATTAATTAATTACATAAATTGGTCATTGTAAGTTACAAAATCACCCGGAATTTTTCAGTACCATTAAACATCAGGATAATCCTGTTATTTTCAAATAGAATTAAATAGAAAATCAATTCCAGGGCGGCCTTCAATCACAGATTGAAGTTATTTTAAATTATTACAATAAAAAATAAATAAAATTACAAAAATAAAGCATAAAATCTAGAAAGAAAAAAAAAAGAAATCATTCTCAATTCTTTTTAATAAATGCATAAGGTGTTCATTTATGAGATTTGTTGAACGACAAATAAGAGAATTTCCCAATATTATTTTCACACTCTGGACAAAACATTAATCTTCAATAAATAATAGTCGAAATTATATTTACAAAATAAATTATTCAACGCAAAATGAACACCTTTCTCTTTTTCCAATCTACACTTTTTATTAATATTCTTTTTTATTTTTTAATGAATATTGTTAAAATACCAAGTTGGTCTGTACAATGTTTCACAACCTAATTTGTTTTTTGTTTTTTATGTTCAATTTCCCCTTTTCCTATTCCAAAATGTGATTTCCTGTGCAAAAAATTGTTAGTTCAGCGAGGGAGTCGACCCACCCACCCACTGCACCTCGATGTTAGGCCATTTTGTTTGGAGGCACGTCAACATCCCGTTGTTCTCCAAAACGGACAGCACATGTGTCTCAAGAAGTATAGCATTCCCTTTTTGGTAGACAACCTAGAGAATAGTAATAAATTGAATTCATGGTGTTTTATTTTAAAAAACAATTATTAAAAAACAGTACCTTATTGTTAGGGCAAGAACGGAGAAGACCGTTGTAATGGTAAAGGGTGAAAGTATCAGGGAGATGTACATTCTCTTCGGGAAAAAACTCTTCCATGAAACTTGATAAAAGTATAATTCCAAGGTTTTCCGCGTCTAACTTCTTTCTCATAATATCAACACTAAAAATAAAAAGAACAATATATATAAAAAATCTTTATATTTGTATTCTGGTAATTTTCATACTATTCAGGTTCAGAGACTAAATCAAGCATGTTAAGCACGTCTTGAAGTAAGTCGGCAGAAATAAAGTTCCGTCCCTCAGGATCAAAACTTTTAAAAACTCTTTTTGCCACTTCAGTTGGTGTCTCAGCACAGACCAGCCTACTTTCAAACGAGAATAATACTGAAAATACAATCAAATGGATTTAGGATTCAGGTCATTTGTATATTTTTAATAAAATGTAAAGTAGAAAAATAAAGACTGCAACAACTTGTTACCTGTGAGGTGAGTTTCACTTCCAAGAACCCAAACTGGGTTCATAGGATTTTTAAGAAATGAACCTACTTCGCAGTACCTCAGATGCTCAAGCAGGGTTAAGAAGCCAATTTGGCTTTGTTGTTGGATCCCTTTTAATTCTGAACAAAAACAAAAAATTTTCCATTTCAAAAATTTTGAAATCACTATCATGATATCATACTTAAGCCACAAATATCTTGGTCATAGTTCCACACATGAGCCACAGCCTTGCCGGTAATCATAAGATTGATAAGGCTCTGGCTTCCATAGCCAAATTCACTGTCAATAAAAGTCTCTGACGGATCAATTGCTTCAGTATGTAAAGCTTCTATACCCTTAAAAGACCATTAAATATACTCCTATTTTTTATTTTTTGTTTTTAATGTTACTAGTGAAATTAGGTCCTTACTTTGGTACACAAAACAGAATAAAGGAACAACAAGACCCCAAATGTCTCCCCGAGCATGTCTATCCTCTCAAGGTAATAGGCTTCGACCTCTTCAGGGCTCTCAAAACTCAGTGTTCTGCAAACAAATAAACATATTTATTTTTCAATCTAAACAAAGCGTGTGAGATCATGTGGAATAAACAATAAGTAACAAAAATTGTAATTTGATTATTAATTGTTTGTACAATTTAATTTTTAAATTAGTAATTAATAAATACAATTGTCCTAGATTCCATTAGGAATAGTATATAATTTTAATTTTAGACTTTTAAACATGTTTCTTAAGGGGCTTTTGTGATGGATAGCCCACCCAGTAGGGAGCAAAGAAACGTTTGGCAAACCTGGATGGCATAGAAACGCAACAGGCAAATAACTTCAATAAATAGCAAATCTCAAAGGGGCTATTTAATTTGGGAATGTCACAGGTTGTGGATAAAGTTCATCAAGCGAAGGGTCACCGTAAACCAATATAAAAGTGGATCATTCAAAAAGCAAAGACATTCAGTGGAAGGTAGTTGGACAGTCAGCAAGACTAAGGGTGAGGTAGGCACTCAGTTGACTGTCCAGGGCTGACACAAGTCAAATAGAGTCGACAGTCAAAGAGCAGCCCGAAGCAGGACGAGTTGAGTCTCTTTGAAGCAGTGGGCAGGAAGATAGGCTTGTCAGCCAGAGTCAGTGATTCAGTGAGAGCACACAGTCAACCAGAGGACAATGTGAGCAGTGGAGGACTCAGTCAAGCAGCCACATTCAGTAGGGTCTAAGCCAGCAAGAGCCAGAAAGGTACCTAGCAATTGCAGCAAGATGAATAGTCAACTGTGAGGATCTAGGAAGCTGCAGAAAGATCCTGGAAGTCGTTGAAGAATGTGATAGCTGGTGTTGGTGAGCATAAGTTGGACTAAGTCCTCTTCTGAATAATTTCTTCCCCAGAGTTAGAAATCTCTGAGTTGTTCTATTTTGGAACCTTACCTTCCCTCCACATAAAAAATAATTAATCACATGTGCTAAATGTTCTCCTATCACTTAGCAATAAGCAGATATACCAACAGCGCCTACTTACAATTGCCTATAAATTTATTCTTTGCAATGCTAATTTGAAAGCTTGAAATATATCAATTGTGATAAAAATTTTGACTATTGTTTAATTAAAAGCTATTTTGTTTGATGAGCTATTAAGAATGTTAAAACTCATTTTTTCATACTTTCATTTTGACTTATAATTACTGTTTTCTTAATAAAAAGTTTTTGAGTGCTAACACATGGTAACACTTTTTTATTACAATTTTATTTTATTTTACCTGAGTTGTGAATGGAAGTATGAATGATCCTTGGGTTTTTTAGCATCAGGAGATGGGGGTGTTTTCGTTGTCTCCTCGTCCAGTATACTATCAGACATCTGTACAAGTACAAATCTGTTTCCATCATAAGCCTGCCCTAATATTTCACAGAGGGCACGTATCAGCAGTTTCCCCACACATTCGCTCTCCACCTGAAAGAAAAAAAAATTATGCATTGGTAATACTACAAGCCAGATGAAATAAAACACTTTTAAACGGACCTCATTCCAATTAGGTGACTTCCTTTTTTTATCACTGATGAGCGATTTGATAATGTATGCCTGAACAGGAGCAATGACGGCACAGGGGCCGCCTTCATGCTGAATTAGAGCGGTGGGCTCATCTGTGCTAAACCGAAAACCTACAAATATGAGAAATACAATTTAAATGTTTGCTTGATCCACAAAATGGATAAATGAACTGTAAAAATAAATTTAAAGAAATAAGAAATAACTTTTTTTACTGGACACCAGGAACTGGAGGAGTTCCTCCTGAGCACTACAGCTGTAGTGTACAGCTTATTGTACTTCCTTCCTGGAGGAGGAAGTACAATTGGGGGCTTAATAAATTTTTGAGAGCTCACAGCATGAAAGTGAATTTGTGCCCACGGTGGGAGCTCCACTGAAGAAAATCCCGCACCATACCTTCTATTGATGAGTGCCGTGTCTTCCCCCCCCCCAATTGTGGCCACCGAGTGGGTCTGTATAAATTACAAATTTTAGGTTATTCACTTTCTCTAGCTCAGTCAGTGAAACTGATATGGCATCACTTCAGCCGTGTAGATGCTGGCTGTGTTTGTTTCTAGGTCCTTATTAACATAAGTTTTGGCAAAAACAATTCTTTTTTTGTGGTTCACCTCTGATATAAGAGGTTTTCTGCTTTGGACCCTGCCATAATAATTATGTTTGTGAATTACATTTCTTTTTGTCTGTACACAGAAGGTGGTTTTGAAAGGCAATGTGACCTCTTCTGCTAAGCTGGCGGCTTATAAAGTGGGCTCTTTCTCAACAATGCAGTGTATGCTCCTTTGTTCCCTTTCACTAGATTTTGACGGCCATCCTGAATGAGATTTGTTTAAAACCGAACCCTCCACTATAAACTTTTTTGCAATATTTCTAACAGTACTAAAACCAATTTCTAATATATTCGCTATTTGTTGGTAAATACGCCCTTTACAATGTAATTTAATTATCTGATTTTTGAAAATAACACAACATTCACTGGTTTTACCATACCATACCCATATTGATATGGCAAAGATAGAGCTAAGAGTTTTTTTGTTGTCATTGTATTATTGTCAATCCTCATTTCTAATATATTGAAAGAAAATGGATTTATTTGTTATTGCCATCACATCCCGAAACCACCACATTCACATTTGCAGAAGATACAGCAATTCTCTCTAGCAACACCGACTTTGTCATTTCCACTCGAAACCCTTAACAATACCTCACACTACTAGTCTTGGTGTAAAAAGAAAAAGATAAAATTTAACAGACAAATCCACTCACATTACCTTCACTCTTCATTAAAAAAATCTCCCACCCGATTTTCTTAAATAATATTCCCCCCTCAACTGTGGTCAAGGTGTGGTACTTCAGACAGTACATCGACAAACGCCTGATGTGGAATCTTCATAAAATATCATACGACTGAAACGTAAGGAGGTTATGACACGATATAGAGCTCTTGCACGACTTCTTGACAAACATTCTATTTACCTCTCAAAAAAAAAGGCTGTTTTACAACACCGTAGTTAAGCCGGTATGGACTTACAGATTGGAAGTGTCCAGCCAAACATTTCAACATCCACTGCATTCAAACTGTCCAGTCCTTAATACTACGAAAAATACTAGATGCTCTATTTCATATATCGAGCCTAACTACACATACAGACTTACATCCCTTTCATTCAAGATGAAATCCATTCCCATTACCGGAAATTTCATAAAAACCTCCCAACTACCATAAATCAGCACATCAGAAACCTCACATCCCAACGAATCCCCTCGAACCCACCTCGTCGACTGAAGAGACAATGGCCGTGAGATCTCCAAGGAAGTGATAGTGATGATAGTGAAAGTGATAATGACACAAATATCATTTAAACAGACAATATTTGGGTAACATTTGAGTAATACCAATGGGTATTTTCTCCACTCTTGTTTTTAATTTTGTATATATTACCTTGCACATTGTTACTGACCTACTTGAAGTTGTAATGGGAAAAAAATTATTTTGACTGGAGGTAATAATAAACATTTAAACTGTGCCAATTCTTTTTTGACACACAATTTACTCTGTTAAGTTTACTTTAAAATCTTTTTTTAAATAACAAACATTCATTGCTTCTAAAATCTAATTATAAAGGGCCAATTTTAATACAAATATTATTTTTGGAAAATATCTTAATAAATAATAAAATATTGAGATTTGCTGGAAAAGTGGAGTGCCCCAATATTTTTTGATCCACAGTATCCCATGACAATTGATATTTCAACAGCGCTAAAATAACCTACGTTGAAGCCTTCCTTTAATTTTTACTTTTTTTTTATATAAAAACCGATCATAATTATTGAATTAATTGTATTGCAGGTAAAGAATGAACAGAAGGCTTGAAAGAAAGCCTGGACAATTCGTTTTAAAATTTCACCGGCAGGAATGGCCGATTTTGTCGAGTTTTAGTTGATAAATGCTATTCTTGTTAAGAGATTTTCCGAAAGTTTTTAGAAACATCTGCTCCCGATTGATTTTACGAGTAAATGGTAAACTTGGGACAGTACCTCTGGGTAAAATTAAACAAAAATACCTTGTTTCCACCTCTGGAAAACGTCTTCTTTCACCTCATTGCCCCACATGAGCTTTATTATCGCGTCTAAGTCCGAGGGCGAAATCGGGCTGGCCGAATTAGCCGCCATCCTTTCTTTATTCGACGGTACCCCGGTTGTGAAAACTCAGAACATCGCCGGAAAAGGCTTTCGACGACTGTACGAACCTCACCGGGCCGTTGTACACACCTGGCTTTATTTTATTTATTTCTTTTTTGTCTATTAATAAGGTTAACTTGCTGTGTTGTTTGTTCGATAAGATTCAAAATGGTCGGGGTATCTGTGAGCGAGAGGGGGATCGAAAAAGGGGAGAGAAGCTGTCATTGAATTATGACTGAGGTTACTGCAGCATCGCATTCCCCCTTTTTGGCCCGTGAATGAGAAACAGTACGTCATTCTAGGGGGGAAGACATTCATGTATTTATTGATTTGAAATATTTTCACATTCAAACATCATTTTTAAAAAAATTTATTAGAAAAAAAATAATTTTAAATCGTAAAATTTTCATTAATTTTTACAAATTTTGTTCTATTACTAAACTAAACATTAATATTATTTTATTTCCAGGCTTAATATTATAAAACTATTTATTTATTTTAAAGGTAAAAATATGGCTTTAAACCCTCTTACATGTACATGTCGCACACCACAAGGAAAGTGCCACAGCTCAACAAAAGACAATTTTCCAGGAGAGACAGATGGAAATTTACTTTTCTTTACTTATGGATTAATTACACATCCTTAATTGGCAATAAAAACTCTTATGATCCATTTGTCCGTTTGTCCGAGACTTAAGCAAAAACACAAAACTAAAAATCCAGCTGAACTATCCCCATTTTAAGTTGTACGCTTTTACAGAAAGCAGACAAACCTAACAAACAAGCATAAATATCCATATAGTAAGTTTTAGTAATATTATTTTTGGCCCAAACTAATGTGCTTTCCGCCTGGAGTCAGAGACAAGTAATAATAAATCTTTATTTGCAAGAATGTACATTACATATAAATGTACAACAAAAGATAATATTTTGGTACATTCTTGTCTGCTGTCAAAAAGCAAAGCTTGTACTAGATAGCATGAGTTTTTGGAGATCTTCAGAGAAATAAAAAGCTTAATGAAAAACAAGCAATTAAACAAACATAATACAGAATAAACGTGTAGCATGAAAAAAAAAACCAAATTAAATCTTGGCGTTAAAATATCTTAACTTATCTCACTTAAAAATATCTTAAGTGAGTTAGCCAGCCAATATAGTGTGTCTCGTATATTCATTGATGTAACTAGTTACAAGATTATTTTTATACAAACATGTTTAATACAACACAAAAACATTATTGTTATTATTGATTTGTATGTTTTTTATTATTACTGGTATTATTATTTTATTATGTTTATAAAACTTAATTTATAACTATTATAAGTACATGTAAGAGGACTTAAAGCCCCATTTGTACCTTTAAAATAAATATATTATAGTACTATTTTTTCCATTAATTTATCGTTAATTTAGTAGTGTTTAATATGTATTAATCGGTTTAGTACAATGAAAAACTTTTTCTTATTTATTTATATTACTTTGTTAAGTAAATAAATATTAAATTAACAGACATCAAAAAAGTCAGATTCGTATTGAGGAGGGTCGTTAATGCACGACCGTGTCGCCAACTCAGTATTTTCCCGATTCGATTCGATTCCGTTTCCATCCGGCACGACAACCCCAAAACAACCTCGAAGGTTCAAAACTCCAGGTTCTGTTTTTGTAAGTCGAAAGTCGGGAAATTTGAAAGTTAAAAAAAAGTGACAGCTTAGACGGTCGACATTGTCCGGTTCAGATTAACACCCGAGATGAGCTCGTGGTCCTACCGTGTGGTCGGCGCCCACAAGACCTACAATGGTAATTTAAATCTTGTCATTTGTTCTAACCACCGGGGATTTAAACGACGTGTTTATATAGAAAAACTGCCTTTGTATTAAAAAATATAAAAAAATTTAAAAAATACTATTTGCACAAAATTTTCAAACTTTTTTATGATTTATATAAATTGACTTTAGTCACGCCAAGGACTTATTTTTGCGGTTTGTCAGGAATTTAATCTCTGATGATAATGATAACACTTGTAATAACCATCAATTTTAAAGTAGGATAATAAATATTTGAAAAAAATTATGGAAATTATAACAACAAAAAAATTCATTAGTCTAAAGGAAAAAACAAAACAAAAAAAACAGTCAGGTTTCTAATGGTGCATACATACTAAGCAAATCTCAGCCAACAAAAGAGACCAATATATTGGGCTGAACGTTGGTCGCCAACACATTGGCCATCCTAGGCTCATCCTTATCCAACCAGAGTTTGATCGAGTTGGGGGCAAGAAATTTGGCCATGTGGAATCACAGTTGACTCTTAAAACCAGCAAAATTTATAGATTAACCCATATATGTTTAGCAGTCATAATTGACCGTATTTATTATTCTTTTTAACTAAGGTCTTGGCTAAGATGAAAAAGCTGGAAAAAAGTGGATCAAAGTCACGATAGCTCAAGTGGTTAGAGCAGCGACATATTCAGCTGAAGGTTGTGGGTTCGAATCCCGCTCGTGACACTACCCTTTTCATCTCATCCAAGACCTTCGATAGGAGGCAATTCTTAGGTTTGTTGCTAGACTTTGGTCTAAGCCTTTCCATCTTCTATTTCCTTCAGTTTTCTGTAACCCTGGCCAAGATATGTACTCGTTTCTAAGAACTAGGACGAGACCTCTCGGAATCCGCGGTACTGAAATGTTGAGATTAGGAGGGAATACCTTGCCGGCGGTTGAGGGTTTTAAATTGCTAGATATCCCACCGTGGGCATTACCTACTACCACAATTATCGAAGATCTGGCCTTGTTGAACAAAAGAGAAACACCTTCTCTGATGATCAAGGCAGAATTCTTGCGAATTTTAAATAACTATCCCAATTATAAAGTTTTTTATACCGATGGGTCTAAAAATGAAATTGGTGTAGGGTGTGGGATATTTGCTGATGAGTATAACTTCAGCTGGTCTCTATCGAATGAGGCTAGCGTATACACAGCTGAACTTCATGCAATCAGAAGATCATTGAGCATTATAAAGGAATCGCCAGGAATTTGTAATGCCATTATTTGCTCTGATTCGAAAAGTAGTCTCGAAGCAATCAAAAATAAATTCTCGGTTGACCCTTACATCTTAGAAATTCACAAATATCTCTATGAAATCAGAACACTCAACAAACATGTGATATTTGTTTGGGTTCCAAGTCATGTCGGCATTTCTGGAAATGAAAAAGCTGATCAGCAGGCAAGAAACGCTGCAAACCATCCACAAAGAACAGATCAATTTCCTCTCCGTCCAGATGATATAGTCGGTTATGTTAAAAACATTATCAAACGAAAGTGGGCGGCAAGATGGAATGTCTGTAGAGATAGTATGAAAGAAATTAAGCCAGTTGTACATAAGTGGCCAACTGAGGAACTTGAGAGAAAAGAACTTGTGATTCTCTCTAGATTGCGAATAGGTCATATCAGGCTAATCCATAATAGGCTTTTAATAGGCAACAACCTTCCAACTTGTCCTCGATGTACGCGAAGTGGAGAACGCACCATTTTGACAGTAAAACATATTTTGGTCGACTGTCCCACTTTACAACCCTTTAGGCAAAGGCTCAACCTTTCGAGTGATTTACAGGAGTTACTGGGTCCCCAGTGTTTCTTTCGAAGAGCACTTTTCAGCTTTCTCAAATTTATTGGAATTTATAATGAGATTTAGGCCTTTTCCCAAATTGTTATACCATTGAATGCCTGCTAATGTTTGAATAAAAGTTGTGCGTGCAAGATTTCTTTTTTCAGAGGTTTTTGAGGCTGCCGGAGCGGAAAAATGAAATGGAAGAAAATACAAATTGCGGGGGAATAAACTGCAATGCCCAAAATCGCAATTTAAATAAGAAAAATAGCTCCCTCCAAAACAAAAAAAAAGAAGATAAAGATAAAGAAATGTTATTGTGTTTTGTTTCTTATTATTGTTATGTAGAATTAGTTTATGTATCATATTTGAATGGAAGAATAAAAGGATAAGGATGAGCCAATACTCATGCTGAGACTGTTGCTAGTCTGACTCCATTATTATTATTATTATTAGCCATACAAGCCTACGGGGAATTTTTAAATTATGGAACAAAATTCACAATTCTAATTAAAAAAAGAAACAGAAATAAATTTTATAAATTTATTAAATTTTATGCAATTTAAAATGGGAATTTTGTATGCATTTGGCCTTCCGAATTAAGAATTTTAAAAAGAAAAATTAAAGCTTGGATGGCAATAGGATAAATAAGATTACGAGTGAATGTTTGGAGTCAGAGCTTTATAGCACTCAGAAGAGATATAGCTAACCTAAGATAGAAGGTTTGGATGTTAGGGCGTGAAATGACCTTAGCCGTTAAAACGCCCTTAAAAATTAATAATAATAATAATAATAAGAATAATTAATTAAGGAAATTTGTAGATTTCACCAGCACTACTTCCAGTTTTATTTTCTTCTCTTTGTCTTTCACAGCGAAAAGGTGTCGACAAATATTCCATTTTATTTTTCACTTCGTTCACAGTACCTTCTAAAAGCTCACTTATTTCCTTCTAAGCATCTAATATTTTCAATTTGTTTTTACATTCATGTAGGGTCCCATAAACATACCCGTTTGCGATAAAATCCTATCAGTTTTAGTGCAGTCTCATCATTCCACTCCATATTTCCAGTGTTTGTCAGCACAAGAAGAATGAACCAAAGAACAATCAAGCCAGTGTCTACATTAGGAGGAAATCTTTAGGCCAACCAATGCCAAATCTTTTGAAGTTACCACCCGAAGTCCGAATCATTTTGTTGGCTCTGATTCGCCTCTCGTACACACTAAGCAAATCAGTTGCTTAGTTTATACGCACCTTAATACAAAACTCATTATAGACAAAACTAAACATAAGATAATATAAAAATTTGTTGAACAATAGTTTATCCATTGTAATGATGTAGTGGATCGATTAGGCAAAGAAGCGAAAAGCAAGGAGAATATTACAATATCAAGCTGCTAAAGACAGACGCAAAATGCCATACCAAATAGTTTATGAATGGAGCACGTGGTATGCCCAGGGAACTGCGGGTTTGCTATATAATAAATCCTCATTTCCAGAAATAAGATCAAAACCTGATGCTCTGGAATTAATGGCACAAATGAATTTTTCACTTAGGTATCCCTGATTCACTCAACCCACTACATTTGCAGTGCATACATGTATAAAATGAAAATTAAAAAATAATATTCATAAAGCATATAATTTTGACGTATCCAGAATACGAAGGCAAGAACGAAATTTTTCGACTCGAAAATACACTGAGAAATTTTGAGCGACTGTTTTGCTGAGAAAGCTTGCTGTCAACTGGAAATTTGGACGTGTATAAATATTGATATATGCATTTTTGAAAGAATGTGATATTGATATGTGGTATTGTGATTGATTTAATGTCATTGTATGTGTGTGTTTTGGTAATTATTTACTTATGTGTAAAACTATTTATTTCATTGTTCTGCATTCCTTGTTTTGATTAATTAATTTAGGTGATGTGTACTTATGTATTTATTGTATAATGTGTATATGAATGTACTATTGCTGTATGCTTAAAGCAAAGCTATAATTATAATTTATAAAAAATAATAGTATAATGAACAAAAGTGAAAACAAAATGAATAAATGAGATGAACAATATTATAAACAAGAATCTAAAGAAAAATTAATATATTAAACAAAACGTTTTAAAATATTTAAGTCAATGTCACCAGGTAGTTTATTATGAATTATGTCTATTGCGTTATGATTAGTTATAATTAGTTCTATGATAATGAATGAAGAAAGAATTTAGATTTCTAAACTTATGGCTGTGGTGAACCTTGATATTCTAAAGTAATTCTGGATAATCTTTTAAGTTCTGAAATAATTTTTTTAAGAAAATAACATTGTTTACCACTCCTAGAAGCTAGCGTTTCTAAATTGCAAAGGGAACGTGTATAGACAGTTGAACTTGTTGTAAGAGAAATGATCAATGAGCTATGTACAAATTCAAAAGTATTGACTTTAAAAGATAAAGAAAAAAGGAGATTATTTTGAAAAGTGCCTGATATGGGTATCAGTAGATAAGTTGTAATGTAGTGACTACAAATGGAATCTGGAGTGTACGCAAGAAAAACAATCACTATAAAATCATTGATAGACTGTTTATTGCTACCAGTTTCCCTGGTTATTAACTACAATTGCAAAATGGAAACTGCAACAAAAAGTACCAGGCATTTATGCATTATTTACAGAAATAAAATACTTAATCATGAACTTTATTAAATACGCTATAATTATTTTGGATTTGGAATTACATAGATTCAAATCCTGTGCTGCTTGTAATCCCTTGGCAATTCCAGTTTTTGCTATTTACAGTAAAGTGCAGACTCGAGAACCACCCACTCCGGGTGTTGGGAGTTTGAGGGCAAACCTCAGTCTTATCCACCCAGCCACCGAGGTTGGGCTCCAGGTGCTGTCAATTCGGCACCCATTGCATGCAGTTCCCAACCCATTCTTACTCTCATTCATTCGTAAATACATTCACTCCTATTTACATACCATTCATTCATTCATTTAATTAGGATGATAGAGTACTCAATATACCTCCATCATTATTTACATATCTTGTACAACTAACCTAATTGAGGGTCGATGGGGTACTCGATATTCTGCCATTGACCCTCTGACATCAAATATTCACACTAATAAATACATTCAATCTCATACCAAACTAGGTATATACAACTATTATTAATATATAAAATAGAACAACTTTTTTCGTTTCACACACGTTTTCTCCAAGAATCTGAATGGACCCAAATACTTGCTGCCGTGCTCAAGAACAATTCTCAAATCAGGTGGCATTCCTGCATGCTCCCTGTATGGTGCCAAGGAATTGCACCTTTCAATTAGGTGGGACACATCGAGCAGCCTTTCTCTGCATACCGGACACATACCCAGAGGGCTTTGGCTCAAAAGTAAATGTCCGTGTGCAACCATGCATGCCTTATTCTTAATCGGGTGAGGATGCTCTTGATAAATGAGAGCTTATTTGTCAATCTGGCCCATTTACACTGTCACATTATTTTAATAATGTTTTTTATTGCATTCGTAGCGTCAGAAGGCCAGATTGCGGTGGTTAAGTCCAGAGGTTGAGATGGCCTTAGCTGCCTCGTCCACCTTTTCATTACCCTCCAGATCTATGTGTCCAGGTAACCAGAACAATCACCCTTTTTCCAAGATGCTCAAGTTTGTGGTCTCTCTCCAAACATAGCACTACAAGAGGGTTGATGGAAAACCTGTCACGGACCACAGTAACCATGCTGAGGGAGTCGGTACAGACAAGGTAAGCAGAGGCACCATCCTCTCGAATCACCCCAAGCGCATGCCAAATGCATACAGTTCAATACAGTGTGGTGGGAGCGACCACAAAGTGGCACATGCCACATCCTCGCCTTTGTGAATATGAGCCGAAAACCAGCATACCTCAATCTAAGATCCAAGAACTTAGCTCGGTAAAGGTATGGCATTGTAGATGACTTGGCTAACACAGAGATCTTACCGAATGAGTACAGCTGGTAGGAACCAGGAAGGAATAGGCTGGTTGCTCAGCTCTAGGACCATTCCAAGTGTCAACCCCGCCCTCCTTAAGGCTTTGCCGAAGCGCATTGCTAGAAGTCATGTCTGGGTCAGAAGTCACGCATATCACTATAATTATTAATCAGTAATAATAAATCAATTATTAATAAATTACGCAAGTTTAATGAATTGAAAGTAATTGTGTTAAACAAAAATGCCTACAAGTCGTAAAAAGTTAGGAAGACAGAATAGACTGTGTTAAAAGTCAAAAAGAACCTGATCATTTTCAAAGATGTATTCTTATTTTTTCACATTCATTGTTCATAAATATTCACAATGCAATTAATAATATAAATATGGTGAAAAATTAGACAAAAATTCCAGTAATTTTAAAAGTTTAAATGAATCATAGCTGATTTCAAAATATAATTGTGCTTTTATAAATCAGTTCTTCAATGCTTCAAGTGAAGTTTTCATTTTCAGATCCTCGAGAGATGATGACGGACATACTGACCAATGTGACAATGAGGACCGGAGTGCCTGAACCTTCACGTCTCAGCTATATGAACGCTTTCGTCAAACTTCTTTCGAGAAAAGATTTCAAATATGAAGATCTTGGCTACACAGCGTATGACATCTTGTATTGTTTCCGTCCACTCTGTTTTCTTGAGTCAGTACGTATTCGAAATTCAATATTTCGAGCTTTGAGACATTTCATCAAGACTGAAGAGCACGTTGATATTTTCAACAAATTAAAATACGATTACCTTATAGCAAGGTTTGGAGAAATTATTTTTTAATGTATTGCTATCACACTCAATATTTGGTTGTGTTCTTTATAGGGAAGTCACTGCTGGTGGTTTACAACTGTGTAGGAGAATAATTGTGGTTTCTCCTCAAAAATTGACTCACGCTCCTGTGAGAGCTGTCGTTGCTTTCACCCATCCTAGTCACACTGATAACCTTCAGTCTGCAGCCCTTGCATTACTTGCAGAAATCGGTGATTTAAGTGCAAAAATATTTTTCCCAAATTCTCAATATAATCTATTTATTATTTTTTCATCAGCTTTATTAAATGCAGACCTTTTCATCACTTGTGGAGGCGTCAGCGCAATTATTAGAAATCTATCCTGCTTGAAATCGCCAAAAATGACCGAAGCCTTATTAGGCTCTTTGTTGTACTTAGTAAATAAACCTGAGACGAGGGCCAAAGCAGGCATCAATTTACAATGCCTCACCGGATCTGTTTATATGGACAGAGGACTGAATTCTAAGTAAGATAGTGATTTTTAACATAAAAATATAATTTTAAACATAATATTTGTTTTCAGGAATAACAGCACAACAGAATCGACTGTACGATGGTGCACGACAGCAATGGTCTGTCTTTTACGCTCTTGGACTGGAATCTTGCACCTTTGCCAAGGAAAACGCCAGGCAATCACATCAATTGTAGACAGCCTCTATGTCACACATCTCCAGGTAATGTGATTTATTGTTTAAAATAGTAAAATAATATACAAGGGCTATTAATTCATTCCATAAATTTTCTTAATAAAGAAAAACACTGTTGATTGACTTTTGGATAATTGCTCTACAGAAACCAATATTAGAGGTGCTCTACAAATTATTTGACCTTACGCAGCCAGATTGGACTGATGAAATTACAGTTGCTCTTGAAGCAGTGCATCCGTCAAAGTGGAGCGATAGTTTCAGAATTGCTGAAGGTTTCATTGCAGCAGAAGCACAGTCCTTGTTTCCCCATTTGGCCAAAACTCGAGTCAACCTGATCGAAGTACACCGAGCATTTGTTCTTTATCTCTTTTTGAAAGCGAATGTCCTAGAAGCCATTGTTCATGTAGTCGTCTCAGATGACACATTCCTCTCTGTTCACGCAACGATTCTTTTGGGCGAACTGCTTCACCTAGTCCATACGATTCTTCCTCCAGAGTTGATAAGCTTGACTCCAGGCCTGCCTAACTTGCTGTCTTATGCTGTTCGAGGAAGACCAGTGAATATTGTACCACAGTCGACAATATTTGAAAATGAAGAATTACCAAATAACGCTTACGAAGAACTCTTTGGACCTGGTTTCACCATGGACCAGTCACTGTTAGTATTTCAATTTATCGATGTTAATAAAATAAATTTATTTTAAATTTTTGCAAGATTGACAAACAGTGACGTTGAGCCGAGTAAAGAAGCTCAGGAACGTGCATTAAGAGCCGTTTGTGCAATGTCTTATTTACATAAAAGGCCTCCTGGGCCCAGCCTTTACCTTAGACATCTAATCTCTTGGATCAAATCATCAGAAAGCCCACTATCAGAAAAACCCCAACCTCTTGCAAAACACAGTGTGAGTTTAATCATCAATTATATTAATTTTTAAACAAAATAAATAATATAATAATGGAAATTTTGTATAGCCTCTGAGCAGTTGTGATGAAAGTATAAAAGAGTCAGGTGTTTTAGCTGAAAGGGATCCTTACACTTGGAACTGGGATGTTATAAGGGCAATATTGAAAGTTAGTACCTCAATTCCTGAAAAGAAAGTTCCATAATTAAATGAAAACCTTTTGCAATTTTATAAATGTTTTTGTAGAGACACGGAGAAACCCTGAGAAAAACGACGGATTCGAATAAAAAATTGTTTTTAAGAAGGCTGATCAATTTTCTCCTCCCCGTCACCGGCCAGTATGGACGAACTGAACTTGTTTCAAACCGAAAATCCAACAACCTTTTAACACTGGCTGGCCTAGATCTCATATCAATGCTACTCCTTGCTCCAGAAGAAGTAATACTAATAAAATAGATTTTCTTAGGACGAGGAAATAATATTAATCGTTCTAGTCCGAGTGTGAAAAGTTACTTTTTGAGTTGTTGGGTGGAATCAGGACGCAGTTTCTCGACTTGGCGCGATGCTCGACATCAAGATCGGCACATGACTGCCACCTATCACCTATCAACATATCAAATTCACTTTGCCAAGATTACTTTCTCATGGTTGGACACTTGTCTACGTCAGAACAAGGCAGGAAAGCACTTACAACAACAGGAATTTACACCCAGTAAGTTTCATTGTAATAATCAAAATCTTTTTAATAACATACTTTTTCTCACTAGGCTTCTAGATCTGGTTGCATCAACAAACCAAGACTGCTATATTAAATTGATAGTATCGACAATGGATTTTGCTAATGATGAACAAGCAAAGTAACTATTGTTGAAACTTTAAAAAAAATTAACATGACATTGAACACTTTTTTTTGTTTTGTTCAATAGAAATATTCTGAAAAAGATATTCGAATCAAAGTCCATTTCTTGTCGTCTCTATGCCACAAAATCACTACACGCTATGATGAGGATTGGTGTTGGACATGATAGACAATTAATGAGTTTTCTCGTCGGTCTTATTGTTGATCAGTTATCTGACGAAGACAGAAATGTAGCTGCTGTTGCACTCAATGCTATTCAAGAAGCATCACATTCTAAAGTAATTCAGTAAAAATATATATATAATATATATAAAAATCATAATTTTTCTTTTTTTAAGGAATATGTTGAAGCGATTGTGGAACAGAGACCTTGCCTAATGAGGCATGGGGATAACGGACTTTTAGTGTTGGTACGGTGCCTTTCAACCGAAGAGGGTTTCAGAAGGCTTCACCAGGCCAATTTTGTGACTGCCCAACTGGCCAAATGGGGAACACATTACAACTATAGGTATTTAAGAATCTACTGATCGTCAGGTTGTCAATATCTTGGTGACGTGGATTTGTGAGATTTCATCTACCTGAGTGTTTTACCTTCTCGATCATCTTCTATAGTGGGTCTGTGTGAAAGCACAAAAGCTGAAATAATTTGATAGACCGAAACAGTGAGGATAATCTTTATAAAAAGATAGTTCCTACTCATAGTTAGTTGTTTTCAACGATACTGATTTCAAGCTTAAAGCTCATCATCAGATTGAAGGAATTATACATACAAGGAATTATACATTGTTATAATTTTATTATAATTTATATTTAGATATAAATTATAATATAATATTAAATGTTATTAAATTATAAATAATATCAAATAATATTTATATTATAATAATATTATTTATAATTATATTATAAGGTAATATTAGTTGTGTTATAATTCCTGATTTTCACATGTTCAAAATAGAGCAGCATTAAAAACCCGGTTCTCATTGGAATGTCGCATTGGCGGGGGATCGGCAGGTTCATTTTTACAATTCATGTCGGGAGACATGGTTGAAAATTCCTTCAACCTTATGATGAGCTATAAGCTTGAAATCTAGATTGTTGAAAACTAACTGTGAGTAGGAACTATCTTTTATAAGATTGAACAACATACTCACTCCACCATTTTTCCATTTCTATTACAGTGAAGATATATCAAAATGATAGACATGACAAAGCTACTGACAAATTGATTGTTCATGCTCTCATCAGTTCTTTAAAATGTCCAAATGCACCAATATATCAGATCTGAATTTAATTGAAAATTTATTAAGAAAATATTTTTATAAGGCTTATTAATTTCAGGTATGTGAATATAGTAGAGGGTCTTCTCGCATCTGAAGGAAATCAGAGCACTGAAGTTTTCCTTCCACCCCATCTTTACCAACAGCTAGCTTCACATCAGACCGGCCTTGCTATGGTTCTTGCCAACGATCATGTCATAAAACTCGTCCAGGTAAATCTCTTTCCTTAGATATTTTCAAAGCATGTTACAGTTGGATTAAATCCAGTTTACTTCAGGTCCTGGAGCATGGAGACTGTTCGACGGATGAACAGATCCTGGAGATGAAAGCAGCTCTTTATGCCCTTTCAGGAATTGCAGGAGTCATGGATATAAATGTACTATCTTCGATGATACGTATAGCAACCCACTGCTTAGTCTACTCGTTGAGGGCTGTTGCTTTCACAGCAATAAGCAATGTTGCTACTTCAGTCCAGGGAGAGGAAAAACTGAAATCGCTTGGTACATTTTATAACATTTTCTATCAAGTTCTTCAATAACACATTTCATTTAAAGGTTGGTATTCTGTTAAACATGATCGCCATGAAATGTGGCCTCTTGTCACTCCAACTGAAGAAGACACTCCTAATATAATATTTGAAAGAAACGTTGTTGTACGCGAGGTAAATATTTTAAACATTATTGTTGAAAAAATAATATAAAAACATAATTTTTTAAAAATCCTGTATTTTTTAAATTAGAATAAAAGTCCTTTGTTTGACTTACCGGAGGAGGATGATAATCTGGAAGACATTGATAAGGAGGAATTCTTCTGGGGTGTTCCAGGTCTTTAATTATAATTTGTTTAACAAAAAATAACTTTTCTCACTTTTTAAATTGTTTCTTAGGTGGAAGGACTCAGAGGATAAGGGAAAGAAGGTCAGCAACTTTACCTCATTCCACCACTCCGTCTTCTTACTACCACAACCGCAGTTACAGCGAGAGCAAGGCTGAACATAGCGACTCTTCTGACTATACCAAGTATACATTGAACAATTTGTTTCATTGTATCAATATTAAAATGTAATTTAAAAATTTCAAGCGAACACATTGTTCACTACAAGAGCGAAAGTGGTAGAAAGAGTAGATCCAACAGCTATACAGACAGTAGCACAAGTGGAGATTCAACTTACGGCATGAGACATTACAGTGTTAGGTAAGCCACTTCTAATTGTTAAAAAAATTAACTAATTAAATTTTAGTGAATTATTAAATTTAAGAATTAATTTTGTTTTAGTGATCGGGTTCCAACATTAAGCCCCATACCTAGTGCCGGTTCATTGACTGCTTTTAATCCGCAGACAACTAAAAGAACAAGCCTTACATCAAATTTTTCTAGAAGTGAGGATATATATTTTTGTCTTTTAAATTTTGTTTTAATTTATAATTTTATTTTCAGGTAGCTTAAGAGGGAGTAGACAGAGCATATTAAGATCTCTGGAACAATCTTCTACTTTTCCGTTAGGTCTAATCACATACGGCGATTTACTCTGTTCACCTTCACCTCGCCAAAAACACACGTAAGTGAAATGTAGCACTTGCTAATATTTTTAATACATTTAACAATATAATCAAATAAAATTATACTCAAGATTTTTAGTGGATATATGTTGAAATTTAACAAAAAATGCAAGTAACAATTTGGCTGAATAATCTCTATATTCATTTGCTTTTCTCTAAGCAATAAGAAAGTAATTGGCACAAGTGCTTCACTACTTATTCATGCGTAGGGAAAGGTGAGGTTCTAGAATTTAATAAACCAGAGAGTATATTCTTCATCATTTATTTTAAACAATTCCGTATTTTAAATATATACAAACAGCTACAAAATCTTAATCTAAAAAGTCACCCACAACTTTAAATCTCGGATGAGTCTATTAACAAAGGGACTTATCCCGAATGACACTCACACGATTAGTGTCCACAGCATTCCCAACACCTTTACGGTTTCTCGACTGTTAACTTGATCTGATGAGTTACAAAGGCTGGTCCTCGTTGGCTCTGGCTGGCTCAGTCCCCTTGTTGAGTCCCAGATGGAGTGTGGCTGCATATGTTCCGAATTGACTACTGGAGTCAATTTACTGCCTAAAGTGAGTCTTTGGTCTTGATTGACTGGTGTGAGGACTCAGTCTTGACTGACTTTTGATTTCCAAATCATCCCTTTTTATACCAGTTCTTATACCGGAGAAGAGGTAGAAAGGAAAATCAAAAGTAAGGTAATTTCCACACTGTGGGTGGACTGGTGTTTCTCACCTGGTTGACTCGATCCCCCAATTTATGATATCCCACGTCGCTACATGTTTTTAACCTTGTGACAACCTTTCAGCACTAAATAACTCTGTTAGTTATTAGGTTATCCACAATTGCAACTTTAAGTTTTCCATGTATTTGGGAAACATCCTATGTCTCCCGTTTAGGTCTGCGACACTCTTTGACGTTCTTATTTATTTGTCCAACTAGTAATTATTGCAGGGCTATGTTTCCCTGGTTTATGAGGAATGTCATATCACTCCTGTCTGGGTGAATTAAACTTCTTTTTTTCTTACTTTAACAACTAGAACTTATTCTAGTTCTCTTTTTCAGTGCCCATACTGCATTTTCAATGGTGGGAGCCTTAATTGGTTTTAATCCTAAAAAGGGACCTGCAATTTAATAATGTTACCAAAAACATTTGTACAGTGCAATTAAAATCCTGCTAACTGTCCTTCAGAAGTTTCCATGGGAAAAGTGTCATTTCCAACTCATACATCTGGAAGACGCCCTGGATAGCTGGCACCTTACTTAATAATGTCCAAGTTATTCATTCAGATCTGGCAGGCAGTAATTAAAAATAATTCCAGCTAGCTTTCCACAAATATTCTTAGGAACATATTTTATCAGTGTTGATTGAATTTTCAGCCCACTTCAAATGACAAGGAATCTGTAAAACTAGACACTATTTAAATTTAAAACAGCATAAGAGGGGAGAGCATACAGCACCCCGAAATTGATTCATATGAATAAACATTTTTTTTTTAAATTTGCATTTTGGTTGTCTTAACCTATCAAATATAATTAATAATAAGATAAAAAAATATATCCATATTGTAGATTGAATGAGCTTCAATGGTCCGAAACTCCAGCAATAGAAGAACCAGATTTTTCCACTCTGGAAACATCATTGATTGACACGACATCACTTCAGTCAAACTCAAACGGTAGCATACCAAATAAATTAGATTATTTTACCTTGAAAATTATTTTTGGTTTGCTTAAATAACAGATGGTCTTGATGTCCCCATGCCGATTTACATGGGAATCTGCCTTCCGGCACAAATTGGCTGCCTTTTTCCAAAAGAAGAAATCAATCTTGTTAAAAAGCACGTTTCTTTCATTTCCGAGTCATTAAAGGTTCAAGGTAAATATTAAAACAGTTTTTTCATTTTATTGTTATATATCAAAATTTACAATTTTTTTTTAAAGGACTTCAAGATCTGAAAAATCCATCGTTCCATAAAGAAATCTGTTTCCTTGGACCCCAAGGGTGTCACAATATGATGGTAAACACATCAGGTATGTATATACTTTTTTCTTTTTTTAAGTCATGCTTGACTAAAGCCTTCTTTCAGAATGTGAGCCTTCTTACTTGGTGGAAGGAGACTTAGAACTTGACAAAGAGACTTTGGAAAATGACAGCGTCGATTCTTCTATGACCGATGTACAAAGTATGCAAGTTGACTATTAAAATTGATTTTATAGAATTTAAATTTAAATTATGGAACTTTCCAAACTAGGTTTCGTTGATAAACCGATGCCAATAATCTTTAAAAGCAGGATTGTAATTAGAAATGAACTGGCAAGGATGATAGAACAACTGTCTAACCCTATACTTCACAAAACCTGTAAACAGTCTCTCTTACAGTAAGTCTTGATCATCTATTTTTATTACTTCTTATTTTTACTAGATTAATAAATTTTTAATTACAGAATTAAACAAGCCCATGGTGACCTTTTTCAAGACATATGTGTATTTAGTGATGTGTGTCACATTTTATCAACGTGTCAAGTCAGAGTAGCATCTAGAGACTTCGTTAATAAACTTTTTGACTCGGCCTTTGATGAAATCTGGCATGATGTTGCTGTTTATCTCAAAGAACACATAACATATTAAAAAGAATTTTTTATTTATATTTATTTTGTGTATAGTTGTACATATTGTTTATATAAATTTTTTGTATTTATTATTAAAAAAATGTTTATTTTAAAATGTTGTACTTGATTTTAACTAAAAAAATACCATAAACCTATTTTTTAGGCAAAAGAATGTAAAAGAAATGGAAGAATGCTTTGAAAAATATTTCTCTTTAAGTTTTATTAAATTCAAAAACAATCTTTGCAAAGTTTAAAAAATATTTACACAAAAAACAGTCATATACAACGTTTTTCACTAAAAACAACACAGTTAATGACTGTCCATGAATTGTACTTCACTAAGAATAAACAATGTATCTGGTAGTGGCCTCGGCTGCGGTGAGAGGACGGTAAGCGTTTGGTTATCAACATCAACGTTAGTTCTGAATAAAAAATCAGATTAAAGAGAGAAAAAACAACAGAATTTGTAAATGGAATACTTACACACAAATGTATCCTGCAATATTTGTTGTTATGATGTCATCTTCCGGAGACGAGGCAAAACTAACTGCGAGCAAATGGTGCAACAGACTCGGACCTGTGATATAAAGGTTATGTTATTTATTTATTTTTTGAATAGTATGTTTGTTCATTCTAGTGAGATGACAATATACAGCAGGGTTTTTGGTTTAAAAAATTTTAATCCTTGAAAACCAGGCATCAATATCTCAATTAGATCATCCCTTTAGCAGTTTTTGGTGCTGCGATTTGTCTGACTACAACTGATTAGTCAATGACAACCTTTTATCTCAACTTTCATAAATATAAAATAAGTACATGAAACTGTACACAATAGAACATGGATTGTTACAAGAATAAAGTTGTGATTGACTCAAGAAACAACAGTAGTAAAACTAATAATCTTGCACCTCCTTGTTTATATCCCTGACATAACATGTGAATACAGTTACTATTAACCAGGCAATATTTAAAAAAAATAATGTTTTACTTTCCCTACTTTTACCCCTGACATCACACCATCTGAACACAAATCATCTTGCACATTTTCATTAACCCTTATTAACACAGACATTTAACACTCTCAGTATGCCATTGGGCAAAACTTGCTTATGCGAGTAGTGCAGCGTACTGGAGGGTCCCTGTTCGGGTACCACTTAAGTATACTATTTGGATTGTTGTGGGCAAATCGCAAATTTCATAGTTTTTAATAGCTTTTGCTTCAAATCAGTTATTTGTTGATTTCCACTTGGCACATTTTGTACACCGTCATGCATTATTGTGTCAAGGTGAGTATTTTTGTTTTATACTTGAAATTATTACCTATTTTTTATTCATTATGGTTTGAGCTGAGTTTATACTAATTTCTACACTCATTTTGTTTAGAGAAAGATATTTTTTGCCTGATGAAATTCTGATTTTTTTATAAGAACCAGAGCTCACAGAATTGAACGACCAATACCTCTTACGGGTTCAAAGAAGATTCCTAAGGAATAAATATATAAAAATCAGGGTTTTTATGGAAAAAGAGGAAAAATCATTAGTGCATAAATTGCACCAGTGAGCAGGCATATTATTGTAATCAACAAGATGTGTGGACTCAAGGATTAATTTCACACTTTTAAAATTACATGGATATGAAATTAAATTGGAATATTTTCAGATGTATATAAATGTTTTCCATTCATTTTCTGAAATATTTTTAAAGGCAACCCAATAAATGATTTATGGATAATCAGAGTAAAACAAGTAAATAAAATATTGTGTTCATTATCCACAGCATTATATATATATTTTTTATGACTATAAAAATTTTGTAGGACTTGCAAACTTATAAAACATAACATTTCATTGTAAAGTAAAATGGTTTTTACCAGGTTGCACCAGTACAAGCTTAGTCATATTATCCTCTGCTTTCATTCCCAATGGCATGCACGAGTCTGGAAGTGGCGGTGCTCCGATTTTGTATATTTTCAGATCGGACCACTTGACGTCAAAACTGTGTGGGTGGAGCGATGTCCTTTTCCCGTAAAAGTACTGCCTCACCTGGCTGTCCCTTCCTTCGGACCTGAACTCTTTCGTCCTCACAACAACCTAGTTGTGGGGAGAAAAAAAGTAAGAAATCATGAAATGATAAATTGGTGGGTATTTCCTCACCCCTCCACTTTTGGGCAAGAGAACAACTTTAACAAAATTAGGCATGTCTCTGACTAGCTCATTGTAGAGTTTCTCTTGGCCCAAAACAAGGATGATGTCCACTTCAAATGCCTGAGCCGCATGAGTAAGTAGTTTGTATCCTTCTCCTTTCACCCAGCCACAAGTGTTAATGATAACACCAGAAACATTTGCTAAATTTGTTTAAAAAATAAAATTATACATTTTTTAAAAAGAAAAAATAACAATAATAATAAAATACCCTTCTTATTCGCTTTCAGCCTTTCGTGGACAACTTCGGACATTTTACTCACTAGGAGATTCATAGTCTGTATGTTTTTTTGTGGTGTTGTATGACCAAAGTGATACACGAGGGGTGCCTGTTGTGAAAAACCCTCTTCCACTGTAGCAGGTCGTTCTACCAAAACTGCACCTAAAAGGACATTAAAAAAAAAAAAATTATAAAAAGGGTATTCAACTATAGGTTTATGTACCCTTGGGGTTCCAGTTTTTTTTTTTTTTTTTTTTTTTTTTTTTTTGGGGGGGGAGATTTGTAAGTTATCTTGGGTTTAAATTCAAGGCCGCTGGATTTGAACCCAAGAGTTTTACATTACAGAGTTGAGTTACCATGTCAATGGCTTAAAATAAATAAATAATTACCAATTGATCCAGGGACAGAAATTTGCCCTTGGCCAACATCCAGGTCCACAAAAACAGGGGTCCTGCCCATTCTCACGGCATAATTAAGAAGGATTCGGCATATCGTAGACTTCCCGACATCAGTCGGCCCAACGACCATAGTTATCGGTCCTCTTTTGACTTCATCTTCTTTTTCAGCTTTCATTCTTAGTTGTTCCAAACAAGCATGACAGTTCAAATAAAACATCTACAACAATTATTATTCCATTGAATCCAATCTATGTTTATTTGAAGATGAAGAATATAAATTATTTACCATCGGTGTCTCTCTTGCGATATAACTTATATTTTTTCTACCCCTGAACTCCAGAGTGCAACCCTGCCAGGTAAAAATGGCAAGAATGGCCCCGGTAGTGAATGTATAAGATTTCCCTTTGACCAGTTCAGTTCCAAATATCTCTGCATATCCACTTTTAAGCTAACACAAAATAAAATATATGTTTTTACATTTGACAAACTTTACATTTGGTGAAGATCACGAGCTACGAAAAGCTCATTTAGGCTCCAAAAACTTTCACTTTGGATAGGGACCAAACAATTGGGGCATACAATCATATAAAATCATATAACCGTTCTTAGAAATGAGGACTGACTATATGATCCCCAAAACATTCATTACAACATCTTATCAAGTCTCAACTGACTATAAAGGAGAGGAAAAACTCAGGAGAGCATCAGATACAATGATATGGTATACAGATGGCTCCAAAACAAACAAAGGAATCATACATGCCCAAAATATGAACAATCAAACTCATTAGGGAAGTACACTTAGGTCTTAAAAGAGGTAACACTGGCAAAAAAAATTGCATAAGATCGGATAGCCAACCTATTAAAGCTTTAGTGTGTAACATTGTAACTAGTCAACCCTTTTTAAAAAAGATGGTTCCTATTCATAATTAAGTTGTTTCGCAACAATCTGGATTTCGAGCCCTTTAGCTCATCGTCAGGTTGAATTTCATAATTCATGTTCTATTATAACTAGTCAGTGAATGCATCCAAAACCTGGGTAATTAAATCAACCTGATGATATCTTGGGTGCCAAGAACCAAAAGAATTTTGGGTAAGGAAAAAGCCAACACACTGGCCAGAGGAAGATCTTTAAGACCATATATACAGGCCCTGAACCTATACTTGGGATAACAAAAACAAATACAGAACGCTCTATGGATCCAAAAAACGAAAAGTGGATACACTAGGTGTGCTAGGCAGAGTAAACTTATGCTAAAACCACACTCAACAAAGCAAACTTACTGCTGCAATTGGAGAGTGCCAATTCAGAGGAGTGATAAGACTATCAACCGGTCACCGGCATCTGAGATAACATCTACATAACACGGGCATATTCAACAATGATCCCATTTGCAGATTATGCAATGAGGAGGAAGAAACAGCCAACCATCTTCAATTGAGAGGCAATGGATCAATTGGACTTAGGATACAAAAAAAAAAAAAATCAGGGAATGAAAGCTTAGCAGCAACAGTCAATGATAATATTTCTGAGAAAGATTGAGGTGACTGCACTGAATTAGGGTACTAGGAAGGTACAATAAGCCAGAAGACTGCGGTGCCTGGGAAGCACAAACCCCACTTCCTAGTATCCATCATTATCATGAAACGAGTACTGTACATTGTTCGGAACCTCCTTTCATGACTTCCAATGCAAAGTCCAAGTTGGACGTAAGCAAATTATTTTACTTTAAATAATGATTTGTCTATATTTTGACCTTTCTAATGAGCAGGCAAAATTCCATTCATGGGCGTTTACTGATGGGAAGTTCGACTGTAGAAGAAAAGTCTAGACGGTGATACAAGTATGATCAGACTATGAATGTAATATTTCTTTGCAACATTTTGCCAACCTGTCAGTTATAACATAAACTTCAATCTAATAGAAATGATAAAGGTGGAGTGAATATGTCTATGTATCTTTTAAAGAGATTAAACTTCAATCTTCAGAAATAGTTTGAAACCTCGAAGTAAAGTCAATTTGATAAAGCAAACTTTTTTTATTCTTATATATCTAGTTTTCTTTGATAGTATTTATACAAAACTCACCTCGACTGTTACTGTTTCGTTTTTGTTTTCGACTTCGAAGCGAAGTTCCGCATCTGCTTCGAGGGTAAACTCCTGCACCTCTTCATCTTTGTCAGCAGACATTGCAGAATTTAAAACTCAAGTAAAAAATGAAAAAACAACAATTAAATAAAAAAAATTTCACAAATTAAATTCATCGGTCAGTACTGATATGAACAAAATAACGGACGACTAAGATCGTGTTCAACTAACGAGGGAAGGTTAGTGAAGGTTAATCTCAGTTGTCAAAGCTGAAAAAATAACCGGCGTCTGTGATGAAGAGACCCTAATCTAATTTGACGAATTTATTGTATTAGGAAAATCTATGAAAAAAGTAACTATAATAAGTATTCTTATGTTTCACACTAAAATTTAAAAAAAGGGAAGATACTTTTCTAAGTAAGTTTTCTAAAGTTTCGACCAAATAAAGCACTTTCTGTTTTGGAACACGCATTTCTCAATTAGACTAAATATGGAGATTGATAGGCAAAAACTTAAGGGACTTTTTGAGAATACCCATGCTTTTGTAGGTTAAAAAGTGATAATAACAAAACTTAAAATACATAAGCAACACCGGGAGTACGCCAAGGTGACACAGCTAGCCTCACTTTGTTTAAACTTTTTGTACACGACTTAGAAAAATACGTCAAGGGTCGTGGTTCAAGAGGAGTATGCAGTGATGATGAAACAGATATTTTTCTTTTGGGATTTTTTTTTTAAATCGAAATATTAACGGTTACGTTCATTTTAATAAAATATATTTTCATGCAAATAAACAATTATTATTTTTACACTTTTATGTCTAAACAACCATCAACTTTTAAATAAATATATTACATTCTAAGCGTAGGAAAACAAAAATATCAATTTATGAAAGCCTTTCGCTTAATAAATATATATTATTGACACAAAAATATCAATATATTGATTCAGTTCTAACAACCATTCCGATTAACGAAATATTATTTTAAAAATAAGCCACCTTAAAATGTAGGTGTTATTTCGTGAAAATTGTTATTTGTCTGCTATTAAGTACTATTAACTAACTAATTACCATAAACCGTTAATAGTAGAACCTAATACGATTATGGTAGACTATAAGTATAATTTAAGGAAGAATTAGTTGATATTTGTCTGATGTTAACTATTCATAACTAAATAATTTCTATAAAAGATTTATAGTTCAGCCTAGTACTAATATAGTAGACAACAAGTGAGTTTAGTGAATATTAGTTGGTATTTATCTCTTACTAAGAACTAATAACTAATTAATTACTATAAACCATTAGTATTCTACCCTAGTACTGTTATAGCAGTAAATTATTGGAATTTAGTAAAAATTTATTTGGTATTTGTCCATTGTTAACGATTAGTAATTAATTCCTATAAAATATTTTTAATCTAGCATAGTACTATTATAGTAATTATAAGTGTCGTTTAGAGAAGATTTAGTACAATACTTGATAATTATTATTACAAACTGGCAAATTTGATTTTCGTTATTTTTTGGGGTGAAAATTTAAATTTCCCGCACAAATGAACTAATCGATTTAAATTTCTGTGATGATTGTTATTTTATAACCGTTTGCATTTTTAACCTCCGTAATTTTATAATATATTGTATTTTGTTTACTTGTAACTATTCAATATTGGGCTATACTTGACTTTTTAAATAAATAATTAGAGAATAGGTTTGTTTTCGACGTTGGCCCCTTCAAAAAAGTGGTCTTTTCATCTTTAATGCCAACGTCGGGATGGAGAGAGAGCAGAGGGCACAGGAAATACTCAACGGATTTCAACTGTAAGTTTCGGTTTTATTTGTAAAGTGCGAATGGTTTTATGATTATTTTCTTCTGGAAAATTACCTTTATGAAGTTTTTTCTATAAAGTAAGTAGAAGAATTGTAGCTAAAGTACATTAAGTAAAATACAACTCTTCATACACAGTGAGACACATTCACTTTTTGTAAATGATTCCAGCAGACTCCAAAACTGTGTGTAGAACCATCATTTACAAAAAGTGCATGACATGAATCACTCCCCTCTATTATTTCTTTTCTGTGAGTCGCATAGTAATAAGAAGTTAAAAAGTAATGAAAAACATTTTAAATAAATATATCAACCAAATATTTCCGAAAAAATGTATTTCTTTTCTTAAAAAACAAAAATAGGAATTGCGAAAAGCTTTTAATAATCTAATAAAATATATCTACAGAAGGACAGTAGACTCTCGTTATCTGCAGGGGATAGGATGCACCAAGCTTCACTGCAGATAGCGAGAACCGTGGATAATAGGAAATACAGTTATATTACTTTGGCTTACCTGAAAATCAGCTGCATTGAATGTGTTCAGATTTCTTTACCGGCAAATTACTTATTAATAATACATTTAAATAAATTGGTCTATTTTTATGTTTCTAGTAATTGGATGAATTTAAGAGATGCCGATACAGGAAAGTTATTATGGCAAGGAAATGACGATCTGTAAGTAGACATTTTTGTCAATGATCTTATTGCTCACTTATTGTTATAATGCCCTTTTTAGATCAGCGCCAGACAAAGAACACGAAGCTAGAGTGCCGAAACAAATACTGAAATGTCGTGCTGTGTCACGAGAGATAAATTTCTCATCAGTTGAACAAATGGAAAAATTCAGGCTTCAACAGAAAGTCCTATTTAAGGTATGTCATTGGTTTATGCACTTATAATCAATATTTAATCAATAATGACAATTTTAGGGAAGATGTCTAGAGGAGTGGTTTTTTGAATTTGGATTTGTGATACCCAATTCAACGAATACATGGCAGTCACAGATTGAAGCGGCGCCAGAATCGCAAATGATGCCTGCCAATGTCCTAAAGTATGTAATTTTATAAATGGTATTTTATATTTTCTTTTATAAATGTTAATTAATTTATTTTTCAGTGGTAACATACTCATTGAAACTAGTTTCTTCGATGATGACCTTCTAGTCTCTACTTCAAAACTTCGACTATTCTATGTATAAAAGACAAGGCTGTCTGTTAGTAGCTGGTCTAGTTTTTCAGTTAGGTCGTGAAGACAATCGTCAAGTCACAATTCGCACATGGAAGTTATATAAAACAAATATGAAAAGTATAAGATGAGAACACGTTTTCTGAGCACTTTTCTGTTCTATATGAATGTTTTGTACATTGCTTTTTATATTTTTTATTTATTAGGAAGAAGTGCATTTATGAATCAATCTTCTATCAAAACATTCCGATAGGCATGAAATTGTTTGTGGCAAAGATTAATAAGTTCTGAAATGATAATAAACTGTTCAGATATAAATGATAAAAAAAAAATAAAATAAAAAATATACATGGACCATTTTGCACAAAGATTATAACAATAAATAATTTGGAAGACTGATTTATAAGTAAAAATAACATTGAATTTATATTTTAACTAAGATGTACATTTTGTTGTCTAGATAAACAAAAAGTAAATAGATAGTTGTTTTGTCATTAGACTAAATGTATTGATATATTTTTAAAATAAATTTGTGTCTTTATTTTGCACCAAATTCATAAAATAAATGTTTTGGCAAAAGTCACAAAAAATTCATCCACTCTTTTTTTGTTTATTACAATCCTTTCTCTCCATTTGGATACGTTTTCACACTGTTATACGTGAATCCATAAACAATTGATTAGACATCAAATATAAAATTCAAGATGATCTTGCATACCCGTAGCAATAAACACTGCATAAAAATTGGTTCCTAAATTACAAAAGGTTAAGTTTTAATAATAGTGAAGACTTAAAAACTACTAAGCTTGAAGCACATAAAGTTTTGGTGGTTACATATATTGTACATCAAGGTTTTATTCTAAAACAAATAAAAACAATTGATAAAATGACTGCAAGAAAAAAATTTAGTTTTTAATAAAATGTATGTATAAATTTAATTGACAAAATAGTAAATTTGATTAGCAAAAGAGAGAATATAATTTTATTTTCTTCAGGGTCACTGACTACCAAGGTCTTTCTTCCACTGCGACTCACAAGATCTATTGTAGGTGTGAATTTAATTGTTAAAAGAATACATTTACCTGCAAAGGGTAAATTTAGTTTGCAAAAGAGTGAATTTGATAAGCTAAAGTGTGAATTTAATTTTCTTTTCTTCTGGGACACAAGCGACCAAAGTCCTTTAATTTGACTGCAAACCAAAAGATCTATTGTAATTTACTTGGTAAAAGAGTGAATTTAAATTATTTTGGGTCACAGGCAACCAAAGTCCCTTTCTTCCACTATGACCCAAAAGATCAATTGTGGATGAGAATTTAATTTGCAAAGGCTGAATTTAATTGTTAAGTGAGTGAATTTGATATGCAAATGTGTAAATTTAATTGACAAAACAGTGAATTTGGTTAGCAAAAGCATGAAGTTAATTTTCTTTTCTTGGGGGTCACTGACTACCAAAGCTTTTCTTCCACTGCGACCCACAAGATCTATTGTGGATGTGAATTTAATTGTTAAAATAATGCATTTATTTGCAAAGGTAAATTCAGTTAGTAAAAGAGTGAATTTGATAAGCAAAAGTGTGAATTTAATTTTCTTATCGTCTGGGATACAAGCGACTAAAGTTTCTTTCTTTGACTGTGAACCAAAATATATATTGGTGTGAATTTGAGTGGTGAAAGGGAGAATATAATTTGTAAAGGCTGAATTTAATTGATAATGGTGAACTTAATTTGAAAAAAAGTTAAATTTGATTTGGAAAAGGGTGAATTCAATTTGAAAAACTTGTAGTTTTAATATTTTAGTATAAAAATTTTTAAGTATGAAATTTGGGTGGGCTCCTCCGCAAAGTGAGTAAATTTCTAATTTCGCATAAGAGATCAAGATTTCGTTTCAAAACAGGTGGATTACAAAAATATGACAAAATGCATATTTTGAAAATAATTATTATATTATAATAAATAGTATTAGTTGTTAGTCGTTAGCTAATTAAAATAGGTAAGGGTCAGTCGGTTTCCGTTTTGACTTCTGAGCCAGGGTTCCAGGCTCGAGGTGAGAACTGCGCAGGTCCGGTCAAGGGGCGGTCACGTGATTTTTCTTTCAGCACCACTCTCGGCCACCATGTTGAACGCGGTAGCAAGGGCCGCCTCCGGCGTCTTAAAATTCGGAAAATCCGCCGTCACTCCTTCAATTTTGAAGAATGAAGTTTTCAGGACGGCCGGAGCACTGTCCGCAACGTGTAAGTAACGACAATTTTCAACTAGGACCGGAGAAAAGTTGGTAAAAAATCCCGAAGTCCGGACCGGAGGCCTCTCCCCGTCCCCAATCGGCCAACTCACCTTATCACTTTTTCCTTATAAATTTATCATTCCTTTTACCAATTATCCTCTTTATATTATAACTAAGGAAAAAAGGCACTATTTAATACTTTTACAATTTTTTTTCAACTTTATAAACTGTTAAGAAGTATTGAGAGAAAATATCGAAGCTTATACCCGAAAATCAGGCCACCTTAATTTCTCACTTTATAATTTTTCCCCGACTGTTTTATATTTTATCTCTTTAACAATTAAAAGACAGACTAAAAAATGTCTCGGATAAGTTTTTAAAAAAATATCGTAAAAAACTTCTCCCTTCTACAAATTTTCAAATTCAGTATTTCAAAAATGTTACACTCTTACTCAAAAGTTTCTTTATTTTTTATTTCTAATCGGTAGTAGTGTTTTATTTGTTGGATTTTACTTTCTCCAAATTATCAATACATATAGAAAACCTCGGGCATGTGGACCTACTGATAACGCATTGGCGTGTCGATCGGTCCTAAGGTTTTTTTTTCTTTTCATTAATAAACACCGGCCTTGCGGTTTAATCTAGCTTTTTTAGAGTTAATTAATTTTTCATTTTTTTTAGTTTAACCAGCCCTAATTTGGTACAAACTTTATCCTCGTATGTGCGGCAATTTTCCCCTGAAGAGTGTGCTACTGGTGCAACGTCTAATTTTAAATTTTCACCGATCTCCGAGAAATTTGTACCGATCAATTGAGTATATTCGTTTGAAATGATAAATTCGTCAATTTTTGGCCACGAACCAGAATAAAAACGACAATAATTATAGGCACTGTATCATAGGCCGACTTGAGCTTATTTTTAAGCTGTGCTCGACTTCACCTTATTTTTTTTAAAAGATATGAAGATTGATATACAAAGGAGGATTTTAAAAAAACTGCATCCTCACCGTATCTATTGTAAAGACTAGTTTAACACATTCCATGTTCTGGAGGAATAACATTATACCGACCTGCATGCAGGCTGTATTGCATAAAAGAATTAATCCCAACAAAATTTCTTCCTGGGAGGGTAAAAATTGAAATTCCAGCAAAGGTTGAATGTATTAAAACCTTACAGTGGAAAGTTTCTCAAGTTGGTTTCAAAACTAGCTAAGAATAATCGACTTCGACTGGAGATATCTTAATCTGATGTCCTGATGATAGTTTTGATGCCCCTACTTCTTTGCCGACTCGGCTAGCCTCTGATTTAAATTCGTCATTTTTTTAAAGGTATTCTTGTAGCAGGTTTTTTCCCCAATGTCACCCTGAGCAATAAATTTTAATTTTCTTGTGAGAGTTGTGAAAGTGTTTTCTACTAAATACTTTGCAATTTTAGTCCAGTATGAGCTTCTGAGTAACCTTCTGTAGCAGTTAGTTTTTTGTTTTTGTTTTTTTTACAATCCAGTCCTAAGTGAGAGAGATTTCTCCTTGTTTGATACAGTTGTGAAGATTTTTTACTAAAAACCTGGCATTTTACCCTAGCGAGGAAAGAATTAGTCCACTTTTCTAATCTGTGAAATTTCTTTACGGGGTTGCAAGGCAAAAGACTTAGCTTGGTCTTTCAGTGCTGTGTCTGATTGATGGCAAAAAGACAAAACATCTGTTGGATCTATTAAGTGAGGATTCCCCTTCTAAAATGTTCGGAAATTACCCTACTTTTCTCTTTTTAAAAAAGATGGTTCATCATTCATAATTTCTATTACTTTTCTCTTGTAAGCGCTGCATTGGCAAGCTTGCCTTATAGTGTTTCTAATTCAAGATTTCACAGTCACATAGGATATGGACTGAAGGCCCTAGCTTCGCAGACTTGGCTTAATTAATCTCTGTCTTAAATTTTGCATTTTTAATTGCTAGGTTTCTTGAAGACCTGACATTTTAATCTCGCATGATATTCTCTTTTGTCTTCATTCATTTGTTCAATAGTTTTTATCATACTAGTATACTCAAGGTGTGCTCCTGGCCATATTTTTTACCCTGAAAGTTCTTTTTCAGGTGTTGCCTTCCAAGTACCTAGTCCAGGACATGTTACTTTTCTTTTTAAAAAGACAGTTCCTGCTCTCAGTAGTAAAAAGTATTGGAAGTAAAAATCCCCACTCACTCCATCATTCATTATTTCTGTTAGACTCTTGTTTCAAATTGCCATGGTTTAGTCATTTTCAGTAATTCCTTACTAAGAAAGGAGATAGGGTTTTTTCTGGTTCCAACAAATAAACTTATTTTTTTAAGGCCTAGTATTTTATTCCAGTATGAATTCCCCTTTTTTTCATTAATTTGTTCAAATCGTTATCAGCATACCAGTGAACTAAGTTATGGTCATGGATTGGTTGGAGTGCTGTATGCCCATTTCATGGGTTGGTCAGCTCATTTCTTCATTTTTTCAATTGTCAATTCATTTCTAACAACCATATATCATGGCTACTTTATTAATTATTTTTCATAGGCATCAAGAAAGAATGTAAGGCACACTCGACCAGTTTGTAGCTAAAGATAAACACTTGCTGCTATCTGAGAGCATAGCACTATGTAAAAAATGCTCCTTGAGTCTTGCCAATACAATGTAGGAGCTCATTAAATGGACCATATAAGTTGGAAAAATTAAGAGAATATGGTTTTGGTAGGAATCAAATTGTTGTTTTTGTATATCTTTTCCCACATCTGGTTCACATTTTGATTTACTGGTGCTACACTCACATTAGGTTAATCTTGTTTCTTTTTCCCAAACACTGGAGGTGGTTTTTTTTTTTTTTTTTTTTTTTTTTTTTTTTTTTTTTTTTTTTTTTTTTTTTTTTTTTTTTTTTTTTTTTTGTGGAGGTGGGTGGTAACTAAAATGATGTTATTTTATTGCAATACTGATTTATGTAAGCTCAAAATTGCACATACGTACATACATACACCTGAGTTGAACCTATCACTTCTTGCAGCCTGCCCTGCTTTTGTGTAATTTGCAATAAATAACCGGCTAGCCTCGAGAATCATCCACCCCGAGTGTTGGCAATCCAGGGGCTATAAACAGCTACATTGTTTCAACTCCCAATGCTTCTTAAATACCCATTCACACTCTCATTCTAAAATAATTCTTTCTTATTACTTACCATTCACAAGGTCAGAGTGGTGGAGTATATGACATACAAATACATTCACTTTCAACACATGCTAGGGACTCAAAACTATCAGTAAAATGAAACAATTCTGTTTCCTCCAAGAATCGAACAGGAGACCCAGATACTGTCGTGCTCAAGCACAATTCTCATATTTGGTTGAATTTGTACACGCTCTTTATATGAAACCAAGGAATGACACTCTTCAATAAGAAGGCACAGGGGGTATTTTATTACGATAGAACTTTATAGAACCCTAGTATCAAATATAGATCATTTTAACCTTTGGTTTTGTACAGCTATTATATTTAGATATATAATAATGAAATAAATGTATGTTTCAGCCTATGCAACTGCACCTTCAGCAAAAGGCAAAGCATCTCAAGGAAAGGTCGTAGCTGTAATTGGTGCCGTTGTCGACGTCCACTTTGATGACAACTTACCACCAATCCTCAATGCTCTTGAGGTTCAAGACAGAGCGCCGAGGCTCGTTCTCGAGGTTGCCCAACACTTGGGAGAAAACACCGTCAGGACCATTGCTATGGATGGTACCGAGGGTCTTGTAAGAGGTCAGGCTGTCAATGACACCGGATTCCCCATTAGGATACCTGTTGGAGTTGAGACGCTAGGAAGAATTATCAACGTCATTGGTATGTAGAGGTTAAAGGAGAATTTGAATCCCGTGGTTTTATTTATTTTTTTAAATTTTGTATTTATTTTGTTTAGGTGAACCAATTGACGAAAGGGGTCCCATCAACACCGATAAATTTGCTTCTATTCACGCTGATGCTCCTGAATTTGTAGACATGTCTGTCGAGCAAGAAATTCTGGTCACTGGTATTAAAGTTGTAGATTTACTTGCTCCATATGCCAAAGGAGGTAAGAGGACTTAAGAACTAAAAAAAGTCAATTTATTCATTAGACCTATATGCCAATCTAATTTAAATTTGTTCATTCTAGGAAAAATCGGCCTTTTTGGCGGAGCTGGTGTAGGAAAAACTGTACTTATTATGGAACTGATTAACAATGTAGCTAAAGCACATGGTGGTTACTCTGTGTTTGCTGGTGTCGGTGAGAGGACTAGGGAAGGCAATGATTTGTACCATGAAATGATAGAGTCCGGTGTAATTTCTCTGAAAGACAAGTCATCCAAAGTAATGCAATTACTGAAATTTTAAATTATTAGTTAACTAAAGTGCTGATTCATGATTATCGTGTCTTAGGTAGCGCTTGTATATGGTCAAATGAACGAACCTCCAGGCGCTAGGGCTCGTGTTGCTTTGACTGGATTGACCGTTGCTGAATATTTCAGAGATCAAGAAGGGCAGGATGTACTACTTTTCATTGACAACATTTTCAGGTAATTAATGATTAATATGTAAGAATGTATTGTTAAAGTAGAATTAAGTTAAAATTAGGTTTTTGTTGTTTCTTGAATATGACTAACATGTGTGTTACTTGCAGGTTCACCCAGGCCGGTTCTGAGGTGTCTGCCCTTTTAGGTCGTATCCCCTCTGCTGTAGGTTACCAACCGACCTTGGCCACTGACATGGGTACTATGCAGGAACGAATTACGACTACCAAGAAGGGATCCATTACATCCGTACAGGCCATTTATGTACCGGCTGATGACTTGACAGATCCTGCCCCCGCCACCACCTTCGCTCACTTGGACGCCACCACGGTATTGTCCCGTGCTATTGCTGAACTCGGTATCTATCCTGCTGTCGACCCTCTTGACTCGACCTCTAGGATCATGGACCCCAATATCATCGGAGCCGAGCACTATAACACAGCTCGTGGTGTACAGAAAATCCTCCAGGACTACAAGTCCCTACAGGATATCATCGCTATCCTCGGTATGGATGAATTGTCTGAAGAAGACAAGCTGACCGTCGCAAGAGCCAGAAAGATCCAGAGGTTCTTGTCTCAACCTTTCCAAGTAGCAGAAGTATTCACAGGACATGCAGGAAAACTTGTACCACTTCAGGAAACTATCAAGGTAAATAAATACTTTAAAATAAAATAAAATAAAGAATTTTCAATGATGTCATTAAAAAATACTTTCGTTCTACTGAAATTAAAATGTGGACACAATTTTTAACTGAGTACTTAAATTTATTTAATAATTTTTTATATATTTTAAACAGAATTTTTAAAAATATATTTTTTCTAGGGATTCCAGCAAATCCTCAAGGGAGAATATGATCACCTTCCTGAGGTTGCTTTCTATATGGTCGGCCCTATCGAGGAAGTTGTTCAAAAGGCTGAAACCCTCGCCAAATCCACCTCGTAAAATCTTAACCATCTCAAATTGGGTTTTACTACAGTTTTAGAGTTTTTCACGAGAGTAGTAGCACGCCTTCGTGACATTCAGCTCTGGTCAAAAGTTTACTCCATATAATTAATATATTGTATTACAAAATGGGATACAAGAAAATACTCTCTGCCTACTGTAATTTAAAATAGACATTTCCATATGTACATTACATGAATTATGTTCTTTCCCTCCCAAAATTTCTTTTATTTGTTAGTTATATGTGTAATTTTCATAAAATAACAAATAGTGGTGATGAGTAATAAATTGTTATGTTGAAACACCACAGTTTATTGTTTGTTTTTTATTTATATTCCTTGCCCTTTAAATATTTGTCCTTCCTTAACACGTTCGTTACGGCACTGATTTGTAAAACTCCAGAGATAAGCAAAAATTTTTTTGTTCTGGAATGACATTTAAACCCTTCCCCAATAACAGCTGTAAAGAATTTGTTAAAAACAAATGTATATTTTACAATACAAAATGGTCTAGTGCCAGGCCCAATTTTAGTCCAAGGCTGAAGTTTTTTCTTAATTTTTTTTTAATGCAAAGTAAGAGTTGAAAAATTAGTGCCAATGAAGTAGGACTTGAACCCATGATGTCCAGATCCAGACTAATTGTTCAACTCCACCATACTTTGCATAAAAAATAATTACTACATTATATATNTATGTATGTATATATACATACATATATATACAATGTAGTAATTATCTTACTATTTTTTATGCAAAGTATGGTGGAGTTGAACAATATATATATAAATTCTTAAAGACCTGTTTTTTTTTGGGGGGGGCTTAAGTTAATTATTGGTTTACAGTAATTTATTGCAGCATTTCTCTTTTTAGCATGTTTACCCTCAGCATTTAATAAAATTTCACTACAGATTTAAATAATTTTATTGGCTGAATTTTGTGGTACCATCATGCAAAGTATATAGGGTATAATATATGTATAAATAATCTCATGATTTCTGAATAATTGTATAAATAATAATATATAAATGCAGGATAGGGTGTTGTACAGCTGACAGTCAAATAGTTTAGAATTTTTCAACAGCAGTAGAGCACATGATGTTACAGAAACAGGTGCAACTACGCACTATGCTTATTAGCAATTCCATCCTCAGACCAGCATTACATGAAATTATTCATACAATTTATGACCTGGATGGTAATTGACATTTGATGGTATCCAAATAGGTAGAAAATGTTTGAATGAGTGGGGAGCTGTTAAACCATCATGGCAAAGTTCCCGTAAAACCTTGTGTTTATTGGGAAATCTTAAAATTTCAATTGACTTATGTTGTGATTAAGAGTATGTTCTATGTACATTTATTTTTCGCACAAATGCCCAGAAGCTGTTTCACAACGATAAACCGTACCCACAGTTCATGTCCGTCCACATTGGCTAAAGTTGCACAGCATAAATCATTCAGTTGCTCTCATGCATATGGCAATTATAAGGAAATATAAGTTGAACCTTTTGAAGTAAAGTAATTTAATGATGAATCATTTGTTACATTTAATGCTTTCTAAGGCTGTGCATCTTTTGTTGGCACAAATTTTTGATTTTTGGGTTTGCATAACGTGTCCAAGTTGTTTGGCAGCATTGGTGCAAATGTTTGGTATGCCTTGTCCAGCGGGCATGGGCTTTCGCAACCTGGAATTACCAACTCTCGAGGCTCCTCGTTGATAGACTTCTTCAAGAAAACCTGCACAGGATGAATAGTCAAAATGACCTCGTAGCCACAAATGAATTTAAATACTTACCTTAAGTCCATGATAAGTCTTTAGATCGTGAAGCTCGATCATGATGAGGCAGTTGAAACCTGGGACCTCTCCATTCCAAACATTCATCGCCTGCATTAAATTTGCCACTGTTGAGTCATGTCCTGCATAATTGTACATCTTCATTTTAGTTTTCCCTTCAACTTTTGCTTTAGAATCATCTAGAATTTTCTTCAATAACGGTCCTAAAATTAAAAACTAAAATTGATTAATTATATATATCACAAATTCTTTAAAATGTATTAAGTACAAATTTATACTTTAGGTAAGGAAAATTAAAGAAAATGGCCAAAATTTAATAAACAGTCTAGTTCATCGTGAAGTGAAAAACTGCTAAAATAATGCTTTTCATAAATTGTGGTTTATCACCCAATATCATCATGCTCTGCATGTTCTCGGTTGAAAATGCCAAAACATGTCTAACAGAAAACAAAAATAGATAAGGTTGATCAAAGACGATTGTTGCTCAGTATCATCACTCTACAAGGACGTCAATGCATATTTTATAAACTATGACAATTCCTTATCTGATAGACCCTAACAGCAAGAATAAGCTAACAAAACTGACTGGAAATAGCCAAACTAAATTTTTTTAATTGATGTGAATTTTTCTCATATATTTTTTAATTAAATAAGTTAAGCCACAAATGAATCAAATTTGAATATCAAGATAACAATATTAATTAGCATATTAATCAAGAGTATGAGTGAGATTATCAGAAGAAGAATCATTCTAACCCAATACAGAATTTCCTATACGCAGTTGAAAACATGGACACTTGTTTTTGGAAGCCTGCATTTGTGTCTGTCTTGTAGGAAAAAGTTGCTCAATGTGTCCCAGTTAATTTAAGCTCTTTTTAGGGAGTGAGTAAGAATGCCTGAGAATGAGATTGTTCTAGAGTACTGAGGAAACTGGAGTTGCTCTGTAATATAGATTTTTTTAAATTATTGCAGGTAATCTTATTATTGTATATATACTAAGTTTGATGATAGGGATATGGGATAATGGGGTTTTGTAAGAATGTATTTATATGAGTGAATTTTTGTGATGGAATATCAAGTACCCATCGATCCTTAATTGGATTAGGTATCGTATGCATAGTTGTTTATGTATGTAGAGGGTTATGGAGGAATATCTAGTACTCTATGATACTACTTGACTGTATGTAAATAAAGAAATCATGTATTTAGAAATGACTGAGCGTGTTTATTGATAGCCCCTTGAGCCAAACTTTGTTGATCGTCAAGATAAAACCAAAATCTGACCCAGGAACACCCAAATACTGAAATGGGTGATTCTTGCGGCTTGCCACGATAAGTCATAGGCTTGGTTCTGGGCTTTAGATATAAGTTTAAAAAATATACATTTTAAAATTTTATTACCTCCCTTGATTTTTTTAAGTTCTTTCGAGCAAACATTTAGTTCAAAGCTGTAAGCAGTTACTTCCTTCATTTTATCTGGATAAACTGACTTGGTCCATTCAGGAAGTTTATAGTTCAAACCTTCCTAAACATAAAAGCCAAAATGTGTCAATAAAAATAAAATAAAATCCAAAATAAAACATAAAACTAACTTCTGCTTTCAATGTGCTGTAAATGTCTTCAACATCCCAAGGAGTCTTAACAGTGACACCGGTGTGATTTGTTAAATAAGTGTACAATTGTTCATAAGATTTAATTTTGTCTTGAATCGTCTTGTTTTTCAATGCTTCTTCAAGTGACTCAGAATACTTCGGGCATCCACGCACTAGGAGCAACTGAAACATTAATTAAACCTCAAATACCTAAATTAATAAAAAAAATAATAATGATAAAATAAATTTACCCGATCTTGTTTAAGGTGTTGGTAGTTCAGAGGTACTGCTTGCCATAGCAAATTCTTGTTCCAAATTTGAGGACCTTTAGGTGGAAATAAGCCAGCAAACATGTACTGGCAGCTTGCTTTGGTCCGGTCAACATCAGTGGACATAGCAAACACTTGGTCAGAGTTGAATTGGTCTCCAAGGAAATGTCCGTATCTTTTTCTCAACCATTGTCCCAACTTGTATTGATGCATCTTCCCTTCCTAAAAAGGAAAAATCAAACTTTTAAAACTTATTTGATAATATACTTAATAAATTACATTTGTCAACTGTCCCCAGCCATAAGGACTGAATGTGTCATTTATGTAAGGGTCATTTGGATATGTACTGGCAGGTGTCCTCTCCCCATGCCTGAACACCTGAAATATATAAAGAAGTTAGTAAATCAAAAACATATTAGTAATAATTAAAAAAAAAAAAGTAAAACATGTTAGTAATGTTTTGAAATGTTATACTGAGGTCTCACAAGATGATGGTCATTTCATTTTCATATTTTCGTTTATTAATTTTCAACCATATTACATTTTAAACAGTGAATTGCACATCTAGCCTATGTCTGCATATTTTCAAACCTGTCAAACATATTTTTAAATATTTCAATATCTTCCGTGATTAGTTTGCATGTTATTTAATAAATTTTGTTCTTTTTACAAGTTTATAAAATTGGACAGTCTGTGAGTGGTTTTGTTCTATCTTTAAATTTTTATTTATATATTTTTTTAAACCCTGCAAATAAGACACAGATATCCAGCCAAACGGGCAGTTATCTCAAAATCTAAAAAAAGCAAAGGTGACGGTCAAAGATGTGATTGTAGATTATGATAGATTGTAGACAAATACAGAAGAAAAAAAATCCTGGCATGTCAGTGTGATGGGAGAACCATGGCAGATCAAGACTAGATTTTGTCCTAAAATGTAGCCTTTCCATGCCTACCAAAAGCAGTATAATTCTAAGCAATATTGACTTCCACCAAATCAGTGTTATTGTGGGAAATAAATTTTTAGCCTCTTAATTAGGGGATGGAACGGTCTGGTGTTGTGCCCTCTGGGGGTCTTGCTCTTAGTGTCATGTGGGGTGGATGTATGATGCTGGGGTCTTGCTTTGGGGGCTTTAATCCCAGGATTATCGGACAGATGTAGATTTTTCCATAACTCTTTTTATGATGTAAATGGTTGTTATCCATGCTCCTATACGTCCGTAATACACAATCAATTTCTAAATTCAAACCCATTCACGCTCTCACTCACTCTTAAATATGCTCTTTTCTATTTACATTCCCTTCACTCAGTTAGGGTAGTAGAGTACTCAATATTCTTCCATCATCCTATATGCTTATTATATAACTAACCTAATTGAGGGCTATGGTGTACTCAATGCTTTGCCATTGGCCCTCTCACACTATACATTCATATACATTCACTCTCAACATATGCTAGGAACACAAAACTATCAGTATTACATACAATGAAACAACCCTGTTTCCTTGAAGAATTGGAATAGGGGACCTAAATACCACTCAGATGCTCAAGCACAATTATCACATCATATGGCATTCCTACATGCTCTCTATAAGGTCCAAGGAATTGCTCTCTTCAATTAGTTTGGACAGATTGAGCAAACTTTCACTGCATGCCAAACATATATGGGCTTTGGTCCAAAAGTCAGACTGCGTGACAACCTCGCATAGCCTATCGACACTTTTCTTGATATGAGCCAGCCAGTGAAAATAGTTGATTTATTGTGGAGTAAAGCCTTGGGCTTTTCATTGTTGGTTGTGGCCATTTATTGAGTTAATTTTCTTTGTATGGTATGTAGTAATGTGAAAAGTAAGTTATGTGGCCAAAACAATGAAGTAGACAGACCAAAATGATCTAAAACAACCAAATTAAATATTTATGACATAGATTCGCCAGTACACCTATATCTTGTGAAATTTCATCATCGCGCCGGTGGGTTTTTGAACCTGGATGTTGGATGTTTGTTGTTCTAAATAATTCTCCCTCTAGGGGAAGGGTAGATTATTAGATTATTATCTAGTTAATAAAAGAACTATTATACAGTACATTTTGATCTTACAATTAGTCAAAAGACCTAGAAGCAGAAAGAAATATGTATTAAATTAGTTCTTTTTTGTTTATAAATGGCAAACATTCATTCAAAACGATCAAATATTTCCAGGAAAATAGAATTAGGGGAAAATGAAAGTGGATTAACATGGGTTGAAAATTAAAAAAAAATTCAATAAAATTTTTCTTTTCTTTTCATTGAAAATAATATTTTAATATTTATATTTTAAAACTTTCTTTTAAAATTGTTAATATAACTCTTTTCTATTTCTAGTTCTATTAAAATAGTTAATGTAACTTCACAAGTGTGCCAAAATTAGATTTATTTTAGATCATGTGCAAGAGTAGTGCGACATGGAGTTTCTGTTAGCGATTATTTATATTGTGTAAGAATGTTTTTTGTTAGTTCATTGTCTCCTTGTGTCACGTTGAATGGTTAATTAATATGTCTCAGATAAGGGCAAGATAGATACAAATGAAAATTACCATAATTGGGAATATTATAACGGCCATTTTGTTTTGAAAAGAATGTCTGTGGGATCTTTGGGAATTTTTTAAATACAATTTTACTTAACAGATTCCCTAAAAATACTCGTTTGATAAAACTATGCTGAAACGAGCAATAAGAAGTTATAAATAAATAATTTCCGAATTTGTCTTTTTATTGGTTGTAAAATTCGTAAAAAAAACGAATTGGCTATGCTAAGTCAAGATTATTTTATTTTATTTTCAATTAAATAGTAATTTCATTTTTTTACTATTCCCCCTTTTGCCACCCGTAAATGAACGCAAACAAATGATTATACAAGTTTATTGTTGTGTGTTTGCGAGCGGCGTTGACAGAACAACTTTGGTGGTCTTTTTTTATATGCTGGATAATCACGAGAAGTTGGCGAACTTTTCAAACGTCTGTGGACGCCGGCGTCTTTTAGCTGTTTGGGGAAAAGTATGAGCAAAAAATATTTTATTCGATATATACCGGACATATTGAATTTTGTCCATTGCACTTTTTAAATTTTTTATTTGTTTAAACTTCTTATATTATAATCCGGTTTTTATGACCTTGGAATTGTAATTGTTTGCATTTACAACGCATATTTACCTTTTTATTTAATTAATCGATAAATAAGTTTCCTTACGACTATTTTATGATTTAAAGAAAATAATTGTGCAGAAGAAAAACTAGTTATTAAATCAAAGATCCATGTTTGTTGCATTCAACAAAATTCGAATCCATATGTGCAATATAAATTTTAAAAAATCGTTTGAGGATGAAATAAAATTTCTGGCTCGATAAACAGTCAGTAAAGAGTCATTAGAAGATAATGAAATCTTTATAGTTACGTAATGCATTACCAGATGTATAAGACTGAGGCTGTCTTGGTGGGCCATGGTCAAGTTGGCTAAAACAGCCAGTAAAAATGCCTGAAACATTTTGCCTATTTGTTGAAAGTAGCCAGGGAAGAATCAACCTTGCTGAACCCCACCACGTGCAGAAGACAACTGGTTTACCGAAACCGATGTCTTACTTTTTTGTTTTACAAGTTTCTCGAGATTGGTGGGAGAATTTGTAGTAAGGAAATGTACAAGGTGATCGCAATATGCGACAAGATTACGCGATTGATGAAGATAATTGAATAAATTCCGTGACTTGGAGAGATTCTTTTATGATCCTTTGCAGTTGTAGTTATAATTTACAAGGATTTTCATTCTACACGATTATAAAATTCGTACTGACCTGCAAAATACAACAGATATCTTCTACATTTAAAAATATTTGCAAAGCAACCAAGATGAACAGTAGGTTAAGGATGTAGATACAAAGTCGTATGAATAACCGTTTAACTCCGTTTACAAAGAACATTAGTTTTACAAAAATGTAGAAAACTCACTTTTGAAATACAAAGTAAAACTATACGATGTACAAAGCGTTTTTGCACGTGTAAAGTCGTTTTATAGGTTTTAATAATAATTTTTGTTGTACAAAGCATTTATAATTAAAAGTGAATAACGATGTAAACAGGATTTGGCGTTTACACAAAGTCCTATTTATGAGGGACAATATATTTTGGCAGTACATAGAAATACGCACGTGCAACGTATTTGAGAAGTATAAAGTATACGTAAAAAGTATAGTATAAACATTAATTAATTGTAATTTATGTATATAGATTGTATACAGTATTAGCGACGTACAAAATATTTACATTAAATATATTTAGGATGTGCATAGTGTGTGGTATTTATCACTATCTCCAAATAAGATGTGCATAGTATTGAGTAGGTATAAAGTATTTCTAACGAACAGTATTTAGTTGTAATTTATGTATTTAGGATGTATACAGTATTAGCGACGTACAAAGTATTTTCAATGAACAGTATATTCAGTGAGGAATCTTTGATGATCGCGCAATGCCGAAACGAGTTTGACAACATATTTAATCTACAGAAATACACAAGCCGAAATTATTTAACACACATTATTAACACATTATTAAATACGTACAAAGCATTTCTTACGAACTGTATTTAATTTCAATTATACATTTAAGATGTACACAGTATTAAGTACGTACATAGTATTTTTTATGAACAGTATTTAATTGTAATTTATATATTTAGGATGTATACAGTATTAGCGACGTACTAAGTATTTTCAATGAACAGTATATTCAGTGAGGAATCTTTGATGATGACGCATGCCGAAACGAGTTTATTTATTTATTTATTTTTACGAGGTTCGCAACAGCAGAGGTCATATAATCCCTCAGGGTGCCGGTGTTTTTGAAAAAAAAAACATTTGTAAGTATGTCGGGTTAGAACGCAGGGCCGCTGGATTCGAACCTTGGACCTTTACCTTACAGTGATGAGCGCCGTGACAAAGACTAAACCTTGCGGCCACCGACCCCCCCCCCCCAAAAAAAAAANAAAAAAAAAAAAAAAAAAAAACGAGTTTGACAACATATTTAGGCTACAGAAATACACAAGCCGAAATTATTTAAGTTGTACACAGTATTAAATACGTTTTATGAACAGTAACATTACAAACAGTAGTACATTTCTTACTAACTGTATTTAATTTCAATAATACATTTAGGATGTACACAGTATTAAGTACGTACATAGTATTTTTTATGAACAGTATTTAATTGTAATAATTTAATTAGGATGTATCCTGTATAAGCGATGTACAATGTATTTTCAATAAATCATACATTTACAGTGTACGTAGTATAGAATACATACAATACATTTAGTATGTTGACAGGATTTAATACGTAATTTTTTTCTAAGAAGCAATGTATTTAAGGTGTAAAATCTCTTAGACCTGGTTTTAATTGTAATATTGTAATTATTATGTATTATTATTCAGAAATCGTGAGATGTGGTCTGGTGTGATGTAGGTTTCAGAAAAACATTTTCTTTATCGTGCCAACGTTTCGATAAAGAAAATGTTTTTCTGAAACCTAATCACACCAGACCGCATCTCACGATTTCTGAATAATTATCGATTAACGGTCCTAATCACAACACATTATTATGTATATAGTATCAGCGGCTAACAAGTATTAAAATAAACAATATATTTACAGTACATAGAAATACGCATGTGCAACGTATTTGAGACGTACACAGTATTAAATATGTAAAAAGTATTTCGAATGAACAGTATTTAATTTTAATAATGTATTTAGGATGTTTATAGCTTTAGAGGCGCTCAAAGTATTTACAATAAATAATATATTTAGGATGTACATAGTACATAGTAGTAAGTACAATGCATTTAGAATGTAGACCAATTAAAGTCGTAGTTGACTTCTAAGTGGCAATTATTTCATCTGTAAAAACTCTCAAGGGCGTTTTGTTTACATTTTAATAATGTACATATTTAATATGTAAAGAGTATTATGGGTGTACATAGTATTAATGTGAAGAATACATTTAGGCTGTATGTAAAAATACACATATGTAATGTATTTAATAGTATTAAGTACGTACAATGTATTACTTATGAATTATATTTGATTTTAATAGTATATTTAAACAAAACATTTAGGATGTATAGTACATAGTATTAAATAGATAAGTATAATTTATTTATAATGTACACAGTATAAAATGAATACATAGTATTTCTTACGAGCTTATTTATGTACCCGCCCTATAAAGGACATAATTTACATCTAGCATTCCTTCTTCTATTGTTAGGACTGTTAGGCACGTACTCTCTATCCTTCGAATTTGTATAATTTATTTCCTCATGAAAATCGCAAGTTGGTGTTTGGGTAAAGGGGCACAGGTGGGATAATGAGATTTTTAGCTTCTTTTTTACACATGGGAAAAGGATTACAACCTTGTATGTTCGAGGTTCGGTCTTAAGAAATTTGAAATCGGCTATGAAAAACTTAATCTGTAGAATTATTTAATATTGTTTTGCTCCAATGATGACCTAAAATTAGATCGAAAGCTTGGCAGTACCAACAGAATTTGCTTTATCTCAATAACATACCGTGATCCAGAGTATTCAAGGGCAGAAAAGTGGTCGACCCTCGTTAAAAATTGTGCAATCAACTGATTTAAGGCAAGGCTGAGAAATTTCAAAAGGGTTTGCCGAAAATTGACTTGACCAGTTTACCTAAACACCAAAGAAGTATTGAGCAGATCTTAGCTTTAAGGCTTTTTGATTTCTTGTATTTCAGCGAGTTCTTTTTTAAATTACACGGGATATACAGTTGTGAAACTTGTTTGATGGAAACGAAACTTCTCTTGCCACCAGGAAGTGTGGAATCAGACTCATTTTGTTTTGAAGCGTCTTTTTCATTAGGAGAATCACAAATATTTCGATAACTTCAGCCTTAATTAACTACTTATAGATTTTTTCTAATTTTGAGATATCTCCCTGAATTTCGCGGCGTGATGAACATGATTCATTTCCGATCACTCTTTCGTTCTGGAAAACAAATAGGCAAAGCTGAAGGCAAAATAAGTCTGGGGAGAATTTATTCGCTTTATAAATTTATGAAAAGCCCGACAACAACGCAGAAGACCACTGAAGATGGCGAGAAGCTGAAACGCGTATGATATACCAAAAAAGTGAGGTCACATCAAAATGACCGAAAACGAAAAATATATCCATTATTTTATCATAATAATGGATGTATTTTTATGATTTTTCTAATTTTCCACAAAATTTGTTTTAAAATTCCACGACTTATTTTGGTGTTTCTTATTTAACATCTTATTTATGAATATAACCGATTATAGAAATAATTAGAGCCCCACCATGGACACTACCCTTAATTCTCTTTGATGAGGTGGCAAAATAGAAGAAGACAGATACACCCCCTCCCCAAATATACAAGTATATATATATGTTCAGTATACAACAATACACTATTGGGTTCAAGATGGCAACAGGTGTCGGTGCCGCTGCTTGCATGGAGAGTGAGGTAGAAACGCTGACATTCCTCCGTTTGACAAGTGTGTACATGGTGGAACTGAATGCCACATCCCTTGTGATTGTTGAAAGAAAACAAAAAAATACATTCATAATATGCACAGACTCCCAAAGTGCAATATAGGAACTCAGGAGAAGAGCATCCATAGGTCCATTAATAAGAAAAATATAAAAGCAATTGAAAGGCATTGTTGTCAGTGAAAAAAAAGGTTGTCTTGGCGTAGGTTTCCGGGCACATTGGTATAACCGGGAACGGACAAACAGATAAGGCAGCGAAGTTAGCATGATGAGAACACACAACCCCACCTCCTCTACATCCAACAGATTCATGAACAATGATTGTTAATGCATTAAAAAAATGAATGGAGAAGCTGCTGGAATGAAAGAAACACATCCAAATTATACAAATATAAAAAAATTCAGTCCCTGGCCTGCAGAGGCTGAGTCTACAAGAGAAAAGGTCATACCAGGTTGCGCAAAAGTCATACCAAGATCACACACAATGGAGGTGAGACCAAGTAGATGCCTGTTATGTGGAGAACTTAACATTGTAAAGCACATAATAACAGACTGCAAAGAACTAAGTCTTAAGAAAGGTACAACATCCCGAATGACCTATGAATGGTCTTGAGGCATAGGAGCAGGAACAAATAGTGATCCAGTACCATAAATATTTTTTATTCAACCTTCATGTATGAGATATGTATTATATGTTGGCACAAATGTATTTATTTGTGTGAATGGAGGGGATTATTCCCAATTAACCCATGAAATATCAAGTTCTCTGGGTTAGTGTAAATTAATTGTGGGGTTTGATTGGAATTTATTAGCGTGAATGGAGGGGCTTATACCCAATTACCACCAGGGATATCAAGTACTTGTGGGATAGTGCGAATGCTAACCAGATTATTATGTTTTAATTTTTATGTGTATTAATGTTATTTTATCCACAATTGACAAGCCACTGAGCTATTAAAGCCTGTCGAGGCTAACTATAGGACCAACAGAACAGAGACAGTTACCATTAGGTCATGCAACATCAAAATAATATATATTATAAAAAAGGAAAACATCTCTCCAAAATAAAAGTATAAAACATTGTTGTCCAGTTGTTAAAATCCACTTTCATTCAGTTTATTTTTGGGGAAAATTATAGCTATCATTATAATACTTTCAACAAAATTTTATTGTAATGTATTATTTATCATAAAATTTTGTCATTTTTTCATTTTATTGCAATAATTTTATTGCAATTTAAATATTCTGTTTCCATAACCACATAATACAATTTTTATTGTAGTTTAGAAGCTGTCACTGCGGTTATTCTCATCTTCACCTGCATCATTCTACTGTTGTCACTGACAATATGTAAAGGAGTTTCAATTTAATGGTAAATCAGATAGAAGGCTATATAAATATAAACATGAAATTCAAAATCAATATGTTTTTAATGTGGGGATTAAGAGTTCAACATCGTATAAAGTTAGTTGTTTAATTATAAGGGAATCAAGTATATTTAAGTAAATTTTCAGTGAAAAGCTAAGATTGTTGATTGATTTTGTTGCTCAATTATTACTATGATATCAGGGTGCTTAAGATGATCTGTACATTTTGACTAATTGCGATTTAATAAGAATTTTATTTTAACTTACTAGATACCTGATATATTTCTATTTTTTATTATATTTTTTTTAATGTGGATTTTGTAAAGATTTTCTATTTTTTATTTATATATATATATATGTTTTTTAAACTTTTCCATAGATAAAAAAATAGTTTTGATTAAACATCTGTAGAGACATTCCAAAAATATATAAATAATAAAATTACATATTACCAGATGGACAAGCTTGAGGCTCTGGTGAGCCATGCTCAACGTGGAAGAAACTACATGAAGACATGCCTACAATTTGCTACTGTCGTAATGTCGACTATTGTCATCGCATATAAAATAAAAATAAGAACATGTCTGTTTGATACAGTTTTTTTATTAATAAACTTCTGAGGGTTCTAAGAATTTTGCCATATGGTCAAAAACTGGTTTATAATGATGTAATGAAATTTATTTATAAAAATAATATAATAATGATGAAACAAAACATGATTTATATAAACTATCATCATTTCTATTCCTAGAGAACTGATTAAAGTCAGTTACAGCATATTGTACATTACATTCAACGACTTCGGATCTCCTATAAAAATATTATAATTAATTAATTTACTGTGATAATTATTGTTATTGTTCTTTTTTTTTAGATGAGTAACTGGAAAGAACAGACAAAGTATTAATGTATGAATGTGAAATATTATATTTTAGCTATTAGATATATTATTATTATTTATTTTATATTATTAATTTAGCTATTAGATATATATTTTAATTATTAGATTTAGTGTTTAGCATTATGATTATGTGATTATTATTGTTCACAAATAATCTGGATCACAGAATTTTGTAGACAAAAAAACAAATTCCCTTGTTATATGCCAAGCTTTTGACCTATTTTAAGGTCATCTTCAGTGCAAAACAATGTTGGGACTGAGTCGATCTTCAAAGAAATTGGAAACCATCTATTAAATACTTAATCATGTCACTTTGCTGACTTTTAAAGATTGTTTTGCCCTGATGATGACTAAAGATTGACAGATAACAACATAATTTTTTTTTCATCCTGAGATCCAGATTATTAACGAGTAAAAATGTGGTCGATGCATCTAACAATAGAATTATTCTTCTTCTTATTTTTTGAAAGCAACCATGTTATGTTAAATTATTATATCTTTTTGTAGTATCTAAGCGATTCAGGGCAAAAATTTTTTTCATTTGCAATATGATTACAAGTAGGCGAAAAAAAAAAAAAAAAAAAAAAAAAAAAAAAAACGGCAGCAAAGTTTTCAGTCGGATAATATGATGTCCACTAGATTTTTATGTTTAAAAAATAAATCTATCTTTACTTTAAATTTTTTTTAACAACTTCCTCTGACAGTTTAGATTTATTGTGAATTTTCTGTGGTCCACAGGGTGATGAACTTATAGTTAGGCAATTACTGACCATTTTGGTAATTTGGATGATTTGGATGTAATCCTTATAAAATGTTATTATAAAAAAGAATTGTTAAAGAATTACTTTTCTGGCTGATCTCTGAATCACATCATGAGAGTAGTCAGGCTTAAGGAGCATCAAATTGTCAATATTCAAGAGCCATAAAATTTTGGGTACAGAATGCAGGTATGCCCGATTACAGAATTGAGAGGATAGGACTATGAAGATTGGCAAACAGCTGAATTTGAACAGTTCAATTCAAAAGTTGACATTCATGTCATCTGTGTCCTAGTAGCATAACCAACTTTAATCATGGGACATCCATCTAGCGCTTAATTTCAATTATAAGCCTCAATTCAGGAAATGGAGCAGTCTGGATTCGGAGGAGCCCTATTTGCATTTCAGAAACAGTACAGAGTGGTTGAGGATCATTGGTCAATTTAGGGTGGCTTGTACCAACAAGATACAAAATACACTGGGCTAGGTATTGATTCTCAATTTCCTTGTCAGACATGTGAGATGGGAGAATTAACTTTATTTTAATTTGCCCAATATATAAAAAAATCAGGCACAAATACCTCTCGCTAAATATTCCTTTGATTAAAATATTGTCCCCTCAAAATAAAGAAGAAAATAATTTATTTATGATTATAGCTAGTTTACTAAAACTAAGGCATTTTATTATTTCGGAGAAGAAATCTAGCTAAGTTATTTTAGTTTTAGTTTATTGTAATATTACATTTATTTAATTTTTCTTTACTTCTTTTGTTAATATATATTTGGATTGTTCTTTTTTCTCCTTTTTCATTATTTTGTTATTTTTTGATTCTCATATAATATTGTAAACATGTAATATACATAAGCCTGTCCTATATACAGGGGGAAAAAAGAAAAAAAAGAAAAAAAAATTGATTGCCTATCACCACATTTTCAATGTTAGCAAATTAAAACATTGGGAAACGTGGTTCAAAAGTAAGTGTCCATGTGTCAGCCTCGCATGGCCTATTCTTAATCGGCTGAGGATGACCTTTCTTCCATTTTCATACAATGTGTTTTTGTTGTTTTATTTGAAGACTTATTTTTTTATATAAATTTATTTATGCAAAATAATATTCCTTGAAAAAGTATATATTTGTAATTTGGATCTTTTCCGTTTAATGTATAAATAACTCTTCCTTTAAGAAGAAGTTTACTTTTAAGTGCAATAATTTAATATTTAAGTTCTAAAATTTTATATTATAACAGTGTTAATTTTTCAAAAATCATCTCAGTAAATGATGTTTTTCTAATAGTCACAGTCGACTATCGCCCAGCCCTAGGATAACATCGATATTCGATGCTCAACATGAGAGGTAATGTATAATGTTTATGTTATAATAACACGCGTGTCATGTTCGTTGAGGAGCCGATGCCATTGACAGAAGGAGGTGAGGAGAACGTTCCTGGTGAAGATGAACAGCCTGAAAACGACGTTGCCAGCCAAAAAGACGAGGAGGACGATTTATGGAAGAAACCGAAGGAAATCTTCAAAAGAGGAGTCGTCTATCTATCTTTCATCCCTCCAGGAATGACCCCAACTGTCCTCAGAAACCTGCTCTCGAAGCATGCACCTGTGGGCAGGCTCTTTCTACAAGAGGTGAAAGAGAAAAGAGGGAAAGGTTTGTCAAATCGACCTTTAAATTTTTTGTAAAAATGTTGTCTTTAACGATTTTGAAGCTGTTGACTTGCTTCTGCATGAATGAAGAATTTTTCTTGGGTGAGGTAGTCACAGTAAACAGAACTCCAGATTGCTTCATGTGCCTAAGCCTTAGCTTTGTGCCAAAGTTATTGGTTCAATAAAATCAGGCATGCAAGACAAACATGACTATTTGTACAAAGTTCATAGTGTGTTTACAGTTTGGCATTACATTAAAGACTTCAGTTGATGTTGACGTTGAAACGTGCTGAGCTTGCTTTGTGTTCTGCCTCAGCCTGAGCCAATCGGGTGCTGGTTCCTCAAAATCAGGCACAAGTCAAACATATTTGTGTAAAGTTCATAGTGTGCTTATTTCAGTGGTCAGTTTAGTACTTGGGGCATAATGTTAATGTGTTTATTAAAATCAGGCGCAAGTCCTACCTATACATGGGTTATCATCACTATTTGTTGGTATTTTGATAGATCGAGGAAGCCAAAAATTACAAGGGCAGAAATGTTTGGCTCTTAAACTAAATATTCAGAGCACGTATACTTCATTTATGTTACGTGTACTTCAGTTTGATTAGAGGCTATTATGCTGGCTACCCAGGCAGTCACTAGGGCATTAAACTTACACATCATTTGCATATGAATAGTGCTGAATTGCAAAAATAAATAAAGGACACGGAGGAGGAGAGGGGAACGAAGAAGTGGATAGGCCATACCAGGCTACACATGGACTCTCTCATTAACACGTTGACTGCATCCTATGCATGACCATTTTGGTTGCCCACATCGGAATCCAATTTGTCCCTGTTATTTCAAAATATTGTAAATAATTTTAAGTATTTGTATTACGTTTATCTAAGTGATTTAATTTATATGACACAACAGTTGTGGCTCCTGCAGCACTAAGTAAACCAAATTTGGTGTGTAATTGAATAAAAAATTGAAACGATTATACACCCTTTCTCAGGCAGCCCTAGGAATTTTAAACGGATTTATGTAACGGGTAAAGTGGCAGGAGAGTTTAAAAAGCATAAACAGGAGAATGCAGACTGTCTGCCAGATAGAGAGTTGGTATGATGCACATGTCCAATTGTCCTCAGTACTAGTAACTCTGAAGCGTAAAAATAATAAAAAATATTAAAGGTGGGGTGAGTATGAGTTTGTACTGTTTTTGTGAATGATGGTTCTACTCTCATTACCATAAATTACAAAACTGTGAAGCATATTCTAACAATGTGTGAACAGCTTGTGCCACACTGGATCAGGAGTGGGCATCTACAAGTCTAAAAAGACTTTTGAAATACGCCACATATTACTTCATAAAATTAAGTAAAATGTGTGTTCAGAATGAAAGTTAGGCAAGTAAGTAAAGTAATTCTCATACTTAATGTATGGGTAACCATTGGGTTCAGAACCACTTTACACATTAATGTCCACATTAATTTTAAATAAAATTCCAAGGGCTATGCTGGGACACAGAACCGCTTGGCCCCCGTGGCCCCTTATAACCTAAATGCTAATTCTCACACAGAAAAGCTCTTGGCAATATAAAAATACTGCTTGTCATGCTGACCCGTTTTTATTGTCAGACTGGAAAAAGGCAGAACAGAAAAAATCTTGTTTAATGTTTTCAAAAATTTAACAATTTTGTTACTTTTCTTTATTAACGTTCTCTCGCTGTTTAGTTACACCACACTTTTAATTATTACAGTAAAGAAAAAAGCATACAAAACTGAAAGCTACACAGAAGGATGGGTTGAATTTTTGAAGAAACGACATGCCAAGAAGATAGCAGAGTTTCTTAACAATACGAAAATCGGAGGGAAGAAAAAGAGCAAATTCCACGATTATCTTTGGAACTTGAAATACCTACCTCGGTAATTTATCACATATGTTATTTAAAAAAAAGTCCGATAATCAATTAGTTCCTTTTTTTTACAGATTCAAGTGGGTACATCTTGTCGAGAGGCTTAATTATGAATCAGCATTACTTAAGCAGAGGATGAGGAACGAAATAAGCCAGGCGAAGAAGATAGCGAACCACTTTAAAGACAACGTCGACCGTGAGGAGAGGATAAGGAGGAAGAAGAAGACACAAGAAAACAAAGATGATACTAAACAAGAACAGAAAGAGGAGAAAATACCACTTAGGAAATTCGCACAGAGGAAAACTATGGAAGATATCAAAATGAAGAAGAAATCACAAGAAAACAGGGAAGACTTTCTCAAAAACCTTTTCGCTTGATTCATTGTTTATGGCAAGCAAATGTTGTAAATAACTATTTAATTTTTGTAAATAAATATAAATTTCTATGAAATATCTTTCTTCTTATTATTATTTTGACGAGGGTATTTCAACTACGAGGTTATATGCTGGTGTTTTTGAAAAAAAGCCCATTTGTAAGTATAAGTGGCCCTGCATTCAAACCTGGGACCTTTAGCTTACAGTGATGAGCGCCATGTTAACGATGTACCACCATAGCTAAAAGATACCGACATCCCCCTTATAAATTTATAGCATGTAGAACCTATAAAGGCACAAACTTGACAAAACATAGGTTATCTCATTAAAGATGATATAAGGTGAAATGAGTATGAGTGAAAATGTAGACCAGTGAGAATAGACAGACCCAGTAAAGTGATCATTGTTGAACAGCTCAACATCATACACGCGTTAAAAATATATTAATTATAATTAAATATAACATTAATTATAAATTGTATAGGCTGCAGCTTCCCATATTTTAGCCATATAACCAGTGATCTTTTTTATTTTTTTATTTATTTATTTTTTTTGTATTGGCTTTATAGCCATAAACCATGTGTAGCCATGCCGCAGCCAACGCGGACCGCCGGAATGGGGGAACCCATCCACCCACGGCACTGCACCCCCATGGTGAAGCAGTAGACCCCCACATACCAGCGGCCCCCGCAACGCCCGGCCGCCGCCACAACCACCACTCGATTCTAATGCTTCCCTTTATACATTATGATTAATCTTAGTTAAATATTTAAATAGCAACTTATACACATTTATACTCCCTGAATATAATAACGCCCTGTAGTCAAAAGGCGTATCCACGATTTTCCCTAGCGCATCAAACAATTAATTTCTTGTCTGTCTGTATTTTACACATTTCGTAACTATACGCTCCATCGATTCTTCTTCCATGCAGTACTCGCAGAGTGCTGATGGAAGTAATCCTACTTTTGCTAAATATTGTTTGCATACAGCATGATTACACCTTAACCTATTTATGGTTTTCCTGAATGCTTTCCCTACCATGTCCTTTTTGAACCAACTTTCTGTACAAACATTTGGTTGAATCTGCTTGTAAAATTCACCTTTCGTCGATCCTTGATATCTTATCTGCCATTCTTTCCGGGCGAATTCTCTAATAATTGGGATCAGATCCTCAAAGTGAACTTTAAAAAGCGCGTACTGCCCCGATTCTGTGGCCTGTTTGGCTAGTGCATCTGCCCGTTCATTAAAGAACCAGTGGTCTTAGAATGGCCCTGTCCACTCATCATAAGATCCGTGCTGGTGTACTTCAGGGCTCTGCATTAAGACCCATGCTGTTCATTACATTCCTCAAATAGTCTGCTGCCAGGCAAAAACATAATATGCACTATCTGCGAACAATCTGATTTTACTGAAGCATCCTGGAGGCAAAGCACAATATGCTCTAGCTAAAATAATGACACACTGCAGGAAATAGAAGCTGCAAATAAACTCAATAAAAACAGAGACAGTTATTAACAAACACCATTCAATTTGTGATGTAGAGATTACAATAGTCGTGGCTACTAAAAAAGCTACTGTTTACCTTATCAGACAAAGGCATGGCCATCAGACTTCTTTTCATATTTCTAAGTCCAAGATGAGCACTCCTAACAAAAAGCTTTTGTAAACATGATAAACCTGTGCTCTGTTGACCATTATGTATCCCTGGCAAAACTGCCTAAAGTGCATCACTAACAGTCCAATTGGGCTAAAGGGGATATCTGGTCTTTAAGGATGGGACTGAAAATGATAAAATCTGAGGTATGATAGAGAAGTACATTGTTCTTCAATGTCTGTACAACTGGAACTTGCTACTCAAACTCACCAGTACTTATGGCTGGATGAATGTGCATCTTTCGGAAAACCCACCCAAGGAAAAACTCAACTCAAATGCCTCCAGCAGTGATATTAGATATATGGAAATTCTAGGTGAGTCATTAGACCATATTATAACTCCTAGGAACAAACGGCTTCTTCGGGTAACATTTTTCTCACATTTAGCAACATTTAAGTCTCTCAGTAGGGTATTTGGTGCTGGCTGTTTGAAAGATTCATTAGTGGCATATGTCAAGAATGAATCAAATGTGGTGGACTCATCAAGGCTGCAACTTGAGTTGTATTTGATGTCTGAAAATGTAATAAGTACAGCTTGAAAAGTATGAGGCATAGTACAGGCCTTGTGTTCTTAAATTGGATTTTTTGTTGTTGCAAAACATTTACCCTAAAATATAACAATCTTCCCTCGAATGAACAAAATATTTTGCTGAACCGATGAGTGCTTTGCTTTAAACCAGAAATGGTGTAGTGGTATAATTTCCTCAGTGTATTTGAGGAGGTTGGTTTTTACTCTCTAACAATTTTCCTATGAGTTGGCTGATAATAGGGTGTAGGTTTGAAAATTTTTGTACTTTCCTGTTATTACAATTTTTCCTCATATCTGGGAAGTATCCCACTTGCAGACAACCATATCAAGGAGTTCCATTACTATTTTTGTTGGCATGCTTAATTTATTAATAACTTTGTGGGGACTGTGGTAGCTGAGTGGCAGGGTTTCTGACTTGTATGTGCCATGCTACCAGCTCTGGGTTCAAATCCTGGCACATCCCATGGAATTTTAATTGGTAATCATGTGTGCAAGGTATTGTAAAGTGGTTTGACCCTTTGTACAGTACACTCAATGAGTAATTTGTCATTAAGCCCTCATGTATAGCAGGAAGTATTTTAAATTTTGCTAAATTTGTTAGTAATAAATTGGTCTTACTTTTAACACATTTTACTGTAATAAAACAATTACACTTGCCTTAATTGCATTAACTTGAAATTCATAAAGCCAAACAATTGATTGCACTTACTGTGATCTTTAGGTTTGAACTTATAGATGTAATAACATGTGTATGTACATGTATTATAAAGGTTTTTAGGAGTAAGTTATAAATACATAAAACAAAGATTACAAAAGTTTATAATTTTTACTTAGTGCAATACAGTATATTAAATAATTAAGTTATCTTCTTCAGTTACTCATAACAATTCAGGTAATTCAAATAAACTCAATACACACTTATAATCTTCCATAAAATTGATTATTTAAGAAAAAGAAAAAAAAAAGAACTTCTGACAACTGAGAATTTTTTTAAACGAGTCTGAATTGGGCTGGGAACCTCACATAGGTAGATCTTGATATGTGCTCTGCTGCCCAAGACCATCTGAGGTTTTCCAAACACCATACGACGGATTCTTCAAGCTCTTTTGAAGGCTTGTCTTCAAACATTTTCAACTGGAGTTTAAGCAGTCGCCCATAATGGCCAAATGCTGCTGCGTGCCAGAGGCCAAAATAGCCAGTCGACTAAAACAATTGTTTAAGAATAAATTTTCATCACTGAGGTTTACTCAATATACTGACCTTTAAATCGCTGACTTCTGCGTATTTTAACAAACAGAGCCATAAGTCATCGATCTCGTCGAGTGAAGTGGCCATTTCACTATCTCCTGATTCTCCTGATGCCATGTGCTTCAGGTAGAGCCTACAGAGTATTGCACCTTTTCTCGATAAACTATCTATCAAAGCATTCTTCTGCTTTTCCATCATGCTGAAATATTAAAACAATATTAAAACAAGGGATTGGAAATAATAAATGAGCCTCCTTACAGTTTGATGGTAGTTGCTTCAGGTCTGAGATCAGATTTCATTCCAAGATAAGCAAGTAGTGATTTTTGATCTATGCTCTCATACAGTTCGTTCGCTAATTTGAGAACTCCTTGAGCAAGACGGAGGCCCTCTTCGGTCTCTTTGGCGCCCGGTAAGACTCGCTTTGATTCAGGCTCCATAGATTGAAGCATACTCATATAAGAAGTGACGTGGGACGGAAATTCTTCTTTGAGCTCGCTATAAAGCTTCTCGGCCATTTCACTATTGTCCATTTTCGCGAGCCATGAAGTCTTGAGATCTCGAAGAGCTTCCTGATACTCCTCCCATTTACTCTTTTCCGGAGAATTTTTTGAATTGTTGGTTGATTTTTTAGTGAGATCACTTAGGATGTAATTGAAAGTGTATGTATCCTTAAAACAGAAATAGAAAATGAATCCGTTTTCCTAATAAAATGCATGCAAGCATCCAAGAGTGTATATTGAATAATTTGTAATTTTTAATGATAAGGTTAAAATATGATTAAAAAAATTGTTTTAATAATGGAAACCTACCACTTTCTTCCCCAAATCATTTTTACTAAGTGTTAAAGTCCCTGTGAGATACTGCCCAGGTGTGATATTTTTCAACGTTCTGTAAAGTTAAAACATAAATAACTAATACTTCAAAAAAGAAAGAAAGAAAAAAAAACTTACTTCTCATTCTGGATTGGGGAGATATAGATTGGGAGCCGGTAAGTGCCGCTCGGTACAAGTCCAGAGTTTAATTTTTTTGTTTGCAAGACAGCCGCATGCTGGGTAGCATACACATCAAGGCTGATGGGGTTTTGAAGTTTCTGCCAGAGCATCATAGGCGTTTCAAAAAGCTTTTCAAGGAGATCACGTTTTTCATGTCTTATCTGGAGTTTGATCGTATAATCACCTTTATCCAATTTGACATTATACTGCAAAAACACAATTTAAAAATTAGCCAGTTTAATACATTTATTAATGTAATATTCTTATATAAGAAAAATTATACTTTTTTAGGATAAGCATCCCCAGAGGCGATGTACTGCTTATTCGAATCGAACAACATCCAAAGTTGAGATTCAAACTCAGACTCGTACAGATACTGGCTAACCAATGCACAGTTTGGCATTACTTCCGTCTGTTTTGGCAAGTGGAAATTGTAAGTGAGCATCAGCTGGTAAATATGCCTGGATGGCGGGATTACATCTCTAACCGACCCAGGAGTAATCTTAGCATCTGCTGGTCTGAAAAAAATTTGCAAAGAAATTCACTCTTGGGGAAAATTGAACTATAAAACTTTATTACTTAAGCGTGATAACATTGAATTTTAATGAAATGGCCGGTGAAATTTCCTCTACTTGAAGGCCACCTAGAATTTCAAGTTGGTGGATTGCATGACTGTGATGCATAGTCACTTCGTTTGATTCAAGAGGACACCCGAAGAATTGGATGCTGTAGTTAATAGTATTTTCATACTGTTCAGACCAATACTTTGAAAGCACCAGCTCCATTGTTATCCCGCCCTTGAAACAAATACATGTTATATTCAATAAAGACCCTTTATTAAAAACAAATATACCTTGACTTGGAATGTAAAAATGCCTTCTGTGTCAAAAGAGACCACTGCCATTTTATGGTACTCCTGTGCACGACAGGATTTTTTTGATAAAACTTGCATTGCGTGTATTACAAAATTTCCAGGTCTATCAATATCAAGAACACTGAGTTTCACAGCTATCAAATAAGTAAAATTTGTTTAAAAAAATTACCCATATTTAATTTATTAAAAACATACTTGCATATGAAGCTCTTTCAGGTACAAAAATGAAATGCCTTCGAATTTCACCCGGTTTAATGCTAATCGTTTGATACTGGATGAGAGGCTTGATCGGCGGCTCTTGTAATACGTAAGGGTTTATAACTGTTATTTCAATTTGGAACATCGGACCTTTTTCAACTTGCTTGACGTCGTATGCGTTGATTCTAGATTCAAATGAATATGTTAAGGTTAATAAATAGCACGTCATTGGAAAACTCACGATGTAGCATGAACGCCTGTGGGGAGTCCAGATGGGTCGACGCGCACGTTGATAGTTCGCATCATGTTGTTGAACTCAAGTGAGACAGGGTGTTGGACCCACGATTGATCGCACGACAGAGAAAGACTCATTTGGAAATCAAGCTTTTCCTTTAAATCTGCACAAATTGGATAATTTGAGTTAAAAACAAACAAAAATTTTCTTTTAAATTGATCATATACGATCTTTCTGGAGAGCTTCTTGCTGGTTGACCCAATGAGAACGGGTAGATCAGGGTGATCAACTACATGTTATCTTACAAACAATAAAGTTTCACAATATTTCTTTTGATTCTATTGAAATTATAATAAACCAACAATCCCACAACCAATTATACGTTCTTCGTACTTATTACAAAATATTCATGTACAAAATTTTTGGAATTAAATTAACAAATAGCAAAAACTACAGAAAACAAGCTCTGAGAAATGTGTCTAAATTATTAGAGAAATGTGAAAAGTAAAGTTAAGGAAAGAGATACTGAGACTTTCTTGACAAGACCAAGAATAGGTCATAACATATATACCCTCCCCCAATAAGCACCATTATAAAACATGAGCTGTTTAGTAAGAAATTTCAATAAAAAACAACATAACAAAATCAATAATTAGGGAAAAATCAAAAAAAATTTCAGTAACAGTTTTGAAATTCAATTCCAACATCAAATTGGATTTTTATCTTATTACATTCTGAATGGCTCATGCAAACTTAAACAATGATAAATGAATTTTGTTCCACTATCTGTTACAAGCTTCCATGTAATTTTGTGATTCCATTCTCCCAGAACTTTTTTCAGAATTAAATGATTGAAAAACAAAACTTACTTTATAACACAATACTACTCTTAAGGTGACACTTAAAAGGAATTGGCTCTCTTTATAACTTTACACATGACCACCAATTTGATCTATTATGTACTAATGTTACAAATTTGTATAAGTTATATTCATGCTTTTTTCAGAATGTTAAGCAGGGTGTACTTTTTAGATGGCCCGGATGAATTTCTCTTGAACCAATGACGCTATCAAAAAACAAAAAATAACGGTTTAATATTTTTTAATCTAGTTTCAAATTTCTACCTTTTTTTTGAAGAAAAATTATACAGGGTACCTCAGGCCAGTTCAACATCAAAATTTCAACTATGACCCTATACACCCTGACACATCATTTTAAAGAATTTTTTATGCTGAAAACTATTATGCAATTGGATTTTAAATTGGTTAAAAAAGACAAAGTGATGGCAAAAAGTTGAAAAAAAAGGAACATTTGGTGTGCTGGAATTAGTCACACACAGTTCATGTTCGAACTACCTGCCTTCGCAGATGCAAAAATTCTTTTTAACCATTCTTCACTGGCGGTGCTCAAAGTGATAGAGTCAGGGGAGTTGGATCGACAAGCATTTTTAACCTTAGCCGCGGTTCTTCAACTGATGTTGCTGGGTTTTGATTGGCACAGACACTGTTTTTTAATGGAAAAAAATAGGCAAACGGAGTTGAATCCAGTGGCCGAGGAGGCCAACTGATCGTTGTAGAAATAAGGCCCAATTAATTTATTTCCGAGAAGACCACACCAAACGTGGTGATGACCAGAGTATGAAATTCTCGGATCTTCGTCAGACCACGTTTAAAAAGTACAACTGTTTATTAGAGGTGAACTTGGTTTCATCAGCCCAAAGGATGTATGAAAGTACCTTTTCTTCAGCCTCTCAAATTGGCATTTGTGCAAGGAACGTTAGACGCCTGTCATAATCAGAGTCCCGAAATCCCTGGACAGGATGAGAGTGATATAGCTTAAAATTGTATGGCCGGAGTGCATCTCTAATTTTATTCTCTAATTGTTTGAAAAACCTAAAACCTTTCCAAAATTTCAGAGGAATTTAAATTGTCGCAAGTATACAGTAAATATTCAGCTCCTCGCCAAAATTGCCGTTTTCTTTTTGCTAAAATTTTGTCATTTTTTGACCAATTTAAAGTCAGATTGCAACATTGTTTTCAGTGTAAAAAAATCCTTTAAAATGGTGTGTCAGGATGTATAGGGTCGTGCTTTGAAGTTCAACTGAGCCTGAAGTACCCTGTACAATTTTTCTCCCAAAAAAGGTAAAAATTTGAAACTAGACTCAAAAATACTAAACACGTAATGTTTTATACAGTCTTGGTTCAAGAGAAATTCAGCTGGGCCATCTAAAAATGGCACCCTGTGTATCACACTGGCTCTTTTCACAATTATCAATATATATTTAAAATTATTACCTATGTTTGAGGAGTCGGCAAAAATTGGTTCGATACACACTGGGAATTCTTTGGACACATTATGCGCTCCTCCTCGTAATAGGATTCCTTTGTCCTTGTTCGTACTTAGATAGACATGAAATCTGACTTTGTTGTCTCTCGATTCATTGTATGAAATTAAGTGATCAAAAGCTTTTCCTACCTGCAGATTATTTATTTATTTTACCAGACAATGTGTGCAATTTTTCATACGCACCTGAAGCAAACCCCGCCCTTGTGCAAAATAATCAGCATTAGAAAGATACTGAGCTGTATTTTCCAAAGCTCTTTTCACAGAATAAGGAGTATGTTTAATGTTCTTGGCTTTCAACCCGGATAACAAAATAGCTAAAAAGATTTTTAATTAATTTTTTGTTGTTGCGGTAATTATATTAAAATTTAACTTACCGACAGCACCAGCGACATGAGGGGAAGCCATACTTGTCCCGTTTAATAGCTGTGCGCTCCTTAATAAGTACTGTGGGACTGAAGTTATAGCCCCACCAGGAGCACATACACTAACACCTTTGGCACCGTCCATTGTTGGACCGCGGGATGTCCACGTATAAGGAAGACCAGGGGCTTTTGACCTAAGCGAATACTCAGCTACCATCATTTCAGGCGAAACATATGCTCCCACTCCTTTAAAAGAAAAAAAATATATATATACATGTATAATCTAAAATCTCTCAAAATATAAAAAACAAACCTATTATGCTTTCAGTAGAAATGGAAGGTGGTGTACCAATAGTGCATAGGCATGGGCCATGATTGCCAGCAGCAGCGACCCATGTCACGCCATATTTGTCAATTACCTCATTCATGAGATCTCCTACTCTCCTATAAATTTATATAAATATAAATTTTAAGTTTTTTTTTTTTTTAAATAAACAATTTAGCTAATTATTACCCAGAACAACTCCAACTGGCTTGTTCACCATAACTCATATTAATAACAGTGATCGGATTGTTAGTCTTTTGAGACTCCATAACTTTTATCATTGCCCTGGCCAAACCAGTGCCTGTTTCCATCGTGTTAATTCTCTGATCACCTGAGGCAATATTTTATTAAAATAAGAGTACTTTATATAAAAGGGAAATACAAAAAGAAATGAAAATAAGGATCACCTATACTCAAGGAAACCAGTTGGGCTCCTGGTGCGACTCCATTTTTCTCCGGTTCATCCGGAAAGTAAGCGGCAGTTATTGAAGCAACATGAGTCCCATGTGATGCTAATTTTGGCAAAAACACCTTTATATCGAATCAAAAAATCCAACAGAAAAATTACTTACATGCTAACGAGACAAATTCCAACAAATTTCCATTGTCGTACACATTTATTGAGTAATTCAAGACATCCTCTTTTGTCAAGGGAGCAAATTCATATGTTTTTGAATACTCCCCGACCAATGAACAACTAGCTAAATCACCACACTCACTTGTATCAATACACAACCTAATAAAATATATCAATTATTTAATTTGTTTAAAAATAATCCTTATTGTTTACTGTAATTTAGTACAGAATTACTACCTCCAAACAGCACCATCATTAAAAAGAACACAGTCATAAGTTGGACCAAGATCTTCATATTTTTTCTCGAACTGATTCAACATTTCCACTTGTGCTTCTACATTTTCTTTTTGGAGCTTGCTAGTCCTTGATATGGTTCCTTTACAATTATCTATATTCTATAACATAAAAAAAAATTGAATTCATTGCATATATCAAAATACAATCATTTTTACTTGGCTTATTTCAGCGAGCCGGTGGTTTGACTCAGCTAGAGCAGTTTTAAATCCTGGATCCCAACTTTTTTGTCGCCTTTCCTGGGTCATCCTTTCCTTCAGCATTCTGGGGTAAATCTGGTAGCTGTTCAGAACACCTACATGATATGTTCCACTGGGATTTTTCCAAGTCTGTGGGATCTATAAAAACACAGCAGCCAAAGTGTTTAAATTAATCCTTAATGACAAGTGAATGTGAGCCAGGCTTTTCACTGGAAAATAATTCTACCAATCAACATATAATATTCACTTTAAAAAAATCTATTTTTAAAGTTTGTATCGTTTAAATACCTTAATTGACTTTTTAAATAAAAAAATTACATTTTATTACCTTAAGCTCCCGTCCAGTGAGACCAGTGATGGTTCCATTGTTTGGTTTGACAACAGTTGATGTATCGATATCGCCAGCTCCAGTGCAGTCATACCTCCCTATAATTTTTCTTTTACCCTCACTTGTCACCTTAAATAAATAAATTTATCAATGAGGCAATAGAGAGAAATTTTGAAGTTTGAAAGTTATAAAGTTTCAATTAATTTTTCAATTCTTTTTATCTAAGGTCTCGACTGAGATGAAAAAATTAATTGAAATATTTAATATGGTCAATTATCACCGCTAAAGATGTATGGATGTTACAAAGTTTCTTTGTTTTTCAGTAAAACACTGCAGACTGAGATGCTAGAAAAACAGTTAAGATACTCTGTTTAGGAGGTTGATGATATCAGGCAACATTAAAACTATGATATCATCAATCTCCTAAACAGAATATTACAGCTGAACCCACAACATCCCACCGCTATATCAGATTTAGTTAAGAAACACGGGATATGTGCTGATTAAGGAAAGAAGTAAAACACTCCCTGCTGCATACAGATCCAAAACAAATGAAGGGACCGGATCAGGTGGTATTGTTATATATTCAAATCTATATTGAATAAATCGCCATTGCTTCCTCATATTCTTCCTCAGTATAATCCTGTGATATACACTGCATCATCTGTTGTGTGGCGTGTGCTTGTGTTGAACAGATGTGCACACCCCACCAACATGCAACAAGGCATTGCATCAGGAAAATGTGTCCCCCGCTTTACTGTGCTGCTAAACTTATCCGTAGGAGAAAATGCTTTGGGATATATAACATAACGTAAATAATAAAAACAAATGAAATTTCTTGATGAACTGGGACTCACCAGTGTGATACTGGTAAAGAACCTGAGATGCAACAGCTCTTAAAGGGTGCAATATTCTAAATCACCCTGAATTTTTACATCTTACGTGTTTATTATTTAGAAAAAATTACTAGTCGTTTCTTTAGCTTTCAGGTAAAGGTAAAGAGTCAAACAGATAATACTGAGTTACCTGGAGGCCTGGAGCTCCAGGATCCACACCCGAGTCGAAGATGGCAATGGTGATGCCACGGCCGTCGTACTCAGGATACTTGCTGAGGAAAGCTGTGACCCCGGTTTCCCTCTTCGGGAGGAGGGCCCAGACCGGGTATTCGCCGTTTCCGCTGAACATCCCGATGCGAGGAGGGCTCTGGAACCGAGACAAATCACAAATTTGAAGGATCAAATTCGGGTAAAAAGTGAACAAACTTGGCTCTCGTCGACCTTCGATCTTGTCATGAAACTTTATCGCTTGTATTATGCAGTTATAAAGCCTTTCAGCAGCAAAATTTTCTTTTGGCAGCAGGAATTTGCAGAATTGTGGATTTATAACTTCGTACGAAGGTTACTATTTACTATCCCGGTGCTATCAACGGGAAAATACTTGGCAGAATCGATTTATCCAAGTTCAAAAGATCACTTGATCTTCGATCTTTTGATCCGTCTTCAATCAGCCAAAGTACCAAGCTAGGGTTCTTCTGCCAGACCGTTTAAATATAAATTTATATTTTCATCCTCCCATTCACTATTTCTTAAAAAAAAAAAAATGACATCGATTTTATTTAGAACTGTTTTATAATCGATGGAAGTTCAATTTTCTTTGCCGGCCAACTGTGACAAGGCAAAAATTTTGCTATTTAAAAAAAATCTATCTTATCAAATTACAATGTTATGTAATCCGCTCCCAGTCCTGAGGGTTTTAATGTTTGAAAACATAAAAGACAAATAGAGCGTTAAATTTGTAAAACTAGACAAGAGATAAATGATATTTGTTCTTTTTTTTAAATAAATAAAATTTTCGGCCTTTCCTAGATTGAAATGTTCAATCAATGTAGAAGGCTTCTCTTTTGAATGTGGAATCTTACTCTTTTTTATGTACAATAATACGAAATATCATTGGTTTTTAATGACTTATTTAAAACTATAAGTACTTACTACTTATTATTTTTACCAAAGACAAATTGTGGTACTAGTACAGCTTTTAAAATTACCTTTAAGGTAATTTCTTAAGGGAGTGAATTATTAAAGGGGGTAAGGGATAGGGATAAAAGTGGTGGCCATAAGGCCGTCTGCACCTCAACCTAGTGCTCCTCAATTTTTATAACTCACTGGCCTGCTTCAGTTGTTATTCAGTTCCTTAGTGTAGGATCTTGCTTGCAGCTTTTACTCTTCTAGTTGCGATAATCTACACCTACATAGACCCTCACATAAACATAAAACGTGTTCAGCAGTCCCTTCTATCCTGTCCTTCTTAGGTGGCAGGCCTCAAGAAGAACCCCTGGGTGTTGGTAATCCAATTTCATACCTCGTTCTTATCCATCCAGCTGATGAGGTATGAATTGATCTACAATGGCTAGATCATTTCAGCCCCCAATACGGTCAGTTCCTATATCCAAACCCATTCACTCCCTAACTCTCTCTAAAATATATTACTTATTATACTATATTAATTACATTATATTACTATTAATAATATATAGTATCACTCATGAAAATGTTTTAAAATCAATTAAATCTAATGCTACAGGTTCCGATCTTATTCCTATTAAACTCATAATTTTTTCCCTTCCTGTTACTTTAAAATACATAACCCATATTTTGAACTTCTCTCTCACTTCATCCTGTTTTCCTTCATTCTGGAAGGAAGCCCCAATAGCTGCTTTATCCAAGAAACCCAAACCTCCCTTGCAACTATTGCCCTATTAATTTTCTTCCATATCTATCCAAAACATTTGAGAAGATTTTATTTAAACAGATATCCTTTTTTATTGACTCCCAAGCACTTATATCCCCTTTTCAATCTGGCTTCTGAAAATTTCATAGTTGTGAGACAGCCCTTCCCAAAATCTCAGATGATATTTGTCTAGGTATTAATAAATATACTTGAATTTTCCAACGCATTTGATTCCATAATTCGTAATTTACTTATTTGGAAACTAACACATTTTTTTGGTCTTTCTTCTACTGCTAATCTGTCTGATAGAACTCAGAGAGTTAAAGTTTCAAATTGTACCTCCTCTTCTATCTCAATTCCAGCTGGTGTACCCCAAGGCTCTATCCTTCGACCTTTACTCTTTTCCATGTTTCTAAATTCTCTTCCATTAGTTCTTAATTTCTCCCAATTTCACCTCTATGCTGATGACACTCAGCTTTACATTCATTGGATGGAACACATCGAGGAATCTTTCTCTATGTGCTGGTCAAATATGTGGACTATCCTTAATCAAGTGAGGATGAACATTTTTTTTACAGGTCAGATCCTCTGTGGACAGACATCAACAGCGCTCAAGTTACGTGGTAGCTCTTCTACAATCTGGTCCATCAATGCTGCCCTATTTTTTAAACAGGCTTTTTATTGCATTTTTGGCATTGAGGGCCAGATTGTGGTGGTTAAGTTTGGTGGTTGTTACATCCTAGCCTCAGTTGTCTCATCCGACTTTTACCTATATGTTGTTTTGTAAACTGGACATGTAATAATTGAATATTAAAAAACCAACTATATTTATTTTGTTTTTAACATAAAACATAGAAAAACAATCAGTGAATTTTAACAAAAGGAAGAGATTTACAATTAAACAAAAAACATATTTTTTTGCTTATTTTAAACACACTTTTATATAAATATATTCATCTATATTTTATCACATAGTAAAGCTGAAGCATGACAGAGTAGTGAACATCCTACAGTAAGCACACATCCGACAACTATTTGCATACATTTAAACTACTTCTTACATTTAAGTTTCTCTTTTTCCTTCTTCTATGAATTAATTTCTGTCCTGTGATATGTCACAGTGTTAAAACGGAGAAGGAAGCACTGTTTGGTAGAAATGCAATAACAGCCTTCCTCATAAAGCTCAATATTACCTAGTTTATGGTGTAACCATGTACTTTCAAATTTACAAAACAATTAACCTCTTGTTCCTTTATTAAATAACTTTTTTATTCCACCTTCTATTTCCATTATATGCATTTCTCTTTGATAAAAAAAATACATTTATAACATTAACCTACAATTGAATAATAAGAATTATACTGATTAATTAAACTTGTTGAAGTTGTACTGTTTTTTGAATTGAAATTTAATTATTAATTTACGGGCAATAGTCCATTTTATTACAATAATTACAAGAAAGACAAAGACCATTTAAAGCATGAAAAACATTGACATATTAAATATTGGCAATAATAAAATAATGCAATTTAGATACCAATATTTGAATACACAAAAATAATATTTGGGATTTGACTAGTAAATGAAAACAATTATTTAGAGATTGTGAGATGTGGTCTTGTGTGGTGTAGGTTTTCTGTGTAACACACTCTTTGAGTGAGTACAAATACTTCGAATAAACCTAAAATTTCTATATTGTGTACATCATTGTATAAATTCATTTTCACATCTTTCATGCATTTGTATAATCCAAACAATGTTTGTAAATCCCAGGCCCTGAAGATGATCTAAGTAAAGATTGAAACGTTGGCACGATAAAGAAAATGTTTTTCTAAACCTACATCACACAAGACCGCATCTCACGACCTCTAAATAATGATTAATTAACAGTCACTAAATACAAGACAATAAAAACAATGATAAATTAATAATAAAATCAATTATTAATTAATTGTACGTATATATACACAACAACAATCAACCAGCACATCCAGCACACATACATACACACAGACACACACCGTGTGTACTGATTGACTCTTGTTGTACAAGTTCATCTCAAATTCCTTTTCAAACTGGTTTTAGATGTATTATTCATATCTGTACTGTTGGAAAGTATTGACAAGATCCATCATCCTGTATATGGAAGAGGGAGAAGTGTAGTTGGTATGGGAAATTTGATAGTACTGTTTTACTACTGTTTTACTTATGTGGGCAGATGGGACTTGAAAATTGAGGTGTGATAGCAATTCTGGGGAGTCAATATTATTATACATACTGAAAAGAAACATTTTTTCTTTAACCAACTGAAACATGAAAACTGCAAGCAAAGTATTTCTGGTTGTTGTCTGTTTTAAAGTATTACCAATTAAGTTACAAACTGGAATCCCATGAAGGCTTTGAGTCCTAGAAACTATTATCACTTAGATTACATTAAGATTTAATATAAATGCACAAGAGAATTATAATTATTGTCTCTCTCCTAAGGTTAATAAAATGCTCTGTAAACATTTTAGCATAAGCTAGCTGTAGAAAATTTCTCTATAAAATCGGTCCACCATAAAGTGATGGCTGTAATTTTATTTATTTTTTACAATTGAAACATGAAAAATATATTGTCTTTTACAAAATTATTCTCTTGTGCATTGTCTTTATTTGTCAACTGTTCCCTAAATAAGAGGTATTTTAATTACCGTTATATACATATAAATAATATTTATTTGTCAATATTACTAGTATTTAATCAGAGATGATTTTGGCTTTTGAAAATAAATTCTGATTTTGAAAATATAATTTAACAATATCTTACTTTTCTTTTCAAATTATTCTATTACTTTTTAAATAGTTATAATTGTTATTTTCTATTAGTTTTATTTATCCTACTAACATTTATTTCTCTATCTTGAATTTATCTTAACATTAGTTTTACATTCAATAAACATTTAACCGAAGACTGTTCATTACAATAAAGATAAAAATTAAAAAACATTTTCAAAGTAGAAAAATAAATTAGATTTATCGTAATATAAAATACAAATAATAGTTTTGTTAACACTTCTCTAAAATATGACAAATACACTGATTTACTTATTACATAGGTATATATACTATTGAAACATTGACATTCAAACACTTATTAGCACTTTTGTGCCACTCAAAGCATGTTTTTTATTTCACATTTTAAAGAGAAAATAGCATGACACATAAGGCATACATTTATTATCTCTGAGCCCCGGGCTACATGTATGTTTGACATACTTTCGTAAACGTAATTATACAAAATAATACCTTAAAAAGTGAAATGTATAAGAATTGAAATGTTAATTTTTTTGTCTTTCCTAAAGATATGTTATTAATGATTGAAAAAATAGACAATTTTTAATAAAATTGATTTTTGTTTGGAAAGATTGATATAGTTTTTAAACAAGCATTGTGCGTATTTTTTAAATTTATTTTTATGATCTATCTAATGGACAACCGTGTCTATAGAAAATGATGAATATATGGAAACCTCTTCGCCTAGAAAGGAGAGATTCATAATTTTTTCTTTCAGAAATTGTGAAAGATTGTTGTATATTTAAACGAGTTTTAACGAACTGTATTTGTAGTCAATTTCTATTTTAGGTTAAGATTTGAAAATCAACTCAAGATTAATTTAAAAAATAGACATTTGAATATAGACGCTAGCTAGAAACCAGCCAAAAATATACAATTTGATTTATTTATTCAATTAAAACATAAAAAATATCTGTAAATATATTTCTTAATGAAATTATTGCATTTCAATCATAACAGTAAAAAAAATAATGACTGGATTATTTCATTATTACTATTATTATTCTATTTGTAATTTTATTTATTTATTTTTTAATTAGCTATGTTAGTAGAACTGCTATGGTTCCTAATTCAGGTATAAGTATTGTTTAATAGTCATTTGAGCATTTATCTATAATTAAATTTACTAACTATAAATGACTGTTTCTATTATCTAAAGAAACCTTTGTACAGTTCTTAACTGCCAACCCAAAAGATACGAGTTATTGACATGTTCATTGTTTAATTTTGTGTTAAATTAAGCAAAATTAATTCCCTTTCAATTTTTTGTTTGATCGATCCTTAAAGATAAAGAAAAGAAAGTTTGGAAGAATCTTAAGTTACTTAGTGTCATTTTGAATTTATTTTATTACTAGTTTTTTATTTTTTAAATTATAGACTTAGATGATATGGTAAACAACAATTGATATTCTTGATTTATATTTAATTGTACACCTATCTGAAATGTACAATACTCAAATCACAAATTGAGCACAATTTGTACTTAGACACGCTGAAAATTTTATTTGAAAACAAACACCTAATCCAGGATAGTATGTTTATTGTTCAAAACAAATAATTTTCATTATATTTTCTTATGTTTAAATAAATAATTCACTTTAATTTTAACATTTTATTAGTTATGTATTATGTTTGTTGAGTGTTTTTATTTGTTAAGAAACTGTATTGGCAAATTTACTTTATTTTTTAATTTAATCTTATTTATTAATTATTTTATCCAAGCTGATGATCTTAACTATGATTAATTAAAATATAAAAAAAAAAAAAAATAGGAAAGAAAAAATATGCTTTTACACTAAGCATCACAAGAAGAAAACAATTCAATTGTTTCAAACTTATTCTTTCCTCGATTTGATTTATTTTTGTTTAAATATAGGAAATCTCAAAAGATGAGCAAAGAGTTCTTATGTTGATATCTCATTTCAACCTTTAGGATCTATACTTCAGTAAAAAAGTTATGAAAATATTTTTACTTAATAAGAAAGAGATTTCTCATAGATACCCTTATTACAAGTAACAGCCTGATAATTCTACAAAATTAATTATTATTTCTCTTTTTGTGTCATGCTCTTTGGCACTTAATCCATTATTAGCTTCAATGGAAAACAGTTCCATGGCTGCAGTTTGTTTATTCAACATGAGCAACACTGCCAAAAGTGCCTAAGAACTTAATATCATACTTGTACTTTTTTTTTTAACAAGTTTTGAAAACGATTATTTTTTAATCTAATTTTTCTTTATAATAGCTTTTTTTTATCTGCACATTAAACCTAAGATATTCAATTAGATATTGTCAAAATGGAAGTTACACAGAGAAATTATTGTCCACTACCACAAATGGAAAACCTAACACCAATATTGTTTACACCAATATTGTTTACAACATTGCAAAGTTTCCCCTCTTTCCCGGTATCAATACAAACTTGTCTTTTTAAAATATATTTTATATATTCAAAACATTCTGTGATGGAAGACCTTTTCTCTCTCTAAAATTAGAAACTTTGCAGGCGACAACTTTTTTCTTAAAAATTAATGCACATAAATTTATTGTCATTTGCAGTATCTTTTAGGAGTACATGTCCTAAAAGCCTTAAACATAATATTCTTTACAATTCTATTTTAACTTTTAATTAGCTACTTTTTATGTAACACATAAATTATTTATTAGTTTATTTTGTAAATTCTTTTTTTTTACTGCATTATTGTTAAATGTCACATCTTTATTTGAAAAATGTTTATTTTTTTAAATGAACTTTGTTACTTTTATTGTCGTTTCTTTAATGATTTTATTGTCTTTGTTTACTAATTAATATTGCCATTTTGTTTCATTGTACTCTTTGATAAAATTGGCCAACTCAAATTCAGGACGAATTCATTTAATTTACGTGCCAAATTTTTGGGTTGTATTTCTTATAAATCTTAAGATTTTGTATCAAATAGCAAATTGAAAATATTGTATGATATGTTTTGAAAATAAAGATCATATATGATCATCATCAAAACATTTTGATATGATTTTTTATAATACTTTTCCTTTTCAACAATTTAATTGATTTTTGTTTTACTTGATGCAATTTTTTTTTACTAAGTTTTTATGAGAAAATCAGTGTTGTTAAATGCGCCTTTTGAAGAATATATTATTTTATCTCCATAAAATAAATATCTTAAGCATACTTTATATCCTTTTCTTCAATGACAAATATTAGTCAATGCATCATTTACAAATCGGAAAATAGTGCCATTTGCTGTCTTATCCATTGTACATAACGTGGTACATAAGCATATACACCAGGTAGCCTTGGATGTGCACATTTGATTCCCCAACTGACGATTCCTCCAACGAACCACCTGTCAGGATTTCCTGGCATTGGACACAACAATGGCCCACCTGAGTCACCCTGTACCAATTGACAAAGATTAACACAAGATCTAATAATAGAACATTTTAATAATTACCTGACAGGCGTCTTTACCACCGGCCTCATATCCTGCACATATCATTCCTTGTGTCACATTCAGGTCTCTTGGTTCAAGCCATTTATTGCATACGGTACGATTCAATACAGGCACTTTCACTTCATTTACAGATGCCTCATATTCCGATACTGTAAATAGTAAAATATTAGCATATTATAATGAAGAATTTACTCATTAATGAATTTTTTTTACAGTCTGTATCCTCCCTCTTTCCCCATCCTATGACGGTGCAGTACGTCCCAGGTACAAGGTCTTCACCCTCAGAAGGGAGACATACAGGAAGTAAGTGTTCATGAAAAGTCACACGCTGTTGAAGCTGTAGACAAAAGTTCAATATAAAGGTTATTAGAAATTTTTTTAGCCAATTTCACAGTAATTTGGTCATTAATGATCATTTTGGTCTGCTTATCCTTGCTCGGTTGGTCTGTCATATGTGTTTCAGCATTTTCCAATCTTATGTGTGTCTGTTTTGATCTGCAATGTGTTTACCAAAATGCCGAAACATGTTTGACAGACCAATCGAATGAGTGAAAAAGAAAAATTATAAACCTGCAGGAGAAAGTTAAAACTTCAGATATTCTCCAGTTATGGTCAATGAGAAAAAAAGGTAAACATAAAAATTACAGATTTTAAGTACCAGAAACTGATTAGGTATGAGATAGGCTGAGTATGCAAAAATAACGCACCATATTTTCTCTTGTGATTATTGTTCAGGACATCATACCAAACTGGAAAATGCATGCTGCCAACTAAAAAAGTGGTACCTAACGGGGGGGGGGGTAGGTAGGGATACCTTAAAAATGAACTTATATATCTGCATGTGCTCATCGTTGGTTAATGTTATAGAACTCAAAATGAACTTTTTTAATTAAATTTAGTCATATTTATTTTTTGATTAATTGGATGTTATGAGAAGTAATTTAACAACTAACTTGTTGATGTATTTGGTTTTTATATAAATTTATTGCAAAATTATTATAGTTTGGCCTAGTTACAAGTCATACAATTGTTTTATGCTGGTTAGAGGTCCTATTAACATTTTAGATATATATTATATAAGAGAGGTTGTACTGCATTGATTATGGGTCTTAATGTCTTACTGTACTGATTATGAGCCTAATAGCAATAGCAATCTTTTAATAGCAGTAAACAATTTTTCACCTCAACCAAAAACCTTAAAAGGAAAGAATAATTAATTGCAATAATTATTATGATCAATTATGGCCATTAAACAAATATGGATTAATTTAATAATTAAATTAATTAATTAATTCACTCCCTGTGGCCACTTCATAAGTCGCTGAGAATCAATCCTGATTACACAACATTTAAAAAATGGCAAAAAGAGGGAAAAATTTGAATGGTTGTAGGTTGAGATGGGAAGTTGGTGTCCGAGGGGATCAAATCATAATAGTTCAAGTTGTATTGAGGGTATTGAGCTGTGTCGTGGGTTCGAATCCCGCTCGCGACACTAATTTTTCATCTCAACCAAAAACCTTAGAAGAAAATAATAATTAATTGGATTTTCAAAATGTTTGGTTTTAGTCTATACAGATGAAACCTCAAAATGATTAACAATCAGGCGTTGGATATACAGTTTGGCAAAACCGTTCAGCATTGCTGGTTTAGCATCTTGCAGTCCTAAAAGATCAAGAGGTTTTTAATTTCTTTAGATTTTTATTTTCATATATTAAGGAAATTGGTTAAAAATATTGTTTCAATTTTATTCAAAGCAATGGAATTTGTTAGTTTTTTTATTATTTAGTAAGTGATTTTCAATTACCTGAAACAATGCCACGTCGTTGTCATGAGGGATTCCAATGTTGTAAAGTGGATGAGGCACGACTCGTTTAACTTTGGCCTTCTGCCCAAAGTAGGAATGTGCATGACGCCTTGTAATGCCCAATTGGATTGTCCAACCCGATGTATCTCCATGGCTGAAACTAAACGAAAAGTACAACATTTTTTCTTGTCTGTCTATAAGTAAAATTTCCAAAAGTGCTCACTTTCCAACGCAGTGAGATGCCGTGAGGACCCATTGGTCGGATATCAAAACGCCAGCGCAGTAGAAAATTTGTTCTGGTCCTCCAAGAAGTGCCGCCAGGAATGGCCAATCTCCCGGGCTAGAAATTTTTCCTCCGATGATGCGAGTCGAAGGTTGCAGCACTTGTCTTCTTTGGCCACAGACTGTAAAAACCATTTGTAAAGGCAATAAAATAAATAAAAGAGCGTAAAAACATTTTTAGTAAGGCAAAGTTTTTTTTAACTTACTTATATTTGTACACGATAAGTCGACAGTAGGGTAGGCCTCTGTCCTTGGACAATTCCTGAGCTCTTTGAGCAAGAACATCCTCTTTTTTCTACTTTTTGTCCTCCACATTAAAGAAGGGTCAAGAACTTTGGAACTTCTTGATGGAGTGAAGCCCTCTTTTCCTTTCAGCGATAGTGTACTCGAGTTGGAATCACTGCAAGAAATTGTTCAAATGGATTTTTTTTTTTTCAATTGATACATTGAATATAAGAATACTCACGCATAGCCGAGAAAATTGCAGATGGCTTTGGCTGACAAATCGGCCCAGTTAGAAACACAAGCGGGCCTCCAACTTTGAAGATCTGGCTGAAAGATTTCAAGCTTTCCGTGACCTTCATCTCCCATCCTCTCACTCAATCGCACTTTAGAAAAAAATGGAATCATTTTGGTTTTGACATCCTTAAAATATCATTAGTATATACAGGGATTATAGACGTCAATACTTCAGGAGATTATCCTACATGTCAAATTAAGCTAAAAAGCCCGTTGTTCAAAGTCTGATTCTCAATTGTATCGAGATATTTCATTTTTCAGGCTACTTGAACCTTTCACAACTTATCCCATAAAGCTTCTCGTATCTCATAAAATGTTAATCCTACTATAAATGTAATTAAAGTAATGGAAAGAGCATTGAAAATTTTATGAGAGCCATTTTTTTAGTTAACTTAAGAAAAACGAGATCATAATCACTTAGAACATAAACTTTTCCTGTTTACAAAGTTTGTTGTCGAAAGTTTATGTATGATTTTAATTGGCTCTATAAATACTGGCAGATATGGCGTTTACAGAAAAGTTGCTACGACTAACGAGATTTATACACATGCACTTAATTTCTCAAAGATCAGTCATCTCTAGTTGAAAATTTACGTTTAATTGCTAAAAGTTTGATTTTTTGATTACAAATAGTCTTTAATAGGTTGAAACGTCTATTAAAATTAATGAAACTAATAAAAAGTAAAAAAAGACTACTTAGCACAAAATTGAACATAAGAAAAAGTTTCTAAAAATTAAGTTAAATGTTCAACATGTCCACTGTTTGAAAATGTAATCCAAGAGAATGTCAAGATTTTGGCCAATTTTGAACATTTAATTTTATTTTTAAATTTGCTGAAGTCGTGAGGAACGGTCAGAAATGAGGTAGTTTATAAAAACATTTTTTTCTTTTTTTATGTTTGTGAAAGTGTTGTACACAAAACCATTATGACACCACAAGGAAAGCACCACACTTTATGCCCTGAAGATGACCCGAATAAATGTCGGAACATCGGCAAACAAAAAAATGAAAAATGTGTTTTTCTAAAGTACCTCATTCTTGAACTTTCCTTACGATTTCAACAAATTAGGAAATAAGAGATTAACACACATTAATTTAAAATTTTTTTTTGTTTTTTCATGCATTTAATTTTGTATCAAAGAATCTTTAAATTTGCGAACGATTGAAGTGATCTGAAAAGTGAAATATCTCAAATACAATTGAGAATCAGACTTTGGACAGTAGGGACTTTTTAGTCCAATTTAACATGTAGAACTATCTCCTGAAGTATTGCCGTCTGTTCACGTGACACCCTGTATAAAATATATGAATATATATAAAAAATGTTTATAGTGTACTAACTGCAATTCCTTTCGTCTTGGCCTTTCGGACAGTTAATTTCACCGTCGCACATATGACTTTGCGCTATGCACTGATTCGCCCCGCAATGAATCATCCCTTTAGAGAAAAGAAAGGTTTAAAAATTAAAGTTTAATTTAATAAAAATTATCTACTTGGCCTACCTGCAGCGCAATCTTTGCAGTTGAGCTCGTCCGATTGGTCTTCGCAGTCGACGTGGCCATCGCACCTCCAGTCGGCAGGAATGCATCTTTTCACATCACACTGAAAGCCACTGGAGCAAACTGGAAAATTTAACGTTTTTTTATTGTTGTTACATAGGTTAAAAAATAAATAAATAACCTGGTCTTTGTTGTTTCAAATCGGCCACTATCACCTCCTTGTGGCCAATGCATGTATCAGGATCTTCGGACTCAGGGAATAATTCGCAGTCGAGGTAATCAGGCAATGTAAGGCCAAAAACCTCCAAGAAAAACCCACATCGTCTCTTCGTTTCTAAAAAAAGAAAGTTTTAGTTAAGAATATTTATACAGAAGTTGTTTACAGACATACCGAAGCATAGGCTTTTGCAGGGCCTGACCAAACGTCCGTCCGGGCCGCATTTCGGGATGAAGACCGAGCATAAGAACAGCGGCGCGAGCTCGTAACACTTGACGTCTACCACCGCTTCATAAACTTCTAGTTCCTTTAAACGAGTGGAACAGAGAAGGGAAAAAATTGAATCGTAAACTCGGGCATAAAAGCCGAAGGCAGTAAATCTAGTAAGTTACAAGATACGCTTTAAAAAGCGGACCAGCTTTTGTTGCCAACCGTAAACCTACACGTGGAGATTTTTAATAGCTACTTCACCCTCCCGGGTTTAACGGTGAGCAACAAAAGGTTTTTACAACGGATTAGAAACAACACAAATTCAAGTGTCACTCACAGGGGAGGCCTCTCTCTGGTTGAAATGACCGATGTAATTGGGGAACATCGTGAAATTGTATGGTATACCATGCTGGAGGCAGAATTTCACTATGACAGGTACACACAGACCTAGAAAAATAAATATATCAAATATTTTTACATGAATTTTAAGCTATTTACATTTATTTTAGTGAAATTTTCTGAGAAAATAATAGAATTTTCTTGAAATATTTTAATTTTGGAGTGTCATAGTCAATAATTTCTAGCATCATCAATAACTGATAAGTATGTAAAAAAATGATTATTTTTAATGTTTTACTCTAAGAGTAGCTTGATATTTTTAATTTATTTGTATATTAATTTAGGAGCTTTAGTATTGGGTTGTCCGGAAAATAATGCAGGATTTTAAGTTTTCATTAAAAAAAATCTATATAAAATATTCTGTTTACGTTTACAGGATTACTCATTTGTATGAATGTCAACACTTATTAATCCTCTTCCAAATGATATTGTTTGTTTACCTCTGTAGCATTCCGCTACTTGGAAATAATTCAGTCATCCTTATAATGTCAAAGCGAGAATTTCGTACGATTTTCTTTTACGAGTTTAAACTCGGCCGAAGCGGAGCCCAAACGGCTAGAAACATTAACCAAGTCTGGGGCGAGGGTTGTGTTAATGAGTGCACTGTGCAAAGGTGGTTTAAAAAATTTCGGGAGGGAGATTTCAGCCTTGAAGATGAAGAAGGTCGTGGAAGGCCTTCCTCTCTTAATGATGATGTTCTGCGATCAGTGGTGGAAGAAAACCCCAAAACAACTGTTCGAGAACTTGCAGAGCAACTCAAAGTCAGTAAAACGACCGTCGCTGACCACCTCAAGGCGATTGGAAAAGTGAAAAAACTCGAAAATTGGGTTCCACACTCATTAAACGATCGCCAAAAAATCAGCGCTTTGATGTTTGTGCATCACTTCTTTGTCGAAACAAAAATGACCCATTTCTGGCCAGAATTGTTACATGTGACGAAAAGTGGATTCTCTACGATAACACTAGACGTTCTGGACAGTGGCTCGACAAAGGAGAAGCTCCAAAGCCCCCAACTCATCAAAAAAAGGTAATGGTTACGGTATGGTGGGCTTCATTTGGTTTAATACACTACAGCTTCTTAAATCCTGGCGAAACCATCAATGCTGAATCATACTGTAACCAAATTAATACCATGCATCAGAAATTGGCAGTAATGAAGCCCTCTTTGGTCAATCGGAAAGGGCCCATTTTGTTGCATGACAACGCTCGACCACATGTGTCACGTGTAACGTCACAAAAATTATTGGAGCTTGGCTATGAAACTTTGCCTCACCCACCCTACTCTCCGGACCTCTCGCCTACTGACTACCATTTTTTTAGACACCTGGACCACTACTTACAACACATAATATTCAAAAATCAAACGGAACTGGAAAATGCATTTATTGACTTTATCAATTCTAAAAATTCTGAATTCTACTCAGACGGAATTAATAAGTTACCAACACGTTGGGAGAAATGTATTGAGAGTATGGGAAATTATTTTGATTAAAGAACATTGCTTTAAAGTAACTAGTTTCTTTTTTTTTGTTTAATACCAAAATCCTGCATTATTTTCCGGACAACCCAATAGCTTTAGTGATATTATAAACTACTTAGTTTCTAATGACACATCCAAAATTTGAAATATTGCCCAAATTGGCATCATTTGTGGCAAAAATACAAATAATTGTAAAATAAATTGGTAGTTCGGGCGTTTACGACCATTTTGGCGACTACCCTAGCTGTTTTTTTTTTGTCAGACGAGTTTTGGCTTCTCGCCATCTTCGTTGCTGGGTTTATCTGTTATTTTTATTTAATTTATTAGTTTATAAAATTTATCCAGACAAAATTCATTTTAACATACGGAATGGGAGCCTCGCCTTGCTTTCCTTAGAAATCCTCCAGACCAAAAGAGCAGGGATAAGCAGACGAGGATGATAGGAAACGACTAAACTACAAGTTTATCACCCTATAGAAAAAAGAAAAATCTCATGACTTAAAATATAAATAAAATAATAAGATAAAGTGTGCTTCAGTTGTTTCACGTTTTCCAATGAAATCTTAAATAACTTTCTCACTGTTATTCATTATTGAATAACACATGAATCAGCGAGAATAGACGGACCCAGCAAAGTGATCAGTGTTAACATATGTTCATCCATTCGCATCATTTGGTCTGCCTGTTCTCGCTAGTTGGTCTGTCCGGATTATAAGTAGGAAGAGGCACAACCTACAACCCATGATTGCGAAATACGCCTGTCAGACATAACCAGCGAGGATAAGCAGACTAAAATTATCTGCGAAATTACAATATTTTTAGCTTGTTACTACTGTTAACATATTCAACAATTAATTTTGTTGCTGTTAACCCCTTTAGTCGTATTTCTTAGAACACTGTTCTACTTGTAATTGGAAACCAATCAACTTTTTAGTATGAATTTTCACAAATTCCAATTCAGGTGAAATTCAGAAAAATAAGTTTATAAGAACACGAAGGTGTCGGCTTCTCGGAAGTGATAACAATAAAACATTGTTGTTGTTGTTGTGTACCGGGATTGTTGCCAAATCTCGAAACGCCTTTAATTTAGAAACAAATCCGCGCCCGAACTGACAAAAGGTGGAAAGTGGAAATCATTCGTTTTGCAAAACAATATTGGAAAATGTCGTAACGTTAGAGAACGTATTAATTCGAACAAAAATCGCAGTTTTGCAATTTCCGCCTTATCGTCTGGAAAACTGGAAGTGGACGGTAGCAAAAATAAATCCACCTAACCAATTTCCTCCTTAGACCGCCGAGCTCATATTCACTTTAATTAACTTTCGTTCGATATCGTTCTGGTCAAAGTTTGTTTGCCGACTGAAAAATACCTTTTGTTTGTAATGTCGATAGTAACAAATCATACTGGTTTGAATATTTCAATGTTGTTTTCTTGCCTATTAATTATACCTTGGATGGAAATAATTTTTTTTTAGAAATCCATAAATCATCCTATTATATGATTTATATATAATCCTAAACTGTAGGTTTACTTTATGAAATAATAATACTTCATAAAATATAAGTGGATTGAAATAGTTTTTAAAAAGGACACTATTTATTACACGACAGTACAATACAAAATTGGAGTAACCAATTCCAATTAGGGAATCTTCGATCTTAACGGTCTTAAGGATCTCCGGTCCAAGAATGGATTAAATTAACAATATTAATATTAGCAAAGACTTGAGGGATGTAACAAAGGAGGGGGTTTCTTGGTAATGAACCCGTGAAGATGTGATAAGGGATGAATGTGACGGGTTGCAGATAAAGGTCTGGAGAATATGTAACATACATTATATATATATATATATAATGAAAGTTCAAACCTGATTTTGTATATATAGTTGAATTTTTATTTTTCACTCTCCAACTGTCTTTCATAACGTATAGATGAGGAGTAGAGTCAAAACCCGAATTCATAGAATTTGATTCCGTGACACTTTTATGATATTTTTTTAAACTTAGGGTAGAAAAACAAATTTGTTCGATCTGATGGTTTCAATGAAGTGATACTGTGATGATGCATTTTTCATTTCTTTTGACGTAGATTTTACATAGATTCTAAAATCAAATTTACGGGGTTTGATGACTTAATGTTGTGATGTTGCACTTTTACGTAATTATTCACGAAGATTTTCGATTAGATTCGAAAAACAAATTAACGGGATTTAGTGATTTCATGTGTCAGGACACTCTGATGATGTTATTTATTTAATTTTTCACTTAGATTCTTAAACCAAATTAATGAAATTTAGTTACTTCAATGTCGGTGATATCGTGCTGATGCACTTTTATATAATTTTTATATATTTTTTATTTTAAGTAGATTGTAAAAACGAATTAATGGGATTTGGTATGATTAATTTCGTTTAGTGCTATACATTTATATATTTATCAAGAAAATCCATCCAAACTAAATCATGGAATTTGATGACTTTGATATCGTGATACTGTGATAGTGCTTATTTATATATTTTTTTGGGGTAGATTTTACACAGATTCTTAAAACAAATTACCGGCATTTAATGATTTTCGTGTCGTGACACTTGGATAATGCTCTTTTATATAACTTTTCATGTAGGTTCTTAAAACGAATAAATGGGATTGTGTATCTTCAATATCGTAATACTGTGATGATGTACTTTTATGCAATTTTTACTTAGGGTTGAAAAACGCATTAGTGGAATTTGTTGAATTCAATGTTGTGGTATTGCGATGATGCACTTTTATGTAATTTTTCACTTAGATTTTTAAAACGAATCTATGAAATTTAGTGACTTCAATGTCGTCACACTTTGATAATGCACTTTTATTTAATTTCTTAAGTAGATTCTTAAGACGAATAAATGAAATTTAGTTGTCACGAATACAAGGTATATTTAAAAAAATATAAATAAATAAAAAAAAAATAATATATATAATAAATACGTAACCCAATCGTAAAAGAACTCACGTTGAGCTATTTTAACGTTTTTTTTTTAATCGTGAATTCTTTATACTTAATTACTTTTCTTGCTTGCCTTTTCAGATGATTAAATCCTTTTCATGAAAAATCTAATTCAAACACATAAAAACTTTTTAATTATCATTCGGTAAAATGATTTTATTTCTATATGGAAGTAGACTGTGGTAATTTTTTTGGAATATTTTTAAATGGAACCTTGATTATTCCATTGCGGTTAATATTTGAAAAACACGTAGGAAATCAGAATATTGGATAAAAGGTTTTCCCCTTTAATTTACAATACCTTGATATTTCCAAATATGAATATTGTGTACTAGTGTATTTTATTAATTGGATGGATTATCAATTTTTTTACTTTTAATTTATTATTTAATTTCAATCAGTACAATGTAGAATTTAAACAAATGTAAGACAAATCCGGCAAATGATTTTTTAAATTTCTCTTAATTAATGAAATTCATATTTTAGCATAAATTAAACTAATTGTTATTCAATGCCAGATTTATTTAGTTGTTTAATAGAAAATAAATTATAAATATATCATAAAATTTAAGAATCACAGTATATTTATTTCAAGTAAGATTATTCTGTACAGAGTACGAGATTGTGTGCTATGTTATCATAATATAAAAACGGCTTTACGCTTTGAGATTACCATTCATATTTTAAGATCGTTTATGTATTTTATTTATTCTACGCAGACTGTATTTATTCTAAATTAAATTTTTCATTGTCTTTGGCTTTTTCATTGAAGTCTTTGGCCACTAGCAAATCCGTTTACTAAGTTCAAAATTAGGGTTTAATTTTTTAAGTATTGACTTACGAGACAAGTAGTTGCCATTGTTTTATAGTTTTGGAACTATGTAATAGAGTGGGGTTGGGTTTATGTTGGTGGAAGTGAGTGAACGGCCAATAATTTAGGTTTGTAGATTATAGTCCTTTTGGTTTGCCAAGTGGCCGGTTCTTAATTGCTCCCTGCGTAATGATACAACCTCTTCATTTAATCACTTTCCAACTCGAGATGCAATTAACCGAGTTTACTAACGGGGCTTACCAAGAAGAGAGGCGTTTCCTTTGGTGGAAGGGGGTCAGCAATAGTGACAACAGATGTTGCCAGGATTTTTTAAAAAATTACTCGAAACTCTCCCTTGGAAATTAATTTTTATATATTACAACGCACGTTAAAAAAAGAGAGAACACATTTCACCCTTAATTAAAAATTGTAAAAATTTAATTTACGATCAGCCATGGCTAATTTGTCAACATATTTTTGAGAGATAAACGAATATCTTTTTTATACCATTGTGGAATGATATTCATTTAAGTTATTAAACTTTAATAACAGAAAACAAAACAAAATCTGGAAAATAAATAAACTTTAAAAAATTTTACTGATTTGGGATTTTTGTTTAAAAAACATACATCGAGAGAAGACGGATCAGGGTGACCAGGTACTACATAACATTAACAAACATTAATAAATCCTTATTATTATTAGTTTTTTTCCCCCTAGGATAGTACCAGGGTGATTTTACATGCCAGTTTCAGAAGTGGTACAAGGAGCACATCGATACGTGTGCCTTAAGAAAGACTTATGACTTCCAGCTATAAAGATTTCAGTCGACCCGGTTGACTAGTTCCCTCAAGTTACAAGTTGTTCTCAAACTACGACCACATCGTATAGTAGAACCACTTGAGTCTCTACTTCCTTGTTTAAAGTATGACTCACTAGTTCTTACTGTTTGTGCCCTTAGCTTGAGGGACTTGTTTTCGGTACCCTACCAAAGCCCTGCGAAAGGGAAGGAAAAGTTTTTTAATTGATTACCCCCAGACGCCGGACCTGGTGGTGTACTGGTGCTGTATGGGCTGAGTTTGGTACAGGCAAAATTCGCAGAAATTTAATAAGCAGAGCTTTGCCCCACTCTGCTAATATCTCGAAAATTAAAACTGAAGATTGTTTCAACACGAATATATAATAATAGTATCGTAAAGAAATTCAAATGATTTGATGAAGAAAAGTGGTGAAAAACACCGGCCCATATTTTCAAAGTGAAATTCATGTAAATGTAGTTTAACTTTTTGAGTAAAACCGCTTTAATTGCAAAAGTAGTTTACAAATGTTAGGCTTTTGCTTTAGTTCCTCCTAAGATTCTAACCTCTATCGAAACTCATGATCTTTCGGGCCAGAAACCCAAACGACCTTTACGAAACATTGGCTAAACTTTCCTATGCTCAACAAAAACAAACAGAAGTTAGTTCATTTTGTATGGGTGAGGTGTTACTGCGGAATTATGTCCAACGAAAAAGTGGACTCCTTGATCAAATTGGCAATTAACCAGGAGAAAATTCCTTCATTAAAAAATTGTACGAAATAATAAAAAAATGAAGGTAGAAAACACAGGCAGGACGGGTACATGAGCTCCAGCAAGGGATCGGATTTTAAACAAACTGGAGACGGGTATAAATAATAAATGAGTAAATTGATATGCAAGACTAACTCCAGAATCAGGACTTAAAATGTGTACCTAAAAACGAACATCACGAATACTCTGGATCACGGTATTATCATGAAGGCAAATTCAATTGTTAATGCTAAGCTTTTGACCTATTTTAAGGTCATCATCAGGGCAAAACCGTCATAAATATGTCTATTGGTTGACATAATTTTTCGACGATTTCAAATTTTTTTGAAGACCGACTCAGCTCCAACATTGCCAAGGATTGTAACAGTCCTTCCAATTATTATGTATACTGTAAACAAGAGTGCTGGTACTACAGTAGAATAAACCGCGTAATATAGTGTAGCCGTTTGAGGCATATTAACTTGCGTTTATAGCTGTAGTCACAAAACCCATGCACAAAAATAAAATAAAAAATAAATAAATAACCCGTATCTCCAGCGTATAAAGATACTAACTAACTTACTACTAACTTTCAAAATCATAAAATGATTGTCAAATCAGAAACTACTTATTTTCATTAGTTTTTGCAATTTATTTCTTTATTTGACTATTGGTGAAGAAAATTCTTTATACCTACCTGTGCGTTAGTGAAAAATTAATTTGTTCCTTACCTGGTGCAGGGTTGATATCTTGCTGTGGTATAAATGTGTTTTTTGTAGTTGTAACTGTACGATTTACGTATCTCACTGTTGGTGGATATGCTGTAATTCGTAATAAAATTAGTATTTTATTAATACATTAGAGTAAATGTGTTGTTACCTTTGAAATAAAGGGCAACACCACCCGCAATGGCCATAATGGCGAGTGCGTTGAATATTACTTGGACAAACTGGAATCTCAATCTTCCGCTTGTAATGTAATGGTTGGACGGACGCCTCATGTCTCGTATTATCTGCTTAAATCCCATTAATAATCAACACGGAGTTTATTAATTAATTATGCCAGGCTAGTTAATAAGAAAGAGTGGGACTACCTACCCTGTGGTGGAGGGACATGTTGGATCCATTATGGAATCTGACAATTGTCTGTAAACTGGCCGGTGTCGAATGGCTTTTTGTTATCGGTGAAGTGTTCGGATCGTTGGGCACGGTTTCGTCCCTGTCGATTTTAATTGGCCCCAGGTCTTTTCCTCTTTCGCTCCCGTACTTTTTTTTCCGTACTCCGGTCCCCTTCGCGATCTGGGGAAGGAGAGGGGCTTCCATGCTTTTCGTCGTGTAGCTCGGTGAAGAGTTCTGGGAAAAGCTGTCGCTCGAGACGTTCGAGTCTTGCCTCTCTGGAATCTCCGGCTCGACTTTGATGTCCTCATACTCGGTTTGGATGGGCGGCGGCAGTATGACATTTGTGTTCCTTTTATGGTTGAACTTGTAGTTAATGTCTGCTGGAAGGTTGCCCTCGGAGAACTTCCGGTTTGGAGGATTCGGTCTCGGAGGTGGCAACTTGTTGAGAGTGTCATCCCTGTTTTCAGGCACTTGACCATGGGAATACCGCCTCAAGATCGTCTGATTAGTTATGGGGTAGAGCTCGGAGTACGACGGAGGAGGCGGTGGTGGGATGTCAGCCTCTTTTATTACTGGTGTCTCGGTCCTGTGAGGCCTCGGAGGCGGTGGAGGCCGTTGCCTTCCAGTAACGCATGGTCTCGTCCTCGCAGGTACTGGAGGTGGGACTTTCTGTTAAACAAAAGTATTTCCTTAAAAAGGTTCAATGATTGCTAGCAAACTTGTCTCCCATCACTTTTTCTCACAAAACCAGACAGATATATTTGGGTATTTTGCTAATTTCAAAACCACTGAAAATAGCTTATAGACAAAACCAACATAAATAGACCAAAATGATCGATATATAAAACATTCTTATTTCTAAAATAAAAATTGGCATGAAACTCGAGAATTATTCAGTTAAGTGAGCCAGAAACGTTTCAGACAATTTTTTTCAGAGGGGAACCGTCATGAAATATTCACTTACAGATATGGGGTATCTCCTTGGCGGTTGTGTCACGACATATTTTATTGTTGGGATTTGCTGTTGGGGAGGCGATTGCTGTTGCTGCGGATGAAGTACAGTGGAAGTGATTTGAGACGGCGCTTTTCCTCCACTTTCGTTCCTCGCACTGAAAAAAAAGAAATTAGGAAATACAAACATGATGACTAATAAACTAAGTGACGATAAAAAAATCAACAATAGCATAAATATTTGATTAAGTGTTGACCTGACTTCAAAAAGCTGAGTAAAAAAAAGCCAACGTTTGCATTTCTAATAAATTGAAGATGTAGGCAGACCTTCTGCCAGAAATCTTTCTTTTCAGACAATACCACATGTGTAACTCAAACAGTAATAAAATCTAATTAATGTGATTATTAATAAATAATTTATTTGATTAAGTGATTATTATGAAGTAAGTGATTATTAACTGTGATATTAATTAAAAGCAAATTTAACCTACATGATGAGGAATAATGAAATAATTTCTACCTTAAAGAAAATAAATTGCCTAACATTTTTAATCAACTGTAACTAAAAATATTTTAAGAAGATTGGTCGTTAGCAATCATCGAAACGAAGAAAAAATAGGATAAATGACTAAAATAATCATCTTTGTAGTCTTTACAAAATAACGTGAAGTATTTTTATAAAAGTAGTCGATCGCTAAGATCAATTTTCCCCCTTCTATTCACACTTTATTTTAAAAGCTCGACAAAGCCCTTGTTTCTTTCTCTTTTTTTCTAAAGAGTTTACCAAGTTATTGATTTGTGGCGCCATATAAGAAGCCTTCACTTCATTACAGGAGGAAGAAAGTTTCCGGTCTCCGGGCTTCTAATAACTGTCGTCCTATACGGGAAATACAACCATTCGGTACGTGCCGTCACAAATCAAATGAAGTACGTGATTGTAAAGGAAATTCTATTGTGTTGATTCCGAAAAATAAAATAAAACAAATAAAAAGTGAGAGAGACCAATCAATTTTACCAACCGACATACACGTTCTATTGTTGGATCGAACATAGTTCCTTAAAATATAATGACTACAGGAAAATTGACCAAAAAAGTGTTGAAAGTGTAGACAAATCAAAGTCTACAAGGGATTCGTTATAATGTAGAAATGGAATGTTAAATGATCATCACCAAATGTATTTGTTGAAAGAATGAACCCTATCGGTTAGAGGTAAAGAAAGGCTTTATCAGTTGAATTATTAAATCATTAATGTTTGATAAGATCATTATTATTATAAAAAATATTATCCATCTAGGTAGAATCAATTCATGTATTAATATACAATGTTCTATTGAATATTAATAAAAAATTTCATTTGTCAGATGTGCCTGATGGATCGGCTTGCCGGCTTATTTACTCTGACCAGCACTAAAGCCCCTGACAGGGTAAAACAGGGAGTGTAGACAGGCCAAAACTAATCGAAAACGAGAAAAATACAGGTTTAGCACTTTACAAACTAAGAACGGATTTATCCCAGTATCAATAAAATATTAAAATAAGCTGTTAAATCTTTTCGTTAAAAAAGAAATAAATAAAAATTGTAAGATGAATTCGTGTTGTCTGCTGGGTGATAAACATGAAATTTGGTCGTTAACGATCATTTTGGCCTCTCTGTTAGTCTTAGATCCTTTGGCCTGTCAGACGTGTTTCGTTACTTCACTTTCTTCAGTGTGCCTGTTAATATTTGTGAAATACTGTGAAGTTAAGTTTTTTTTATAAAGTAATGGGTGGGAGTGTTTGTAAAAGTTATTTTTGTTTGTCGGCGCCTTTGGTGGATTGAGACTGTAATATTTTTATTAGTCCCATCGGTGTTTTGATGACTGGTGATCTGTGATTGTGTTCGTTTTTTTATAATAGATAATTACACAGACCAACCCAGTAAGGGTAGGCAGAACAAAATGGTCGTTATGGATGAAATATCAATAAAAAATATTAATTTTTACATTACATTCATTATGTAAATGCATTACACAAACAATGTATGTGTTTATATAGAAAATATTTATGGAAAAAGCAACAAAATAAAAAATAAAGGTGAATGGAAAAAAAGGAAAGTGAATAATCTAACCTACAGAATATTTATGGAACTTATTTTTTAAATTTCATTTATTTAACTATACAACTGTATGTACATTTAATATGTCGGAGAGATGTTAGGCAAATATTGTGGATTTTTCTTATCGGAAACGAATCAAGTTCTATTTACATTCTTGGGACACCGCTATGACAAACGATACGTTAAATTCTACGCCAGAAGCTCCCAGACTCTGTTGACAAGCTTTTCAAATGTGTTTCGTATGATTTTTTTTAATACTGTATTTCTTTTCTCAATTTATTCAAAAGTTCGTAGATATTTTGTTTGTCGTTTATTGATCGAGCACGTTCATAAATAAACTAATCTAACGTTAAAAACAGTATAAAATAAAGATCCTCAGTATTTGTTGCGAAATTGTCTTCCTTTCAAAAAATCCTTCAAACAACTAAGGCAAAACAAAAATTACTGAACAAGAGCATTTTCCCTCAAATATTACAGGAAAATAGATTTTTATCAGAACTTACTTTTAAAATTGTGTTTGGAAGTTGTTAAAAATCCGAAAACAAACTGAAAATATCGAAGATTTAAAAAAAGGGAGCTATACAGAGCGAATATGCGGAGACCAATTGTTAAAAAATGACATAAAAAGATTCAGAATCGACCATATAACGATAATAATACATAGCTCGTCCGATACAGTTCCGAATGACTTCTAGGTATTGCGGGCTTAGCCTAACCACATTTTAAATTAACACACTTATGACTTAAATTAATCAATTTATAATTACAATTAATTAAATAGATAATAAAGATCTAACAATTTTATGTTTTAATTGATATTTGTTGCGTTATAAGTGGCTTAGGACAACTTTAAATTTGTGTTTGCTTAGTATGTTTAAATTGTTTTTAAAGAAAAGTTGTAGTTATTTATAAAAAAGATATATCGACACAATAAATTTCCCTATTTTCGGCGATAATGTTAATTATTAAATCGATTATTTAAGTTTCATAAGTGAAAACTCTTCTCATTTTTAAACTACGACCGATAACGTCACTTTCCAAGTGTTATTTTTTACCCGGGATAAAAGGATACGGTAAATAGGAAGTCACAATTTGATACAACTGCTACACAAGGTTTTTTTAAATACAACCTGTTGATTCGGCTAACATTCTATTCAGTCTTCTCCCTTTTAGCTTGAATTTTAGCCCGGCTCATCCTAGTAATAAATCCTTTCAGTGACAAAAAAATTCAAACTAGTTTAATTGAGTTAACAAACCGACTGTCTTTTTTTGTAATTTTAACATTTATACCAGAGGCTTATTTACACATAAATCAAATACCTGTGTACATCAAGAGTTCATAAAATTGTATGACAGCTTAAAGAATATGCATTAACTATTGTTTATAATATAAATATTGAGGATAACGTTGTTAATAATATTTAAAAAAATGACCTCACCTTCGACTATTTTTTCAGGAAAACTTTGTACAAGAATTCCTTAAAGATTATTTTGGTAAAATTATAACATATTGTAATAAAAAAGTTTGAATAATGTTATAACAAGAATATTAATATAAAACAGGCTGATTAGATTTGTAGATTTCGTACTGATTGACGGATGTTCCTCTTTAGCAAAAATTTATTGATGGGGGAAAAATTATACACTTTAAATGTTAGCTTGTTTTAATGTTCTTTTGTAACATTTGTGTTTAATGATATTTAATTACCGCAAGACTTCAATTTCAGATTAATCTATTCAAAAACAAGATACGAGGTTTTGTACTTGTACTTTGTAAGCATCGGCGAGGGAAAAAGCGTGTGAATTTTTTTCCACCCCCGACTTTAACGCCCTTTAAACCGGCTACGGTTAAAAGCTACTTTCAGGGAAATGTTTTTCATTTTAGGCTCAGGGAGGGTATCTCCACCATTACTCCACTTCACCCCTGTATACACTTTCATCGCAAATGTTTATCCGACTCGTTTAGTCTATCTTACAGAAAGATGGTAGACTTTGGGAACGGTTACATTTTATTTTTCCAGTTTTTTTTCGACAGTAGGGAGGAAACAAATTTAACTGTGTGTTTCTAATAAAAATCTTCCACTTCCGTGGTGATTTATATTTATATTTAATTATTTATAAAAACAGTTGCAACTAAATCAATTTTATATTTTAAATTTTGTCTATTTTTTGCCTTTTCTCTTTTTAACAATCCGCGTTATAGAAATTATGAATGATAGAGTGAGTGTGGAGTTCAATCCTTTTTTAAAAAGATGGTTCCTACTCACATTAAGTTGTTTCGCAACAATCCGGATTTCGAGCCCTTTAGCTCGTTGTCACCCTTTAGCATAATATAATTCCCGCTTTTTGCACCTTCAAATTGAGCGCCATTAAAAAACCAGCTCCTCATTGGAACGTCGCGTTTACGGGGGTATCAGCGGGTTCACTTTTGCAATTCATGTCGAAAGACGTGTTTGTAGAAACCCTTCAACCTGACGATGAGCTAAAGGGCTCGAAATCCGGACTGTTGCGAAACAACTTAATGTGAGTAGGAACCATCTTTTTAAAAAAAGATCCGCGTTATATTCTCTCAAGTTTAATTTTTTATGACGTAGGAACTTTATTTGTAATTTTTTATGCCTCGGATAATTTACACGAAAGCTAAATAATGAATATTGACACTTTCTTGTACGTTTGAAATTTAAATAAAATTCACTGAAAAAGACATTATACCTCAATACCTTTAATACCTGGGCAATCCATAGTGGTCAAGATGTTTCTGAATTTTTAATTTTTTTCGTTCGTTATAAATAATTTTTCGCGGTGAAATGCGTCCAAGGGCAAGTGTATAAAATGACATTGGGGGGGGGGCGTGAAATATACAATTGATGTTGTAAACGAAATGGCTTACAATAAGAGCTGACAGCTGCCAAATTTCATAATAAAGATTCCATCTTTGCCCGTTTAAAGAATAAAGCGACCGTCTTTATTGATAACATTTAAAAATTTGTTCACGACAAAATTGTGAAGTGTTGAAATAATTAGAACGTACAATTTGATGGTTAATGCTAAAGATAATAGTATGTATATAGTTATTTAAAATAGTTTTTTCTTTTTTGCTTTAAATAACTATTCAGATTTTTATTATTTAAAAAACCATATATAACTTTTGATATGCTAATGCAGCAAAATTTTGTAATACTTTATTTTGATTACTTTACTCCCAGCAGCTGGAAGGAAAGTGTTTTTCTCTCACTGTGCTTTTTCACTTGGGCTTTCGATGAAAGCAGCTTTTACAATATTTCTCTAAAGGGGAAGTCAAGTGAAAAATACTCCGACAGCTCTGGGACAACAATGAAAAACTGCTTTCTTCCCTTGGAGCATTTTTCTTTTCGACGGATATGTAAGCGCTTGTCAGAGGGAGGACAGTGGGTAAGACATAACCGTCGATATTCACTTCACTGATCCATTACGTTTGTGCTTTTAAACAAATTAATCATCACATCAATCTACAAGAACCGTGTTATTTTCTTATCGTTACGTCAAAGAAGGTACAATCAGTTGGTACACGGATAGACTAAAAGAGCTTTTCATAAAGAATTGTCTCATCATCCCGTTTAGTACAATTACAAATTCTCATTATTTATTTATTTATTTTTTTTTAAATTTTGAACAGTGAAATTTTATGGATAGGCTTTACTATTAAACTGGGCCCTTCATATATGTAAAGGGTTGTGTGAGTTGAAGCGCTCCTGAAAATAAGTCTCTCTCTATCTCTTATTATCTCTCTCCCTCTCTCCTCATGGGCTCTCTCTATTAATCTTTGTTTTGACAAGTTCAGTGTTTACATACAAGAGCTAAGAGCTTAATTAGTTCGTACAACGTCAGTCGGAGTAATGCCAGAAACAGGGACGTTTTTGTGCTTTCACTGGGATATTCCGCGTAATAGTGGCTAATTAATCCTTTTCAGATTTAAAATGTAAACATGAAAAAAAGGGAGGCGAGTTTGACTTTTGCTATTATGTTGGTTTTAATTCTTTATGACTTCTAATGGATAAGCGGTATTTCACCGCTCTTTCATAAGAGCGAGGTGGGTTCTTTACACTATGGTTTAACAAATTAATTTTTGTTGAATTTAACTCATTTAAACAAACAAATGTAAATTCATATTTTGTTTTAATTATTAAATTTGTAATTAATTAAAAATATGCTTTTCTTTGAAAATCTATTTTATCTTTTTTGTACTTATTATCATAAAAGACCAGTGCTCATATAGTAAGGTAATACCTCCATCCAACCAAATCCGCTATCTTCGGTTCTACGTGGACAGCAGACTTACATAAAACTCACGCTTAAAACAAAAAAAACAAGATCTGAACCGAAGATGCAAACAACTCATCCTACTTGGACCCAAATTCGCAATGAGTAACACAATAAATTAACAATTTACAAAATACTAGTTAGACCAATTTGGTCTACGGAGTCCAACCATCCAACATTCAAATAATCCAATCCTTTTAATCAAAAGTTCTCTATCGCATCCTCAACATTCCCTTTTATGACACTAACCAAATCATGCACATGCACTAGATTCACATTCATGAAGACTTGATCCAAATATCATCTCACAACTTCCACTTCGAATGTTCGATAAGGTGTTAACAGCAATAAGTCAGTCATTCATAAAACTTGAAAAGAAACCAAAAATTTGGAAAGAAAGGGTACAAAAATCAATTCTTAGAATTGGGTGGGCCTGATGTAAGATATAATTTATTAGTTATTTTTAACTCTGTATAGAAAACGAATTCGTTAAATATCATGACTTCAATGACGTGAAAATCAGATGATACATATTAATGTATTTTCCACCTAGACTACATAAAAACGAATTCAAAGAATTTGATCACTTTAATATGGTGATATTTGATAATACATTTTCATGTAATTTCAACAAATTCATGGAGTTTGATGACTTCAATTTTGGGATCCTATAATGAAGCACTTTTATGTAATTTTTTACGTAGATTTTACGTAGATTCCGAAAAAAATGCTGGGATTTATTACTTTTGATAATCGGGATATAAGGAAATAACGGGAATTATGACTTTAATTTCGTGACACTTTGATGATGCTCTTTTCTGTAATTTTTTACGCCGATTCTGAAAACGAAGAAATGAAATTTATTGAAAATAATAAAAATTGATGATAATTATATGTTGGATAAAACGTTAACTCCAACAATTTTGTATTGTCATTATGAAAAATTTGAAAAAACACAAGTAAATAAATTTTTTAGCGTTTCAAATTGAGCAAAAATATATATGAATATTACTAAATAATGTTTTCGATTGCTTGTTTGATTTTTGAAAATAAAAAAAATAGATGCGATCCTTTTTTTAGAAGTCATCTGACAAAATGATGCAATTTATTTTTAAGTGCTAGTATCAAATAATAAATATTTATTATTTAAAACATTTCTATTTTAAATGAACTTTGCTTTTTAAGAAGTTAAAAGTTATCAAAAAAATTGTCCATGATTCAACTAATTTTGATATGCGGTTGCACAATATTATAAAAATTGCGTAAATTCGTCATAACATCCCGTTTACCAATGACCGTACATAGAAAAACTTTGTTCTAGTCAACTTGAAAGTAGGAATAAATAGACTTGTCGAAGTGAATAGGTTTATTTGTCGGTAAAGCTCACCTGTCGTGTATCGCCACGGGATGGAGCCAGGGTTGAAACGGGTTATTGCTTTGGTTGGAAACTTGGGGCCTGAATTCCCCCAGCCCTGACATTCACCCAACATCCAAGTCAGCCCTGCGAAATCAAAGTAAAAACAATATTATTACGAGTGTAGTTTGAAACAATAAACAAAGAAACCTGTAAAAATGTTGGAACAAATGGAAAATTAATTGAACTTACAGCATAGCAAAACAAACCTAAACCTGATTTCTCTTGCCAAAGATAAAGAAGACCTTTAATAAAATCTGGCTTCTAAGTTATTTAAAACAATTGCTTATTTTTGCCATTTAAAAGCAAAACTAGCAAAATTGTATTTATCCCAAATATCGAAAAAATGTTTATACAATGCGTCAAGCTGAATCATCTCACCTCTCGTCATTTTTTCCTTTATTACAACTTTTTTATTAATTTTTTAAATTTTATTATATTTTTATATTAAAATTGTACTTTCAATCTCAGATCTTGGTTGAGACGAAAAAGCGGGTGTGAAGAGCGGGATTCGAACCCCCGCTGATCTAACACTTGAACTATCGTGACTGCAGTTTGAAGACACTTCTTTTTTCATCTAAATCAAGCCCTTAGATTAAAAGTATATTTGATTAAAATTGTTAATACGGTCAATTGTGACTGCTAAGTATATATATGGATTTGATATATTTTCAATGCTAAATTTAAAACGTTGACCTTGTGAGAAATTCAAGAAAGTTAGGTTACAGGGTCATAAGTTGCAATATTCACATATTGTAAAGTTGTGAGTAAATTAGATCAATACTTACAATTAATATAAGATTTTAACGTTCTTTTTTAAAATAAATTTAAGAAAAATTTCTTTATGGCATTTGACAAGAAACCGTGATTTTTGCAGGTGGACCTTTATCCAGGATTTGCAAAAAAGTTCAAATCAACATTGATTGATTTAACTTCTACTAGAGTCAAAATATCTATACTGATTTGGAAAAGAGTTTTATTTACAATTTAAAAAAATAATTCAAAAGCGGGAAGACAACTTAAAAGAGTTAAATATAATATGTAAGTTTTTTTATCACTAATAAACGGTTTTAGCTCTGAATTTTCTTGTAGTTTAAATTTGTAATCGGAACAAAACAAAAAAAAAAAAAAAATTAAAACTACACTGTCCATAAAAAAAACCGACCACCAGGTTCTTACTCGAAAGAATGGCCAAATTTGGAAATGCATATTTTCTCAGCCTTTTAAGTCAGAACTGCGCTGCCATTTTTTAGAAAATGTTTCGCTGAACAAGATGGCTTTTTAAATGTTTACTAGCTTAAGACATTCATCAGTAAATTCAAAGATTCGAGACACATGTTAATTTTTGCACGTTTTACGATAACTAAAAATTAAGCTAAGGAGCCAGGAAATCATCTTTGGAGCGACACCCTTTGGCAATCAATAGGAAATTTTAATAAGCTTTCAATTTATCACTTTCCACTTTGCCAGATTTTTCCACCGCTTTCTAGTTATTCGCATGTTTGGGCCAAAAACGTGGTTTTTTACGTGCTCGTGGAAAAAAACCGATCCCTCTAACTCCCGATACATAAACCTATTGTTTCAGTTCGAAGTCAAACTGCCACAATACTCATGAAATGGGAAGGAAAAGTTGAATTTCTGTGGTGAGGTAAATACGCGGTTATCGCCAGCAGAAGCATTCCGCACCCAAAACGGTCAAAGTAAGAAAAAGTAAGAATTGTCCCTTCCCTGTTCACTTTTTTTAAAAAGCCCTCGGAACAAAATTTGTAGAGCGTAAAATTTGCGAAAACCTTTTTTCCATGAGCTCATAAATAACCACGTTTTTTGTCCCAAAATCGAGCTAAGTGGAAGATGACCAATTAATTGAAAGCTTATTAAAATTTTCTATCGATTGCTTTATGGGGCCGCTCCAAAGACAATTTCCTGTCTCCATACCTCAATTTGAAGTTTTCCTAAAAAGTGCAAAAATTAACATGTGACCCGAATTTTGGAATTTACTGATAATGGCTGAAGCTAGGAAAACTTTTAAAAAGCCTTATTATGCAGCATAACATTTTCTAAAAATGAGATCTAGCGCAGGTCTGTGACTTAAAAGGGTGAGAAAAACGCATTTTCAAAGTTTCAAACCAGCTGGTCGGTTTATTTATTTATTTGATGGGCAGTGTATATAACAGGAGATATCAAAACATCATGGTTCAGTTCGTCTTCGGTGAATATAAAACCTGGGTCGTACAATATACAAGCCCAGGTCAAACCATGGGATATGTAAACAGTACCTGAACAAAATAAAACTATACTCCCTACAATGCAGATTTTGTTCCGAAGTGGAAGACCTGTAACATATAATTAATGATGTGCCCTGAATGTAGGCACATAGGAACAAGTTTTTCAAAAGATTACTTCCCTAGTTGGGCATCTATTTAACTACATATTTCTGTTGAAATCTAACAAAATGGATGTATTCAGAGCAATTGAAAACTGAACACTATGCAATACAAAGTATAATATAATTAAAGGAAGGGTCGGCGGCGGGGGTCGGTCGTGGGAGGCAGGACTGGAGGGAATAGAACGTGCTACCATGTAGCCATATAAATATGGTTTTTATCCAAGTCTTCAAGAAAAGGGACTGCTAAAATTCCTATTAAAAAAAGGGTTTGTGGCTCCGGCGTTATCGCCCCTGCCACTGCTTGCTTAAGTGAACCTGGCTTAAGGAGTTTGGAGGATTTTCTTTCAAACCATCATGACTAAATAATTTTACTTAAAAAAACTCATGGATTTCTGATCTTGTTTATTTTGATCCACAATAAAATAAGTATGTTATAATTAATATAACGATAGAAATACGTATAATTTGAAATAAATAAATACAAATATCCGGTCTTTTTGTCTTTGACTGTATATTCATTGTGACTCGAATAGTGCCAAATTTTGTTATTGAAGGGGGCCCCTAGCCTAAGAATAAAATTCATTTTCTACTTTTTTTCTATTTTCTTATAACAATTTTTTATTGTTAATAATTAATTACAGGAAAAATGTAATAGAATCAACTCAAATAGTAAACGAAAATAAGCTTTAATTCAGGCATGTACAACACATCAGAGTAAAACGATACGTTGAAGGAAATTAATAATTTAAAATTAATCACGTATTTCCTCAAGCGTATTTTTAGATACTTCAAGCTTATCCCGGCCAATCAATTACAAAAACCTCGTGTTTTGGGATAATTAAAATTGATTAATTTGGTATGGTAATGAAGCTTTTAAAATATTCAGAATATAATAATATTCAGGGTAATAAATGTAAATATAATTTCCAAAATATCATTACTTCATTGATATTATTATAAAATTTGTTGATTTATTTAAAATAAAAATGATATATGATAACGGCGTACAAAATCTGATGTTTAGATCTTTTTAAAATGAAAATTTTAAAGTAAATTTGATTTTTAAAAAATTCAATCTATGAAATTGATTTCAAAGCTTGAATGAATGTATAATATTTTTTAATTTTATTAAACTTAATGTAAATCATAGCATAATGGAACGTTTAAAACATAAGTTTTGTATCAAATCTTGTGTTCATCTTCCTGCTTACTTTTTAATTACAAAAAGGTTTTTAAACATTTTTAAATTTATAGTCTCCTACTTCAAAGTCAAGTTTGAGTTGGTCATAGGTTTTACTTATGCTTGGACGCAACTGTCGTAATAGAAAATGTATTTCATTTCTTGACCCGCATATCTTAGATGGACGGACGAGATTTATGACCCGGATTACCATTTTCCTCAAATCTACGAGAATACGGGTCGAAACGGAACAATTTTTTTATTTTTAGTAATACATTTATTTATTAAAACTGGTCAAATGAGACCATCTATTAATTTTATAATGGCTAATTTAGTAATAAATACACTTTAGTGCATTCATTGATGTCACAGTTTATCTTACTGAGTTTACCGCGTGACGTTTTACGGAACTAACTCAAATAGCTTTGTCCTCTATGATGATTATGTAGCAGGCAGCCTCGGTGTTCGGGTGGCTTTGACAAAGAAGGTAGTAAGCATACAGTGTGATCACAGTGTCGATGTGCTGGATGTTCATGTCTCTGTTTATGTCGCTATTGCAAAATACCAAGGAGCGTTGTATTAGGTTAGTATTGCTTCTTTTGACACACACCAAAGTTGTAAACCATACATCCATACATATAAGATTTAATAAATGATTATAAATCATTATTTTATTTTGTATTGATAGCCGGGATTCCTTCCCAGCAACCAATAAAGTTGGCAGTATTTTAAATCAAGTTTACTCTTTTTAATTATTCTTTACAACTAGAGAGTTGGTGTCCGAGAGGATCGAAGTCACGATAACTCAAGTGGTAGAGCAGTGGCGTATTTACCTGAAGGTCGTGGGTTCGAATCCTTTTTTATCTCAACCGAAACCTTAAATATAAAGAATAATTAATTGAAACAAGTAACTTGGTCAATTGACCTCTAAATCGAAATGAATTTATTCTTTTTGTTTTTATATTTTAATTTTTTATCTATTGTCACGTCTAAATATTTATCTATATTCTGAAATGGAACTACTTTATCATTCCAAAAAGTTACTTATAAAGTAATATATTAAAATAGAAAGCACCCTACTATTATAATAGAAAGTACACTTCAATTTGTTATCTAAACTTTAAAGAGTTGAAGGTTTTGTGTCAATAAACTTAATATGTTTCATGTTTTAAAGAGTTCATTTGTTGTTTTGTTTTCGGTGTAATTTAAATTTTGATACAATCGATTAGGTTGCGTGGTCCAATTGAACAAATAAATTCGTTTCAATTAACTAATATTTAAGTAAGGTATTGGTTGAGATAAAAAAGTCAGTGTCACGAGCGGGATTTGAAAAATGGCAAAAAGGAGGGAAAATTCAAAAGGTGGGTTGTGATGGGAAGTTGGTGTCCGAGTGGATCGAAGTCACGATAGCTCAAGTGGTAAAGCAGCGGCGTATTTAGCCGAAGGTCGTGGGTTCGAATCCTGTTCGTGTCACTGACTTTTTTATCTCACCCAATACCTTACTTAAAAATTTTGGTATAG